TTATAATAATAAGGATTAAGGGCCTCCCTGGTGGCGCAGGGGTTAAAGTCTCAATGCTATCAAGCTATCACCAGTCACTGTGCATAAGTAAACAAAAATAAATCTTAAAAAAAATAGTAAGCACTCATACATATGGATAGTTCCAGAATATGTTGGTAATTTTCAACACATTGTAATTTTCAAAACAATGCATGGCCTCTATTAGAGAGAAAAGGGCGTTTTCAAAAAAAGTTAACTTACCCAAGATAAACAAGCTAGTAAGTGGCAAGGTCAGGGCATGGACCCAGATTTTTACCCCTCAAGTCAGAATGCCCGAGGGCAATGAGCCTCTAATAGTTAACTTAGTATAACAGCAAAATTCTGTAGCTAATTTCTTCTTCTAGTTGGTCTATCAAATATAATATGCAGCCTGACACAAATTAATGAAGAAATACAACCTTAAAAATTACAAGGTTAACAACAAGACTAGAACTATCAAACTCTTTCTTTTAAAAAGAGGAAACAGAATAACAGTAGCTTGCCAAAGGTGTGGAAGAACTACAATGGTTTAAATTTACATCACAGTAGTTTCCCTTTAAGAAAGCCCATTAGACTGTAAAGTGCTTAAGGCTAAGAAAGTCTTATTTCCTTGTTAAATAGGAGAGTCTCTACACACACATCTCTGTCATGGGATAGCAGGGCGCAGGTGCTTCCAGAAGGCATTGCTGCACCGTCCTAGGGCAGCCACATTTATTCTCAGGAATACACAACATTTAATGTCCAGACTGAGAGTGAAAAACTCACCCCAAAATAATGTAAACTGAGTGTACCCTGTATTCAAGGCACACTTTTTTTTTTTAATTCCTGCCATGGAATACTAGAAATGAGAACAGAAAATTTGGTCAAGCCTAAAAGTACGTACATAGAGAAAAGAGCATGCTTTTTTTTTTTTCCAATGTGAAAGGGGACAAACAGGAAGTTTGATCATTCTTATTAAAAATATAAATGGTAATTGTAGTTTTCCCTGCCCTTATTGCTACAAAGTGAGCAAACTAATGTCCCTTCCTAACTTCCCTAGAAAATCCCTCAGATAGACTGCTTTGATCTGTTCTGATTTATAGCAGACTACAGAGCTTACTTAACAAGAATTTCAGGTTATACTACTTTTCCAATCCTTTGATTAATTATATTCATTTTAGAAATGTCACTGATTCTATTTTCAAACATACCAAATGAACAGCCCATCATAGCTGCACTGAGTGAGGTGTTAGAAGCTGTGACAGCATCTCAGTACTACCTTACTTTATGAAACATGCATCTTAGCAAAGTTGGCTAAGTAAGACGAAACTATAAAGTGAGTCATCGTTTACCAAAAACTGCCTTGATAAAAACCTGAGCTGCATTTCCTAACAGAAAATTCCAGGTTGTTTGGTTGAAAAGTTTTTAAATTACAAGGTCTCAGTAAAGCTACTGGCCAAGGTTGCAAATAATATGAAGACACAGAGACTTGGGGAAACTGAGGTCCCTCGTGTTCTTATTACCCTCAGAGCACATTAATAATTTCCCACTTTCTAGAATCTCCCACATGTTGGACCAGTCATCAAGACTTCTTACCTGGCCCTAATATCCAACTACATTTCACCTCTAATTGTTCAGGACATCCTTTCTCCCTAGCATAAGTATATGCCTCTGTTCCTTCTCTTCTCAGCTGGGTACCAATAATATTTAATTGGGCAAAACAGGCATTTCACATTTGGTCCCTACGTGCTCCTCCGTAGTTCTTCCATTTAAAAACTGCAACAACTATACCTTCTTCGTTCTCAAGGCTTAAAAGTTTATGAGTTGAGCAAGGACTGTCTATCTCTTGAGATGTTAATACTTCTGATTTTCTGATTTAAGAAAAAATCATTTTATGGTTGCTGAGCACATACCTTTCAGCCGTTTTTAACTTCTGGCAAACTCCTTATTTCCCAGTCATGAACAATTTAATAGTATTATTCATTCACTTGACACCTGTTCAACAAATATTTATAGATAACCTACCATGTGTCAGACACTGTTAGATCAACAATGAATAAACCAAATATCCCTGCCTCCCCTCGTTAGTTTACACAGTTGCAGAAAGGCAACAAAAAAAGATAAGTAAAATATATAGAGAGTGGTAAAGAAAAAAAAAGCAGGGAAGAGGAGCAAAAGTGAAGTTGCCTTATGACAATGAATGCATTTTGCAATCACACTGTTGCTTTGGTAATCTTCACAGGAACCAAACATGATACTTCCCCGCTTGCTAAGAGGTCTTTTGAAAATGATTAACTAAAATAAATATGTAGTATTTCCTTCTATTTCTTATGGGAAAATTTATTAATATGATGTTATTAATTAGATGATATGCATCTAATAAATGTTAGTAAATTTTGCCAGTACATGAATTTTATCTTTTTAAAAATTATGATTGCATACAAACAGGCTGTTATGTCTGAAAAGAATAAAAAGATCCTCTAAGAAAAGCAAAACACTCCCGTTTCTTCTAATACATTTCAGTCAACATAATTGACTTAAATGTACCTTTCATCTTATCAAAATGTACATATAATATCTGCTTTTGATTATTATATCAGAGACTTAAATAATGTAGTAAAATAAATCATGATACTTTATTTTTAGATACTAATTTAAACCTTCTTCCCAGCCAACCTTATCATAAGTCTTTTATCAAATATCCTACCTAATTATTTGGACTTTTACCTGATTAATAATCTTTATAAGTAAGGACAAGATGGGAATATTGCTAGGAAGGAACAATGTGTAGGGTAAAGGTCTTAGTGGGTACATTAAAGGAATGCCCAAGTTTGGACTCCAAACTTACCGAGTCCCACTAAGGAGAGTGACATTGATCCTTGTGAAAATCCACCTAAGAGAACATGCTTTTGATGAGCAGTAATAGCTCATTCTACCTCTTCCAAAGTCAAAATAATATTTAATCATACTTCACATCCAACAACAACTTTCTCAAGTTCTGTTAATGGGCATATTCTCTGGTATAATAAATCAATGAATAAAGAAAGTTTTCAAAATGCAAAAGAAAAACTCTAACAAAGGAGGATATAAATAATTTTAAAATGTATAATACTTAGGCTGCCTTAAATTTATGTGGAAATAAAGATATAACGTGTTCATAGTTATAGGTAAAATTAGGAGAGGTGTCCAGTCACTAGCAAACCTTATAAGGCAAAAGAATCCTTTTGTTTCCCCCATTCTTAAACCTCCACTCCCTCTCTATTTTTTAAGGGCTAGATCTGAGAGAAGATATCCTGAATAGTGGACTTTATTAAGAGCTTTGTCATGCACCTTTTCATCTGAAACCCAGTGCCCTCTCACAGCCAGAGAATCTCAGTATGATCCTAGCCTCTTTGAATTTTTTCTGTCCAGAGTAGGATTGTTCCAACTCATCAATCAAAAGCAACAGCCTTTTAAAACGTTCTCACAAAGTTGGGGCCTCCCTGGTGGCGCAAGGGGTTAAGTCACAGCACTGTGAAGCTGTCCACAGCCTCTGCAGCATGAGTTTGATCCCTGACCAAGGAGCTGACCCACATGGTGCAGCAAACCTCTCCTGTCCTACCCACTTCTCCCCTCAGCAGTGTATTTCAGTCACACCGCCTGTTCTGTTCCCCACTCTGCCTCCTGTGAATCCTCTTAACCCTTGCACCTCTGACCTGTACCCCATTTCTTGTCTGCATAAATAAATGAATCACAAAAAAATAAAACATCCTCACAAAGTCCAAAAAGTGACTTTGGGTATCACACTGTGCTGAATATATTACAAATTTGATCTTATTTAATCTTCCTAACAACCCTATGACACGGCATTATTTATTACATCTCCATTTCACCAAAATAAGCAGACAGAGGTTAAGTGACCTAAACGAGGTCCTACAGCTAACAAATGGCAAAGCCGAATTGAAACCTGGGTATCTGTCTTTTCCTGAAGAGTAATGTATTTTACATTAAGCCTATGTTCTGAAGTCACACAGACCTGAATTCCAGCCCTAAAAATACCACTTGTGTAATTTGGTAAATTAACCAATCTGTGTTTCCTCCAGTAGGAAAGAAATTACAATACCACTTGTAGTTCTGATTATGAGTTGAGTCCAAAATAAGCTGCATGCGTAATAATTACCTAGCAGTGTTTGTAGAACACTGTTCTCAATAATTGCAATACTCTATCCTGTCCCGCCTTCTATTTGATTATCCGTTATACAGACAGAGACAAAAAGATACCAGCAAGGACAAGGGAAAATTACGAATCATCATCATCAAGGGCAACGTTAAGTGTCGACTTTCTATTTCACCCAGAGATTCAGGCAGCAAAACGAATGTGACTGCACTTCCTCCATGCCCCTAGCTGTAGAGACCATAAACATTAAGACGCAAGAATTGTTAAGCTGGAGGCAGAACAGGAGCTGCTAGCACAGGCTTCTCACTACTGCTGCTTTACTCCGAAAACACAAGTCACCTTTTCCCACCCCACCTAGCAGCTTCTCCCGGAACCCTTAGCAGCTCTGAGGCGCGCGGGGTGGCTCTGGACAGAGGAGATCCAGTCCCTCTCCCACGAGGCGATGCGGCGATTTCGAGGCGTGTCACCTTCCCCGGGCCTCAGGCCCCACCCGGGGCGCGGGAAGGGTGGCCGATCCCGACACCGCCCGCCCAGGTGAAGCAGTGTCAAGCCCAGGAGGCGCTTTGCGGCCCAGAAATGAGCTCGAAACTAGTTCCTCCCGAAGGTGTTGTCCAGCCTTGGGCCTCGCAGGGCCACCGACCTCCTAAGCAGGGCTGCCCCAGGGCATCCCGCGCGGGGCCGACCCGAGCCCAGGGTGCGCTTCCAGCGCCAAGGCCGAGCTGGCACAGGCGCGCGGAGCCCGCGGGCCCAGATTGTGCCCGCCCGGACTCGCCACCTCCCCAGAGGATCGATAGGTTTCGGGATCCCCGCTACACCCACCCCGAAGCAGGGAGGGGGCAGCACTCACGTTCGGGTCCCGGGGGTGGAAGTCGGATCAGCGTGGAGACCAGGCAGGCAAGGTCCGCAGGGTCCCCAGGGCCGCTGGAGCCGCCAGGGATTCGCAGGAACCTGGGGCCGAGGGGCAGAGGGGCGGAGCGCGGCCTGGCAGGGCGAGGGCGAGGCTCCGCCCACCCCGGCCCCAGCCCGCCCTCTACTCTCCTGCTGGAATCTGCTTTCAGCCTCCTGCTGGAATCTGAAACATCTCAGCAGCCTGCTGTTTCAAATCTGCTGAAAGTGATCGCTTGCTTGCCCAAAACCCCAAATTGACTTTAGGCGTTAAAATGAGTTGTTTGAGGGACCTCCCTAGTGGCGCAAGGGGTTAAGAAGCAACCTCTGAAGCTGTCCGCAGCCTCTGCAGCACGAGTTCAATCCCTAGCCAGGGAGAAACCCATATGGAGCAGCAGACCTCTCCTGTCTTGCCCACTGCTCCCCTCAGCAGGATATTTCAGTAGATATGCCTGATCTGCTCCCCACTCTGTCTCTGGTGAATCATCTCACACCCCCACATCTCTGGTCTCTAGCCCAGTTCTTGTATGCATAAATAAATCTTTAAAAATAAAAGAGATCGAGAAAGAGAATGTGACTCAATATCTGATAGAGATTTAAACTATGTTAAAATGAATGAGATATTCCCTAACACTCTTTTTTTTTCCTTTTTTTCCCCCTAATTCTCTTCCTTGTTTTCTCCTATCTCACTGGTCTCCTCCTTAATGCCTTTGTCTTTTGATTCTCATATTCCCAGCTTTTAAATACTGGAGTGCCCCAAGTCTAAGTTCTTGGACCTTTAATCACATTCTAAGTTACCCATCATGTAGTCTTATAGCTTTGAAATCCATGTATTTTCTGAATGCTATCAAACTTTCAAACACTGAAACTTCAGATTTCAATTATTTCTATACTTGGATAGCTGTTGCTCCACACAACAGATTCAACAAATGCAGTGCCTTGAGACAGAAATTGTCACTTATTATCACTCATACCTTCTGTGGTTCAGGATTTAGGAATGGCTTAGCTGGGCAGTCCTGACTCATCATCTTCCCAGATGTTGCAGTCAGGTATTCGGCAGGGTTGTACTTCACAGGGCCAGACAATACACTTCTAGGATAGCTTACTCACACATAAAGGTGATGGTGCTTGTTGGTAGACCTCAATTCCTCTGCATGTGGGGTCTTTATAGGGTTGCTTGAGTGTCCCAGTGGCATGACTGCTGGCTACTTAATAGGGCAAACAATCCTAGAGATCAAGAGAGAAGCTCAATGACTTTTATAATTTAGCCTCAGAAATTATACACCAGCATCTTGGCAGTTTTCTGCTGAAAATAGGCCAGTCTTGATTTAATGTGGTAGGAGTAAATCCATAAGGTAAATGTTGTGAGGAAGAATTGGGGTGTAGGCCAGAAGTAAAAGAATTTATCAGAGACTGAGTGGAGAACAGAAAATGTGGATTTATTGAAATACACTGCTGAGAGAAGCAGCGAGCCAGACAGGATAGGTCCCCGTGTGAAGGAGGATTTGGTGTTCCTTTTCACAACCTGTTTCCCAGGCTTTTCATGACTGAGGGGTTGATTTGGGCCAGTTAGTGCTGGGATGCCTGGCCTGGGCCTTGACATAGAACATGTCCTGACCCTGCTTCCACATTCATGGTCAAAAAGACCAATCTTTTGTCCTGGTTCCCATAGCAACCTAATCATTTCTCTTTATTCAAGCCTTCCAAATCTTCCTGCTGGACAAGGGGTGGAGCTTAGTTTTCAACCTTGTTAAATGATACTCTGAAAGTAAGGATCATTGGGTGCCTTTTTGAATGCTGGCTACCACAGGTCTCTGTCTACTAATAAGCATTTCAAATTTAACATGTACAGATACAGCTTCCTTATCTTCCTTTCCAAACGTATCACTTCCACCGTCTTCTCTATCTCAAGCAAGGGCAAAACATTCTAGTTTTTTGGATCAAAACACTTGGAGTCGGGCCTCCCCGGTGGCGCAGCGGTTGAGCACTGGGTTGCGAAGCTGCCCGCAGCCTCTGCGGCGCCGGTTCGATCCCCGGCTGCTCCCCGGCCACCGGAGGAGGGTCCCACATGGCGCGCAGACCTCTCCTGCCGCCCGCTGCTCCCCTCAGCAGTGTACTTCGGTCCTTCTGCCTGCTCTGCTCCCTGCTCTGGCTCTGGTGAATTCTCTCACCCTCCCGCGCTTCTGACTGTACCCAGTGCATGTATAAACAAAAACAAAGAAAGAAAGAAAGAAAGAAAACATGCCTCTATAAAAAAAAAAAAAAAAAACTTGGAGTCATTTTTGACTCTTTTCTCTTATGCCCATCACCATGTGGTTTGGTTTGTTAGCTAATTCTGTCAAATCTACCTTCAAAATCTAACCAGATTCTGAGCACCATCTTACAATCTAGTCAAAGCCATCGCTATTTCTTTCTAAATTACTGTAACACAGTAGTAATGTAACAGGGTGGTCCCCAGGAAAGGGGGAGGTTCCCTGCCCCACCCAAGGGAGGGTGGAGCTGAGCAGGAAGAGGAGAAGCTGGAGAAGAGACTGAGGAAGGAAGCAGGATGGAGCCAGGAGACCTGGAGGAGGCACATGGAGCCTAGAGACACGTGAAGAAGCTGCGCTTGTCTTTTGGTCGTGGACGGGGTGACACAGATGTGGGTGAGACCCATGGGGAGGTGACAATGGCAGCTTTTATCTTGATGTTGATTTTGCTCTTTTCCTTCCGGGCTTGTCCGGTTGTTTGTGACCCTTTTCTGTGGGTCTCCACTGGAAGATGCTTTAGACTTTTAGCAGGCTTTGGGGCCTTGTTCTGGGCCAATCCCATTTGGATGGACTTTTACCCACGAGGGGATGGGTAACTTTGGGTGCTTCATTTAGAAACTAAACTCTTTGCCTTACCTGTATTGTTTCCTAGTTTTATTAAAGTTCCTTCCCATTAAAGTGTCATATGTTTTGTGTTGATGCGGCGGATGGCAAAACCCATTTAGAATAGGCAGGTTTGCAGGGTTTGGGCTGACCCTCTCCCTGTCCTATAACAGTAACTGCTTTCCTACTTGCTCCCCTTCATTCTAAAAATGGTCAGAAGTATCCATTAAAATTAAACTAGATGATGTCATAGTCATACAAAGAAAAAAATTAAAGTTCTTATAGCTGCCCACAAGGTTCTGCATGTCTTGGTCTCCATCTCATCTCTCTGATCTTATTTTTTGATAGTCTCTTCTTTGTTCATTATATTCCACCAAACGGACTTATTCTGAAAGAAAAATGCCCTTTGCTTTCCCAGTTCCGCCATTGTGATGGAGGACAATAACAGAAAGATTGGAAAGGAGGTGCCCCTGTTGTAGAGCAACCCCGATACAAAACGGGGTCCTTTCCCCCTAACACCCCAAGACCAGAACCTGACTCACAAGGAGGTGGGGGTGGAGGAGAATAATATGGCCATTAACCCAGCTGTAGAGGTCAAACCCTTAGGCACCAGTGCCTTATCACAGGGCATAAGACCCAAGCAGGATCAGACTACTCTAGGGAGTGAAGCACAGACCTGAGGGTAAAGATATGGAGATTGGGCCCACCCTGGAATCTCTGGTCCCTTCCTGGTTTTGCTAGTTATCCCAAATCAGCAACAAACAGGCCACTCCACAGAGAAAAGGACTATATCAATGCAGTCTCTGCACAGGCTCGGGGCAGCACTCCCACTGCCCACCTGTGACTATGCAGGTGCTTCTTTTCACCCACTCTCTCCCTCTGCAGGGCAGCAGCCTCCTGCCTGCCTGTGACCTGTACCATGCCGGGACTTCTCTTCACTGACCTCCCTCAGCGGAGGCCGCTCTCCTCAAAGCTGCCTGCCTGCAACCATGCAGGCCTCTCTCGGGAAACCTTGTCCCTTTTCCTTTCCCTAATAAGTCTGGTCTTTAAATATAACTAGCGTCTCTGTCTCATGGAGAAACCCGTCTGGAAAACTCACCACGTGCTGCTGAAACGGGAGCTCTGGTGAAGCCTTTCCCAGAGTGAACCCAAGGACCCCAGACTTTGCAAAACTACATCAATTGCATGTGCCTTTCCCTCTACAGGAAGTTCTCTACCCCACAGACATTCTCATGTCTCATTCTTCCTTGGATGTGTATTCAAATAGCCTCCTTAGTGATGTCTTCTCTGTCTTTCCTACTTAAAACTGCAATGCCTGAACAGAAATCCACTGTATACCTCTTCCTGCTTTATTTTCCTCTTTAGTTATTTACCATCCTCTATTCTCTTTTAGTTATCTTGTTTGCTGACTATCTTTCCTAAGTTAGAATATACATTCAACTAGGAATTGTTCTACTTTTTGCATCTAGAAGAGTATTAGGTATATCACAGATCTGCAACAAATGTTTGTTGCATGAGTAAATAAATTGTGCTGATACCGGAATTGTCAGGCCTAGTCTCCCAGCCAGGAATGGATTCCAGGCTGCAGGGCAGCGCTGAGCCCCAGCCGCTAGACCCCCTCGGGTTGGTGTCTCACGAAGCCGCAGCAGGAACTTCGCAGACGCTCAGGCAAGCAAGCGAGAAGAGGCAGTTTGTTTAGAAAAAAGAAAAAGTTTATTGAGGAGAAAAAGAACAGAAATAAAGTGGGACTCCCAGGCCAGGGAACCAGGCCTGGGAGGGGCAAGGAAGCCAAAGTAGAGTCGTGTCTTAGGGAATATATACCTTTTTTCCCTCATTATTCTAAAGCTTCACCAGTTTCTTTGTGATTGGTTAGTTCTCGGCTGTCTCACTTAATTTGTTACTGAGTGCAGGATCTTCACATTCCTTATCTAACAGCTTTCTCTTTCCCCATTTGTTGCATTTTTAAATTTATGGCCCAGTCTTCTGGATGGGCATCCCTGCATTGAAGTTAAACAGCTGCCCTTTTAATGTGACCATAAATTAAACCACTCTCCATTTCTCCAATCTCCACCTCCCTTTACCACCTGAAGGAAACCAGGACCAGCATTAACAATGTTGTCCTTGGTTCTGGCATGTTTGTTTTTCCTAATGGAATTGGTTATATTTCTTTGGTTGTCCTTATCTCTGAAGCCTCCCTAAATTCTTCAGAGGTCCCCTCCTGCACTATCCCTAAAACTGCCTAATAACCCTAGCTTGCCCTGTCTCAGTGCCATTATAAATTGCCTATTATAGGCAAAGATCAGAACTAGCATTGATATTACAATATAGCAGAGATACATATAATCAATTCTTTTTAACTGTGTAACAGGTAATGAATAGTGGAGTGGGGGTGGAAGATGGGGGGGGGCGCTAAAGTAGTGGAAAGGGAAGGAATCCTGAAAGAGAGTATCATGAAGGGAGATCTGAGGCTCATTGGAATAAATAAAAGTGTGCTTGTAGTATTAAAATTTCTATGAAATGCAAGCTCACTCTTTAAGATTTATTATTTATGCATACAAGAACTGGGGTACAGGCCAGAGGTGCGGGGTGTGTGTGTGTATTCACCAGAGACAGAGTGGGGAGCAGAACAGGTAGATTAACTGAAATACACTGCTGAGGGGAGCAGCAGGCGAGGTAGCAGAGGTCTGCTGCTCCATGTGGGTATCTCCCTGGTTGGGATTGAACTGGTGCTACAGTGCGTGCGTATTGCTTCATAGTGCTGTTCTTAACCATTTGCGCCATCAGGGAGGCCCTGCAACCTCACTCTTAAAGATGACTACCTTTTCTTACTATGGAATTTTTTTTCATGTATTGTATATAACAGGTATTCCATTGAAAGTCTGTGTTTTCACCTACATCAACTCTGAAGCAGGAATAAACCTCTTCATTCCCCCCAAAAGAATTCCACTCCAGTGAGAAGCAGTGCTTTTACTAAATATTTGGGGGGTGAATGAGGGCTTTTACACCACCCATCCTATAGGAAACAACTTTCTATTGGCATCTCTTCCTGTCAAGAGGCCTCCTTTCCCTAGTCTTTCTTACTAAGATCAGGTTGGGCATCTCATTCTTTGTTTGCCTTCTCTGGCTTCTCCTTCCTCAGAAACTCCCTTAGGTCTCTCAGTCACTTCCTTTCCATTATGGAACAGTTTATTTTTACTATTTTTTAAAAGGATTTATTTATTTATTTATACAAGCACTGGGTACAGTCGGAGGCGCTGGAGGGTGAGAAGATCCACCAGAGCCAGAGCGGGGAACGGAACAGGCAGATTGACGAAGTACACTGCTGAGGGGAGCAGCAGGAGGCAGGAGAGGTCTGCGTGTCATGTGGGACCCTTGCCATCGGCCAGGGTTCGAACCGGCACTGAGGAGACTGCAGGCAGCTTTGCAGCCCAGCGCTCAACCCCTGCGCCACCAGTAAGGCCCCATTATGGGACTGTTGTGCCTAACGTCGACCAGTGCAGCCCCCAAGGACACACAGACAGCCGCTGTAAGATCATAAAGGAGTTTATTACAGGCTCGAGTCCGGGCTCGTGACACGCACCGATGTAACGGAGGAGGTCAGGAGCCCTGAACAAAGGGAACAGGGATCTTATATAGGGTTACAAGCAGATCTCTAAAAATTAAATCATGTTGGCAAACATTCATTGGTTACACAGGTGCATTTCCTAACAACGGTGGGTGTAGAGTTTCAGTTTTTGAGCTGATTGGTCACATCAAGATGCAGCTCTATTTTATGGCTAGTTTGACCCTATTAGTGGCCTGAATTGCTCGGCTCCTCTGTGGCTAGCCGACTGAGATAAGACCAGAGTGGGGTGGGGGTCAAACTCTGGAATGCAGTCTTTTCCCGGGACAGCAAGACCTGAAATTCTAAAATGGCAGTTACACACAAAATGACAAAGCAATGGCTAAGAATACTTATGCTTGGTTCTGTAACAGGGTGGTCCCCAGGAAAGGGGGAGGTTCCCTGCCCCACCCAAGGGAGGGTGGAGCTGAGCAGGAAGAGGAGAAGCTGCAGAAGAGACTGAGGAAGGAAGCAGGATGGAGCCGGAAGACCTGGAAAAGGCGCATGGAGCCTAGAGACAAGTGAAGAAACTGCGCTTGTCTTGTGATCGTGGACTGGGTGACACAGATGTGGGTGAGACCCATGGGGAGGTGACAATGGCAGCTTTTATCTTGATGTTGATTTTGCTCTTTTCCTTCCGGGCTTGTCTGGTTGTTTCTGACCCTTTGCCTTGGGTTCCCACTGGAAGATGCTTTAGACTTGTGGCAGGCTTTGGGGCCTTGCTCTGGGCCGATCCCATATGGATGGACTTTTACCCACAAGGGGATGGGTAACTTTGGGTGCTTCATTTAGAAACTAAATTCTTTGCCTTACCTGTATTGTTTCCTAGTTTTATTAAAGTTCCTTCCCAGTAAAGCCTCCTATGTTTTGTGTTGATGCGGCTGATGGCAGAACTCAGGGACAGTTTAGTTCTTTCAAACACAGGGACAGTTTAGTTCTTTCAAACATTTACTACCAAAGGGTCCTTAAGCATCAGAATACCCCCTATCTGTTATGGTAGCAGACCATTATAAATAAATAAATCATTTGTTTCTTGCACACCCAAATTCTCGGGTCTATTTCTGAGCATTCAATTCCATTCTGCCCATCTGCCCCATGCGCAGATACCATTAACAGATGCCCAGAGGGTAGGCCCAGAAGCCAGCCAGTGGCCACAAGGGAACTTTCTCCCTGCCCCACCCACTCGGCGCAGGCGCGGAAGGACACTAAATCCCATCCAATCGGGATAGTTCCCACCCCTGTGTCCGCGGTCCGGAAGTCTTGGGGCGGAAGAAGTGTCGGCCAGGGGCGGGCCTCCGCGGCTCTTCCGGGAGGGACGGGGCACTAATCTCCCTGCGCGCCTGGGCCGCGCTCCGAAGGGTGAAGGGTCGGTCGGGAGTTGTGAGTCATGGCGCTGGCCGCGCGAGTCTCGCGCTTGCTGCCTTCGGGATTTCGTGCAGTCCGAGGACCTCGGCTCCCGTCGGGTGCGGCTGGCAGCCGCGGGCGGCGCGGTGCTTGGCTACTCCGTGGTTTTGAGGTACTTCGCGCCGGCCTGGCTCCCGCGTCCCTCCTAGCGGCCCGCGTTCGGGCTTAACCCCTTCTTCAGGCTTGGCTGCCCCGCGTCACCCTAGGAAATGTGGGGAACTGAGGCAGGAACTCGGGTCTCAGTGCCTGGAGCGCTCCCAGGGACCGCCACCCACGTAGCCCTTTCGCCTCCTTTCCTTTTGAAAACTGGGGTCACCCGAGGAGTAGGTCCCGCCCATTCCTCCTCCCCAGAGAAGCTTTCCCCTTCCAGTCCTGCCTGTGTGAAAACACAGGCGTTAGAGGGGAAAAACTTTGACTTTTTTGAAATAATTTTCACTTTTGGAGCTGCCAGATACGGGGGCAGTCTGGTAGAGGCGGTCAGTTCGCTAGGCTTTGAAAATTTGGTTGTGGTTTTAAAAATTCCTTTGGGACCTCCCTGGTGGCGCAAGGGTAACGTTAGACACTACCTATGGAGCTGTCCGCAGCCACTGCAGCACGAATAGTTCGATCCCCGTCCAGGGAGCAATCCACGTGGCGCAGCAGACCTCTCCTGACTGGCTCGCTGGCTGCTCCCCTCAGCAGTGTATTTCTGTCAGTCTGCCTTGTTCTGCTCCCCACTGTCTCTGGTGAATCCTCTCACGCCCCCCCCACCCCCCACCCCCCGCAACACTGGCCTGTACTCCAGTTCTTGTGTGTCTAAATAAATAAATCTTTTAAAAAATAAAAATTCCTATGATTCAGAAACAGATTTCGTATCATTTAGGATTTTAAAATTTATTTTGAATAATTTCATCTAAGGATGTCAGGATGTTGGATTGTAGTTCCAACTCTTGGTTCCTAATTAGGTTGTTTGTTCGTGGTCTTGATTTATCTCCGGAAGGTGATGGGATCTGGTGGTGAGAATGGGCATTAGTGTGTTTGATACAATTCATTTGAACTAGGTGTTTCATTATCTTAATCTCACATTTTGGTCTGCCTGTTATATTCAAAATTATTGGATGGGGGGGGGCAGTGAGGGGAAAAGAGAGGAGATAGGTGGGCTTAGTCACTTTCCTTTGATTAGTTTATATCCAAATGAGGAGATGTTAGCTGATAGAAGCAGAGAGATTGGAGTACAGTGAAACTAATTAGAATTGTCAGGTTTCCAAATTAGAATATTGTTGAGTTTAAATTTTTCTCTAAACCAAACATCTCATCTTTTTATTGGTTAGGTACTCAGGTGAGGCACAGCTTTGTGCCTTCAGCTGAAGGTCATAAAGATGAATGCAGCTTTTCAGCTGATGGGGCCTCTTTTGAAGCCTCAAATGAGGGTAGGCAGGCATGGTCTCTTTTAAAGTTCACACCTGTGGTTGTAAGACAATCTTTGGTTACTTGCCAGGAGGGCTGCTGCTGCTGCCTCAAAACAGCAGCTAAATTCATCCAGGGCAAGCAAGCAATCAAAGAGAACATGTAAGAGATTGTCAAAGATGGAAGTTACATTCATTTTATAACCTAGTCATGGAAGTAACATCCTTTCACTTGGAGTTCCCTGTGTCTTAGAAGGGAGTCACTAAAACTAGCTTGCATTTAAGGGGAAAGGATTACAGAAGGGAGCGGGTATCAGAACCAAGGGATCATTGGGGCCATTTTAGAGGCTGTTTGCCACAACCATATTCTAAAAACCTTGTAAAACATGTTAAGTATTTCTGATTTTATTCTACAGGTTATAGGAAATCATGATACAGTTTTAAACAGGGATCATTTGATTACATTTGCACTTAAATAACTAATATCAAGAAGAGTGGGAGTTGGAGATCAGATAAGAGATCATTGCTAAAGGACAGGTGAGAAATGTGGTTTGAACTTTAGTGATAGTTATGGAAATGGAAGTAAGTAGATGCATTTAAAGGCTATTAAACATATAAAATTACACCAAAAAGATACTTTTGATGTGGAAGTTGAGGAAGATTCTCAGGTTTCTGGCTAGAGCAGGAGGGTGAAAGGTGGTGCTATTGACTGGGCTAGACCTACAGAAAAGATTTGAGGTTTAAAGGGTGAGATGTATTGATCTAATTTAGTTGAATGTGAAGAAACAGCCATCTTGACATGTGGACTGGACAGCAGTTTAATAAATAATGTTTATCTTCTGATGTTTCAGCTAAAGTTAATAGATTCAGGAAGCCTCAGCATACAGCTGTTATTGATGCTGTGGAAGAGGTAGAAAGTATTGAATAGGCAAGTCGACGACCAAGTATCTGTCATGAAGTCTAACAGTTAAGAGGAGGAGCTGGCAGGAAGTTAGTAGGCAAACCAGGGGATGATGGTAACACATTCTTTCCATCTAGTGATGGGCTTATATTTAATTCTTTCTAGCTCCAAAGTATAATCACTGTTGAAGAAAAGACGTACCCAAAAAAGAGATTGCTGCCTTTGTTCAACAAAAAATTTGTGCTTGGTATTAGCTGTACAAGGTTAAATGGCACATAGAGACAGAGCGGGGAACAGAACAGGCAGATTGACTGAAATACACTGCTGAGGGGAGCAGCGGTTGAGTCAGGAGAGGTCTGCTGTGCCGTGTGGGTTGCTCCCTGGCCAGGGATCGAACTCATGCTGCAGTGACTGTAGATAGCTTGATAGGTTGCTTCTTAACCCCTTGCGCCACCAGGGAGGCCCGAGTCCTGGTTCTTTTAACTGATATTTTTAGATCAAGAAACATTTTACTTTTCCAGGGATGAATAGAGAGCTGCTTCACATTAACCAAAATGATCAAAGCCCAATTGGTAAACCACTTCATTAACTTGTAATAAATCACTTCCCAAATAGTATATGTTCTTCCCTTTCAGGAAAACAGAATGTTGTGGAGCACAGTATCAGCGGTGAAACTTGAACACACTAAATAGTTTCTTCAAGCTATAATAGATTGTGCAACCTTTTCTAATATGTGATTGGCCTGTGGGAGCAAGAGAGAACTAAAAGACTTATAAAATCTTAGTTTTTTCCTCTTTTTTTAGGTACCATCCCCACTGTACACATAGACCTACATCTGTATCTTTTACCCCATACCGTCTTGCTTCTCTTTGGTAAATATGAATAAAGTCAGAAAATTAAATGTTTAAAATGTAACTGAATCCACTTGTGTGCAATATCTTGAAATATTCATACTCAAGAAATATTCAGCACACTAGAATATGTTGGCATCCTCATTCCTACTCTGTGTACTTTGGAGAAGTTATAGTGTGGTTCAGATGTGATTGAGAGAGTTGAGAATGACTGCATGGTTTTTCACTTTTAACTTGAACAGCTGGTAAAACAGTCCCCATTTACTATGAAGGGAAAACTGCGAGGAATGGATTTGAAGGACAGAATAGCTATTTTGACTGTTAAGCTGAGAGTGTACGGCAAGTGCCAGGGAAAGGTGGTAGGTGGACTATAAAGAGGCATGAGAAAATTTGGGTGGGGGGAGAGGGATTGATGGATATATTATCTTGATTGTGGTGATTGTTTAGGTCTCAGTTTATATCTTAGTTTAGGTCTTAGTTTATATCTTTGTTTATATCTTAGTTTAGGTCTTAGGTTATATGCTTTAAGTATATGTAATTGGTGATATGTAATGTTCCTCAAAGAGCTGTTTTAAAAAATTAAGCATTATTTGTGATTTAAAATAAAAAGGAAGCAGTGAGCAGCTGTCATATACTGTTGATAAGCCAAGTAGTTGAGACGTCAGAATTGACCATAGGAAATAGCAGTGGTGTTGGCTGCCTTAAATAGAATACCGTCAGTGGGACTGTGGAGATAAAAGTGACTTGTGTGAATTGAACAGAAAGGGCAGGGAGAAAGTGAAGACAGTACAGACAACTTTTTATTTTTATTTTTATTTTTTTATCGAGGTAACATTGGTTTACAATACAGTCTATGACTTAGAGGTGAAGGGTCACACCCTTCAGGAGTGTGTTACTATACCACACTTAGCTCCAGGGCAACAATAATGCTCACTATGTTCATTGTGCCTTCTCCCTGCTCTACTTTCCCTAGCCCCTCTGGTATCCTCGACTACCAGTCAGGTTTCTAGGGTTTGTTACTGGTTTGATTTGGCTGACCCTTTGTTTTGTTTCTCTATATTCCACATTTAAAGACATCACTCAGTATTTGTTTTTTTCCTTCAGACTTAATTTCACTTAGCATTATCCTCTCCATTTCCATCTGTGTTGACAAACAACTTTTTAAACTGGGCCTCCCTGGTGGCACAGGGGTTAAAGTCTCAGCACTATTAAGCTATCGCCAGCCACTGCAGCATGAGTTGCATGCTATCCCCTGGCTAGGGACCAACCCACATGGGCAGCAGACCTCTCCTGTCTTGCCCGCTGTTCCCCTCAGCAATGTATTTCAGTAGATCTGCCTGTTCTGTACCCCACTCTGTCTCTGGTGAATCCTCTCACCCCCCACACCTCTGGCCTACACCCCAGCTCTTGTATGCATAAATAAATAAAATAAATCTTTACAAAAAATAAAAGAGTTCTACTGAAAAGAGAAGTTGAGAAATGTGACTAATGGGAGTTGTAAAGTCAGGAGGAGGCTTTTTTTTTTAAAGATTTATATTTATTTATGCATACAAGTGCTGGGGTACAGGCCAGAGGTGTGGTGGTGGGGGGTGGGGTGAGAGGATTCACCAGAGACAGAGTGGAGAACAGAACAGGCAGATCTACTGAAATACACTGCTGAGGGGAGCAGTGGGCAAGACAGGAGAGCAGGAGAGGTCTGCTGTGCCATGTTGGTCAGCTCGCTGGCCGGTGATCAAACTCATGCAGCAGTGGCTGCAGATAGCTTCATAGTGCTGAGACTTAACCCCTTGTGCCACCAGCAAGGCCCAGGAGGAGGCTTTTTTGGCGGATGACGGCAAATTGAAGTTTCTTTCAAAGGGAAATCACAGCTTATAAAGATAGTATGTCTTGTTTTTATACTGATGGGACTGAATTAACAGAAAGGGAGAAAAATGATAACTATATGAAAGAGAAAAATGTGTTACAAGAGAAAGGGAAAAATTGCTGAAGCTTAATCCATCTATTCTTTGCTGCTGGTCTGAGACTCTGGACATAATGAAAATTATTTCCAAGTCCATTTAAATATTCTTTTTGTTTACAAACTGAGTTTTATATGTCACTTCTGAAAATAATCTTTACCTAAAACCATGAACATTTTTTATGTGTAGTAATGACCACATTTTATATTCTTCATCTTCACTTAAGATTGATTTTTACTTCATGTTGATGTGTCATTTTAGTTCATACAATTATATTCATGTCTTCCCAAATAATATGTAGATTTCTAATCAAGCACTTATCAGAGTGTCTGTGATCTTTAGATAAGCAACCACTCACTGTTAGCCATGCGCTGTTTTTAAGAATCTTAAGACTATGTTTTTCCTATTAGGTGTTAAATAGTTTTGCTGAAGAATTTGGTGAAGTAAATTTGAGCTTCCAATGTTCTTTAAGATTTATTTATTTATGCATACAAGAGCTGGGGTACAGGGCAGAGGTGTGGGGGGGTGAGAGGATTCACCAGAGACAGAATGGGGAACAGAACAGGCAGACTGACTGAAATAAACTGCTGAGGGGAGCAGTGGGCAAGACAGGAGAGGTCCGCTTCACCGTGTGGGTTGCTCCCTGGACAGCAAGGGGATCAAACTCGTGCAGCAGTGGCTGCCTCATAGGTTGCGTCTTAACCCCTTGCGCCACCAGGGAGGCCAGAGCTTCCAATATTCTTCAAATTTTTTGCTTTGGGATGGGAGAAAATTGATCTTTTTGACTAGGAGTAGAAGTTCTTTCCAATTTTCTAAGTTTTGTTAACTCATCATAATTGTTTCTATAGGTAATGGGAAACCCAAGTGCTTTTAAAAGGAGTCTGTTATTCTCAGCCGTGTCTTATTTGGGTTTTGGAACTTATCAAGTCGTTTCTCAGATTGCTGTGGTTCATGCAACAGCCAAAGGTAAACCTAAACTAAACATCCTGAAAATTTAGTCATGTTTGTTGTAGTCTTTAATAGTGAATTACTACTGATAATCTAGTCTAGCCATTGTTATAGGCTAATACACTAGATTATTTTCTGCTTTTCTCTACTTCTCTGACACACACACTACATATGTAATAACAACTAGAACTTCAGTGAGATATACTCCATTGATAACTTTATAATTTTTTTTTTTTAGAGCACTGAAACCATGTTTATCATAAACTCAATATTCCAACACTTACCAAACCTCTTTGTTCTATTTCTCAGTTACCTTTTCACAAAAAGTTACTGGTATAGACAAGTGAATGACACATACTTGCCTCACAACATTCAATTTTGGATCACTACAAAATTTCTTATTTTCTATATCCAATTAACAATTTCAAGTCATCTGACACTGTTACTATATTCCTCTTGCCTGTAACACCCTTGATATTCCTTTGGAAATCAGATTCAAGCCTTTTCTCTATAACTTTATAATTTTATAGGACTTCTGGGCTAAGAATTTTTTTACATTTTTTAAGGGATGAGGGGTTGTTTGGTGGGAGGAATAAAAGAATATACCACAGAGACTATTTCTGGCCCATAAATCCTAAAATATTTATACTTGGATTTTTATAGAAAGTTTGTTGATCCCTATTTTATGATACAATGATTTCTTTTGTTTCCTTAATGCCAGGTTATAGGCTTCTTGGTATAGTTAAAGTCCAAGTAATTTGAAATAGAAATATTTTATTTACAAATGAAATGTAATTTAGAACTAGTATATATCAGATAACTAGTTGAAAAGTAGAGAACGGCCATCATATTTCTAATTTGGTAAACATAAATTGACTTGCCATATTTAAAAAATTAAATTTCTTTTAAGCAGTTGTATATGTAGATGGAGCCAAAACTTAAGTATATTGGAGAAGAACTTTAATTTGTAGGATAAGGCTTTTTCTTTTTCATCACTCCCACTTTTTATCATCAAGGAGATGGTGAATGGGGAATGAAGAGATTTGATTTTTTAATAGGTACTAAAGTTCTGGTAGGTGAAAAATTTGAGAATTAGCTAAAAATTAACTATATCTACTTACTTATTTGCTGCTGTTCTTTTAAAAGGCAGATAGTTAAGAACCACTGTGTTCTTCTCTTTTTTCATGAATCATTTTCATGAAAGACAGCAGAGGACTTGGTTTTGTTACTCACTCAGTAATATATTTTGGCAAATAACATTAACAGTTCAGCTTTTTAAAGCCCGTAAGCTTTCCACCATAATTTTAATTTTCACAGTAAAGTAGTTAGAACAAGCCTGTAAAGTAGTTAGAACAAACCTTATTATCACATAATATTAATTTTTGAAAAAATGCTCACAAAATTAATTTTCTTTATTTTTTTTTTTAAAGATGTATTTATTTATGCATACAAGAACCGGGGTTAAGGCCAGAGGTGTGGGGGGGGAGGTGAGAAGATTCACCAGCGACAGAGTGGGGAGCAGAATAGGCGGATCTGCTGAAATACACTGCTGAGAGGAGCAGTGGGCAAGGCAGGAGAGGTCTGCTGCTCCATGTTGGTTAGCTTCCTGGCAGGGAATTGAACTCATGCTGCAGTGGCTGTCCATACTTTCATAGTGCTGAGACTTAACCCCTTGCACCACCAGGGAGGCCCCAAAATTAATTTTCTTTAAAGTAAAAGCATTAGAATGGAGAGATGAACCCTTGTTTCTTTCATGTCTATCGCAATTTTAGTTTGCTTTAACACCATTTCATTACAGAAATGATTGTAAAGATTTAGTGTGTCCCACAGCACCAAAGTAATGGTACTTTGAAAGGCGAAACCAAGATTACTGATTATACTGCATTTTTTCATAGGTGTCTTAATGACATAAAAAATTACCACATTTTCACTAAATTAAAGATAACATTTTAAGGTCCTAGGTCCCTGTAAGGCCTTGACATCATTGCAGTAGAGAGAGAGAGAGCGTGTGTGTGTGTGTGTGTGTGTGTGTGTGTGTGTGGAGAGAGAGAGAGAGAGAGAGAGAGAGAGAGAGAAAAGAGGACAGCAAATAGCCAACTGTTTCCTTCCTTTGCTCTTCATTGAGCTTTCATGTGGTTTTCTCCATTCTCTTCCTTTACCTCTTAAGTTAGAAGACATGTACTGGGTCTGTGGAGTTCTGTGGACTAACCAGAGACTAGGCACTTTGGGAGTAAATTTCCTTTGCCCTGAGATGACTGTGTTCTTTCCATGTGACTTGCATTCCACTCCCGGTTCTTCACCCCACTTTCCAAAATGGTCACTCTCAAGTGTGAACTTGAGAAGATAAAATTATCGTCATGAGCTCTCCATTATAGGAACTGAATTGGTTTTTATGGCCAGTGCTATAAGCATCTTATTAAAAGACTTGAGTGATGAACTTACCTATGTGGATGTTGATGAAGGCAAATTGAGGGGTGAGATTAGATCTTCAGCAGGGCAGCCTTTCCATGAAAATGTTAAATGTTGTTTCCTGCAAAGATTACCTTGTCTCTGCAAACTCTCACCTGGTACACAGCAGGTGCACACTCAGTAAAAAAAGAAATATACCTTGATACAGTCAAATGAAATGTGTCCATTTGTAAAGTAGTGATTTCCAGTACTACCCATTTAAAACCCTGTCACAAGCTGATAATTGTTTCCAAGCCAGTGGATAGCTTAACTTATATAACTTGGAAGTTGAATGCATATCCACAAAATTGTGTTACTGGAAATGGCTATATCTGAACATGGTTGTAATCTGAACACTGCCCATTTCCTTTTTTTTTTATTTTTATTTTTTATTTTTGCTCCTTTTGTTTTTGTACATTTCCATTTCTTTATCGGACAAAACTTGGTATCCACTCTTTAAGCTGTCATGGATGGATTCTTGGAAGCACGGAGACTTAGGTGTACCTGTGTGGAATGAATATTGCAGGTATCCCTCTTAAGAATCTGAAATCAGATATAGGAACTGATAAAGAACCTGAATAATAAGAAAATATCACAAAGAATTGATTTCCTGTGGCTATGAGAGGGATAAAAGGAAAGGTTATACTCATTGGGCCTTTGGCCTTTCTGTACCTGGTTTGATGTAAAACATTTTGAAGAATCTTAGGAGAGTGCATCCAGTTTCCACCATAAGTAAGAGCCTCTGTGGAATTAATTAAATATTCCTTAGTGTTCTTGTGTCCTGGGAAGAATGGTATTGCAAATTTTATGAAAGTAAAGGTGACTCTTGAAGAGGAGATTGATTTGAAAAGGGACATTCAGAATGAGCTCAGGCTTGAAAGTTGTATAAAGCTACCATTCTGAAATCATTGAAGACAGGATAGTAGCTACAGTATTGTGTATATATATATATGTATATTTTTAAAGATTTATTTATTTGTTTGTTTATACAAGCACTGGGTACAGTCAGAAGCACAGGAGGGTAAGAGAATTCACCAGAGCCAGAGCGGGGAGCAGAACAGGCAGACAGACGAAATACACTGCTGAGGGGAGCAGTGGGCGATAGGAGAGGTCTTTGCGCCATGTGAGACCCTCGCCGTCGGCCAGGGATCGAACCGGCGCTGCAGAGGTTGTGGGCAGCTTCGCAGCCCAGCGCTCAACCGCTGCGCCACCAGGGGAGGCCCTGTATATGTCTTTTGAATAAACCTGATTCTCATATTTATTTAGCCCTCTAGCCTTTTGATTTAATATTCACATGCTGGGTTATACTTTTTATAGTTCCTAAGCGACTGCGTGTAAGATAGTTTTGATACCTCTGATGTACAAATACTTGTTAAATATATAATAGTTGCCATTTGGGCTAAAAGAATATATGGTTTTATAGGACTTAATTCTTTTATTTTAGAATATGCTAATTCTTTAAGTCTCACTTGTACACTATGTTCATTTATATGACATAAGTATTATAACTGTGAAAATAAAAATTGTGTATGCACTTAAATTAATTCTAAATGTTAGTTCCAATCCTAACACTAAAAGAAATCTATTTCACCTTGGGGGAAAAAAATAGTATTTCAAGGTGCAATTTATTCTGAAAACAGTTTACTGTTATTATAGATTTTATTGAAAGCTTCCTTATATTTTAGAATTCTTTTCTGTATTTTAAGAACTCATAGTTTAAAAAGTTAATGAAAACAATGTATTACTATTTAGCCTGTCTTCATTTTCTCTTGCTTTATTTTCTTAAAACATTGAAAACTAGTTGACTGGCATGGTCATATAATTTGTTGTGAAACTGTTGGCCATACTTTTCAGAAAATATCAATTATTGATGATGTATAATAACTTGGAAAAGATCTGTTTCTATAAAAATATAACATAATTTGTCCTTGCAAGTTTTACATAGTTGTATAAATCTCTCATTTGCCATGCTGTAATCCTTGTTTTTCACATTTGTTAGGAATTGGCCTTCAGATAATTTCACCCATTAAAACTTACATTCAATTTTCTTTACATCTTCTGCACACTCATTGCAGTTATTTAAAAATTGTTTTTCTCCTCCACTTATTGGGATTAAATGATATTTTTGAGGTGAGACTTTGAAATTAATTTAAGGGCATATACATTTTTGGCGTTTGAGTTGTATGGAATTTTGAGTTTCATTTTTATATCGGTATATCTGTTTTATCACAATATAATGCCCAATACCCACTTGTTAATAGTAATTAAAGGACTTCAGAAAACTTTCTTTTTTATATAATTTTTAGCATCATTATATTTAAAGAAAAAAAACACCTACCACTATCTATTATACCCTTTTATAAAACCATCTTCACCTCTGGTAACTACAATTTGGTTATCAACATTCACTAGTTTGTTTTGTCTGTTCATCTACTTTGTTTCCTTATACCACATATTTAGATGAAATTGTCCAGAATTTCTTTATGTTTTATTAATTTCTCTTCACATAATCCTCTTGAGTTCCTTACACTTTGATCCAAATGGAAAAAATTTCATCCTCCTTTATAGGTGAATAGTATTATTCCATTGTGTATATTTACCATACCTGCTTTATCTAATCAGTGGACATTTCGGTTGCTTTCAAATATTGATGTAGATAACATAACAAGAATATTGTGGGGCATATATCTCTTCGACAAAATTTCATATTGTCCCAATAATACTCAGAAGTGGGATTATTTACTATTTTGAGGAAGGTCTGTACCTTCTAGTACCTAGACAATCCGTAGAGTACTTAGAAAATTGTGCACTTTTTTTTTTTTTTTTTGTGGGACCCTCGCCGACAACCGGGGAATGAACCGGTGCTGCAGAGACTGCAGGCAGCCTCGCAGCCCAGCGCTCAACCGCTGCGTCACCAGGGGAGGCCCGAAAATTGTGCACACTTTATAATTTGTGAATCCTATGTGGATAAACCTCAGAAATAGAGCTCTTTTGTTTCAGAGTAGTATTTCATTCTTTTTCAGCTACCTCTTACATAGCTCAGACTATACTTAGCGAGAAAAACTAGAAAACTGAAGTTTACTGTTGTATGTCACATCATTGGCCTTTTGAGGGACACATACTAAGAATTATTACAATATTGCACATGTACATTTTAGGCTGAACTAGAGTTCATAGTACAGTTGTAGGTGAATGATTTTCTCAGTTCATTTTGAGATATTTATTACTGAAAAGTACTTTAAAAGTTAAGTCCATTTTATGAACTGTGGTCTCTTTCTGTCAGTAACAGCTTATTTTAAAATATTTTCAGGAAATGTGCAGAGCACTAAACAAGTTAAAAAACACAACTGATTTACAGATACATGAGTGGTCTACATGCTTCAACCCTAGTGCCTATGTATGTCTGTAGTCTCAGAGTAAGTGCACTTTTTCCTTATAAATTGCACACTATATGATTTTAGAAATTTTTGTTTAGAATTAAGAAACTAAAATATTTAAAGCATAGCTACTATAGCTTTTGCTGTGTATAAAGAAATGAGATAAATGACAATGCGAATTTATAAAAGAGTAATGCACCAAAAAGATTTAAATTATTTTATTTACTGAATTTCAGTATCTTTTATGTGCTTGTTGAGATGTAGAATTCCTATATGATGTTAAAGACAGTAATCTCTAAGGGAGTTTCATAAAAATCTGTATAATGTAATTCCACTACTTATACTTACTATGTATACATTCAGATATGCCATATATTGAGTATATTATTTTTTTTCTGTTACTGCTGTAACTTCACAAACTTAGTGACTTAAAACAACACAAATTAATTTCTCTCAGTCCTATAGTTAGAAATCTAAAATGAGTCCCACTGTGCTAGGATAGAATCTGTCCATTTCCCTCCCCCCCACCCCCCAGTTTCCCAGCTTGCAGAGGCTTTTCACATTCCTTGGCTGAAGACCTCTTTCTGTTCAGAGCCAACAGTCACTCTGACCATGTTTCCATTGTCATTTCCTCCTCTCATTTTCTTCTGCCCCCCCTTCCACTTTTAAGGACCCTTGTGATTATATTTAACTGCCCTGGCCAATCCAAGATAATTTCCTATCTTAAGGTTAGCTAAGTAGCAACCTGATTTCATTTATGAACTTAATTCCCCTTTGCCACACAACCAAGCTTTTTCACAGATTCCCAGGAGTAAGATGTGCACGTTTGGGTCCATTCTGCCTACTACAGGGGTTGAGGTGACTACTCACTCCCTTTAAGAATCTCTGGATTTTAAAGCCCAAGCAAAGAGAATCAACCATTTTATCGAATAGAATGGAACCAAGCCATAAAACTGCCTTGTAAATATTAAACTTGGTAGTACCTAGCCAGATAGAAATAGTAGGATTATTGAGGGCAAAAAATCTTGAAGTTGATGTTTCTTTGCTATTTAACATTAAACATTTAATGTTTCTTAAACTAGTATGACTACGTTATGATGTTGTTGACTTAAAAAATACTATATATGGATGTGCCATAAATTGGTGAGTTTTGATTTTGGTCATCTAGATTTTAATTTTTCAAAAACTTTTAAAAAAAAAACCTCTAGTACACTGTCATTAATTAAAGTTTATCAAGGTAAATAATGAAACATGTTGGAATGTTATTATGTAGGTGAAAGTGAAACAGCAGGCTTATAGAAGACAAATGTCTGTTCCTTAGCAATAATTGGAATACCCTGATATTCAGACTTTTCTTTCAATACTAATCAACCTTTTTAGAACACTGTAATGCATAAGTTAGTTAACAAGTTGGAGCATAGCACCAATGAAGTAAAATTCAGTTTCTCCACTTAGTTAATTTCTTATAATTTTTTGATGACTTATTTGACATTTTCCTTAACAGCATTTGTGTAAGTTAGATCATAAAGAGAATCTAGTAAAAAGAATGTGGTTCAGCCCATGCAAATTAATAATATTCAATGTTGTAAGTAGACATACCACTTTCTACAACACTAATAGAAGCAGTGACAACAAACACTATGTGGAGGGTGTGTGCACCATTAATTCTTAATAGGAAATTACTTTTTTCACTTTTTAAAATGTATCATTTCAGTCAGTACCAGAATAAGTTTTCTAATTTTTTAATTTTCCATGGCTTCAATAAATCACTTTTGTGACAGCTTCAGACTTATTTCTGCTATGCTGATTCTTCTAAATTTCTGATCTTTATGACTTTTGTCATATCTTTCACATATAGAAAAAAGTGCTAGAATTATTGTCATCTGACTTGGGAAGACCTACTTATTTCTCTTTTATAGTTTTTAGAGTTGAAGAAATCCTCGAGCAAGCGGACTACTTATATGAAAGTGGAGAAACAGAAAAACTTTATCAGTTGTTAACCCAATACAAAGAAAGGTGGGCAGACTTGGTTTTGCAATTTCCTCTAAATTTTTGTTATTTAACAAAATGATTCTTGGTGCTAAAATATTTCATAGATTTTTTTTTTTAGACAATTACAGAACTAAAGAGAGATTGACAAAATACAATAATACTGTGGTATTTTAATAGCCACTTACAACTGTGGAAGATCAATAAGACAGAATAAGGAAACACTGGCCCTGAATGAAGAACTAAGTCAAATAAATTTAATAGATATCCAAAGAATACTGCAATCCAAAACTGCTGCATACACATTTGTTTCTTACTGTATGTAGAACATATTGAAGAATAGACTGTATGTTGGAGTCCATTCATAAAACTACAAAGATCAAAATTATACCAACCACCCTCTCTGAATATAATGCCATAAAACTAGAAATTAACTTTAAAAAAATAGGAAAAATTATAAACACATTGAGATTTAATAATATCCTACTTAGGGCCTCCCCGGTGGCGCAGCGGTTGAGCGCTGGGTTGCGAAGCTGCCCGCAGCCTCTGCGGTCCCAGTTCGATCCCCGGCTGCTCCCCGGCCACAGGAGGAGGGTCCCACATGGCGCGCAGACCTCTCCTGCCGCCCGCTGCTCCCCTCAGCAGTGTACTTCGGTCCTTCTGCCTGCTCTGTTCCCCGCTCTGGCTCTGGTGAATTCTCTCACCCTCCCGCGCTTCTGACTGTACCCAGTGCATGTATAAAAACAAACAAAAAAATAAAATAAAGGAGATTGAATTCTGGTTCCTTCTAAAAAAAAATATATATATAAAAATATCCTACTTAATAGCTATTGCATAGAAGAGGAAACTAAAATGAAAATTTAAAAATACCTTAAGAGTAAATTAAAATGAGGATGCAAACTATCAGAATCTATGGGATGCAGCAAAGATAGTCTTAAGAGTGATAATTGCATTGTAGGCCCACATTAAGAACCAAGGAAAATCCCAAATAAAAAGTCTAGTACTATACCTAATTTTATGTGAATACCATTTTTGTTAACATTTGATAATGCGAGATTGAAGGCAAATATTCCATATAAAGGGAATTTAAGGTTTTTAAATTTTTTCCCCAAATGTGGTTACTATTTATTGTTTTATGTAATTGTATTTAAATGACAGTTCTTCAAGGAGGTTTTTTTGTGTGTTTTTTTTTTTTTAAGATTTATTTATTTATACAAGCACTGGGTATAGTCAGAGGCGCAGGAGGGTGAAAGAATTCACCAGAGCCAGAGCGGGGAACAGAACAGGCAGACCGACAAAATACACCGCTGAGGGGAACAGCGGGCAGCCGGAGAGGTCTGCGTGCCATGTGGTACCCTCGCCGGCGGCTGGGGATTGAGGCAGCCAGGGATCGAACTGGTGCTGCAGAGGCTGCGGGCAGCTTCGCAGCCGAGTGCTCAACCGCTGCGCCACCGGGGAGGCCCTCTTCAAGGAGTTTTAATGGCAATATTTGAAATGTACCATGCATCACGGCACAGATGACACATTCAAAAAAATTTGAGATAACATTATAGTTAATCATTCATGAACAAATATTTATCATATACCTGTAGTGTGCCAGGTACTATATGTGAGCTAGGGATACAACAGTTTTGTTTTATAGAGCATGACTTTGTTAATAAAGTTTTATGTATTTTATGGTACTGTTTGGACTGATTTAGAGAGAGTTACCTGAAGCACAGTGCCAGTGAGGTCAAGCAAGTTATATGTTGAATTTTATAAGACAAGTGTTTAGGGAATTCAGACACTAAGATTTTTTTTTAAGAAAGTTGGTATTTTAGATACCATAGGTAAGTTTATTAATTATATTGGATATTTTGTAGAAATTTTAGCAAATAAAGGTTTTATATGAAAGAAAACAATTGCTTTTGATTTGCTACTTGCTCTGTTTTCATAAGTTGAACAATTGTATTTATTAGTTATGGACCTGGAACAATTTTAAAATGTAAGCTAAAATGGTGGTTTTATGTTTATTTCAAAATAGTGAAGATGCAGAGTTACTCTGGCGTTTGGCACGGGCATCACGTGATATAGCTCAGCTTTGTGGAACCTCAGAAGACGAGAAAAAGCTGTTGGTGTATGAAGCACTAGAATATGCTAAAAAAGCCCTAGAAAAAAATGAATCAAGTTTTGCAGCTCACAAGGTAAGTTGTTTAAAGTAACTAAGTTGTTGTTGAGTACTGAAAGCTACATTGGTTTATACATACCTAAATTGTTTTTAAGTAGGGAAGATATTTTTGTAGATAACATTAATATTTAAAAATTATCTTATAAAATTTATAAAGTATATTTTAAATTAATTTTATAAATTTTTCTTTTTTTTTTTAAAGATTATTCAAACAAGAACTGGGGTACAGACCAGAGGTGTGGGGGTGGGGGTGAGAGGATTCACCAGAGACAGAGTAGGGAGCACAGCAGGCAAAGTGACTGAAATACACTGCTGAGGGGAGCAGCAGGCAAGACAGGAGAGGTCTGCTGCGCCATGTGGGTTAGCTCCCTGGCTGAAATCAAACTCAGGCTGAAGTGGCTTCCCATAGCTTTATAATGCTGTGTCTCAACCCCTAGCGCCACCAGGGAGGCCCTTACAAATTTTTCTAAACGTGCTTTTTTCCTTTTCATTCTTAGACATTATCACTTCACCAATATGTTTAATTACTTTTGTAATGCTCATTTTTAAAAATATTTTATTTTATATAATTCTTACATCATTTTTCATCTTTGCACAATGTATGCATTTGCATTATGGTTATATTCCCCATACAATTGCACCCCCCCTTATTTTGACTCTAGTTTTTCCTCTTCCCTCCCCTCCCTCCCCCCTACTCCCCAGTGTGTCTCTGGTTTATAGTTGCTTGTTGATTTTGATTTTTACCTTGTATTGATTAGTCTTTTTCCTGGTCTCTTATTTAAATTTTCTGAATTCCTGCTATGAGTGAGACCATCGGTATGTAATGCTCATTTTTAAACGAAATTGTTAGTTTATCCAATAGCTGTATTCCTGGTAGTACAATCACTTGACAAATGTTTTCTCATTTTTCTCACATTATATTTCTGTTTCATGTGAAGGTAGGACTATAGCACCTGAACAACTAAGAGGTAGTGCAGTTTCACACATAACTACAAATTTCTGTATTTGCTAACCAGTTAGAATAGGTTTTTCAATGAACAGTGTGTGGAGGTTAGGAAATGTTATTTATATTTTGTATTAGGACATTACTTTATCATGTTGGATTGTGCTCAGTAGAGTCCCCAAGTCTTGTGACAACCTTCACAATTCCAAATGCTCCTTTTAGAGGCTCCCCTTTTCTCCCACTGCTCACCACTAGAACTGCTGCTGCTGATTTATAAGGGTCAAACAAGTTAGAAATCCTTTTTATTTGGGACTTGGTCTTTGGCCCATCTTTGTAAATTTTCTTTGTGCACATGAAAACAATGTTTGTTCAGCTATTGTTAGGCATATTTTATAAATATCATTCAGGTCATATTGGATGGTAGGTGCTATTCAAATCTATAGCCTTGCTGATTTTCTGTCTACTTGTTCTATACGTTATTGCAAAAGGGGTGTTGAAATCTTCAAGTATAACTGTAGATTTGTCTGTCTCTGCCATTTTATTAGTTATTGCTAATGTATTTAAAGATGTTATTAGTAGGTCTATACATTTAGGATGGTTTTCTTGATGCTTGACCTCTTTATCAGTGTAAAATGATCTTCCTTATCTCTACATATTCTTGGTTTTACAATATACTTTATATTAATGTCATCCCTCTTATTTTCTTGTGATTAATGTTAGTACGGCCTTTCCTTTTCTGTCCTTTTTCTCATATTTTATATGTGTCTTTATATTTAACATGTACTTTTATGAAGGTGATAAATCCTGCTTTTAAATTTTTTTTTAAGAGTGATTTATTTATGCATACAAGAACTGCGGTATAGTCCAGAGATGCGGGGGGTGAGAGGATTCACCAGAGACAGAGTGAAAACAGAACAGGCAGATTAACTGAAGTACACTACTGAGGGGAGTAGCAGGCGAGTCAGGAGAGGTCTGCTGCGCCATGTGGGTTGCTCCCTGGTGGGCTGGGGATGGAACAGGTGCTGCAGAGGCTGTGGATTGCTTCATAGTGTGGTGCTTATTAACCCCTTGTGCCACCAGGGAGGCCCTATTTTCATTTTTTATACATCCCATTATACAAAATTCACTGTTGTAAAAAGTATATACTTCAGTGGTGTTTAGCATATCAATATGTTGTGCAATCACCACCACTAATTCCAGAATGCTTCCATTACTCCAAAAAAGAAATCCCATGCTAGTTAGTCCTTTACAAGATCTTCTTGTCTCTAGGAATTTGCCTGGGCATTTTATGTAAATTGAATCATACACTATATAACCTTTGTACGTCTGACTTCTTTCACTTAATATATTTTCAAGGTTCATCTATGCAGATCATGTGACAGTTGGCTGAATTTACACTCCAATGTGTATGATATAGCACTTTCATTTATTTGTCAGTTGATGGACATTTGGGTTGTTTTCCCCTTTTTACTATTATTAGTAATGCTGCTATATATAAATGATTGTGCACAAGGTTTTTGTGAATATCTGCTTTCAGTTCTCTTTGTAAGTGATGTAAATTCACATAAGATTTATCATTTTACCATGAACAGTCCAGTGGCATTTAGTACATTTATACTGTTCAACTGTTGCTTCTATCTAGTTCACATTTTTTTATTATCCTGAAAGGAAACTCCATACCCATTAAGCAGTCCTTCTTACTATTCCTTCTTACTATTCCTCCCTTCTTACTATTCCTTCTTAATCCCAGTCCACGGTAACCACTAATCTGAATTCTGTCTCTGACTTTTCATATAAGTAAAATCATACATCTGTGTCTGGCATCTTTCACTTTACAGATTGTTGAGATCCATCAACATTATAATTTGTGTGAATACGTCATTCCTTTTAATGGCTGAGTAATATTATGTTTTGTAGATATACCACATTTTGTTTCCGCATTCATAGTTGGTAGACATTTGGATTATTTCTACCTTTTGCTATTTATAGTGTAGCTATCAGTGTTTCTTTTAAGGGCCTCCCTGGTGGCGCGGCCGTTGAGCGCTGGGTTGTGAAGCTGCCTGCAGCCTCTGCAGCGCCGGTTCGATCCCCAGCTGCTCCCCGGCTACTGGAGGAGGGTCCCACATGGCGCGAAGACCTCTCCTGCCTCTCCTGCCGCCCACTGCTCCCCTCAGCAGTGTACTTCAGTCCTTCTGCCTGCTCTGCTCCCAGCTCTGGCTCTGGTGAATTCTCTCACCCTCCTGCGCTTCTGCCTGTACCCAGTGCTTGTATAAATAAATAAATAAATCTTAAAAAAAAAAAGAAAATGTTTTTTTAAAAAAATAAAATATTTAAGAACATTTTTCAATTTTTTTAAGTATATATCTAGAAGAACTGCTAGATCATATGGTAATTCTATGTAATCCTTTTTTTTTTTAAGATTTATTTATGCATACAAGAGCTGGGGTACAGGCCAGAGGCGTGAGGGGTGAGAGGTTTCACCGGAGATAGAGTGGGGAGCAGAACAGGCAGATGTACTGAAATACACTGCTGAGGGGAACAGTGGGCAAGTCAGGAGAGGTCTACTGGGCCATGTGGATTGCTGCCTGGCCGGCTGGGGGATCAAACTCATTCTACAGAGGCTGCAGACAGCTTATCGGTTGCTTCTTAACCCCTTGTGCCACCAGGGAGGCCCTGTGTAATTCTTTTTTGAGAAACTGTCAAACTGTTTCCAAAGCAGCTGTTCCTTTTCACATTGCAATGTATGAGGATTCTAATTCTTCTGCATTCCTTGTCAGTATTTGTTTTTGTCCAGTGTAAAAACTACAGTTATCCTAGAGGATATGAAGTGGTATCTCATCATGGTTTCGATTTGCATTTTCCCAATAATTAATACTGTTGAGGATCCCTATAGGTACATTCAGGTATTTATAGATCTTCTTTGGAGGAATTTCTATTTAACTTTTGTGCCCATTTTATAATTGGGTTGTCTTTTTATTATTGAGTTGTAACAGTACATATTCTGGATACTAGCTCCTTGTTAGATAATATGCAAATAGTTATTCTTAACTTTGGATCCTTTTCATTTTATTGGTAGTGCTCTTTGATGCAAGAGATTTTAATTTTAATGAAGTCATCTGTACTGTTTTGATTGCTTAGCTTTTGGTGTCATCTTAAAAACTTGCCCAATTCAATATTTTTATATAGATTTTTTCACCTATGTTTTCTTCTGAGAATTTTGTTTTCCCTCTTACATTGTTAATCCATTTGGAGTTAACTTTTGTACATTACACAGGTATGAGTATGGGCCCAAATACATATTTTGCATATAGACACCCAGTTGTCCTAGTACCTGTTGTTGAAGACTATTCTTGGCATCCTTGACAAAAATCGATTGAACACAAATGTATAGGTTTAATTTTGTACTCTCAACTTTATTCCATTGATCTGTTTGTATTCTTATACCAGTACCACAGTGTCTTGCTTACTACAGCTTTTTAGTTTGTTTCTAGTATGTTTTGAAAGAAAGTGTGTTTTCCAACTTGTTCTTCTTTTCCAAAATTATTTTGATTATTGAGTCCCTTGAATTTCCATACAAATTTATGGTCAGCTTGTACATTTCTGTAAAAAAAATCAGTGGAGATTTTGGTAAGGTTTTTATTGAATCTGTAGATCAATTTGGAGAATATTGCCATTTTGGTAATACATCTTGCAGTCCATGAACATGTATTTAGGTCACTTTTTCTTCCAGTAGTGTTTTGTGGTGTCAGTGTACAAATATTTCACTTCTTTGAAATTATTCCTTAGTATTTTGTTCTTTTTGATGCTATTGTATATGGAATATTTTTTAAATTTTAATTTCAGATTGTTCATTGCTTGTATATAAGTGTGTGACCAATTGATTTTGTACCTGCAGCTTTGCTGAACTCATATATTGGTTCTACTAGTTTTTTTTTTTTTAAAGAGTCTTTCAGATTTTCTATATCTTATCATATTTTTTACTGTTTTCTTTCTAATCTGGACACTTTTTCAAAAACCCTTTGCCCAAATTCCATCACTAGAATTTGCAGTACAAGGTTGCACAAAGTGCCAAAAATGGATGTATTTGTCTTGTTCCTGATGTAGGATGAAAGTAATTAGTCTTTCATGATTAATTATGTTAGCTATGGGTTTTCCATAGCTGCTTTTTATTAAAGTGAGGAAGTTTCCTTCTTTTCCTAGTTTGTTGATTATGGATCTTTGATGTTCAGATTTTAGGGAAGAAACTCAGTTTGGGACTGCTGTCCAACTGTTGAATTATGGGGACAAGATCACAATTGACAGGTGTGGCTGTTTCTAGTATAATGCAGATGTGGAAGAAGAGGTTGCTTTCAGAAAGAGGATGAGAAAAGTGCTGGTCATCAATTGCTAATTTTTCAAAATTTATACTTATCTTTAAGTTGTACTAATAATTTTCCTGAAGATTCTCTGCTCTCTACATAGCATTATTGTCCTCTATAAACACGTCATATCATTGTTTCATGAGGGCCATGTCCAGTTTTCTTAGTGTATTCCAGTATATTTAACACAGATTTTATGCTCATCTTTTTGGTAGGTGAGAATGACTTGAGGAATAATAGTTATTGTTTTACCTTGTATGGATGGAATATTGTTTACTCATAAACCTTTTGTTTTTCAGTGGTATGCAATCTGTATAAGTGATGTTGGAGATTATGAAGGCATCAAGGCTAAAATTGCAAATGCCTACATTATCAAGGAACATTTTGAGGTACTAATGATTTTTAAAAGTAATTTTTCTGAATAAATGTCTGTTTTACTTAATCTATTGTTGTATATATAGCAAACCTCTGAAAGCTGGGTAACAATGGCAGTTTATTTCTCATGTGGGTTAACTGAACACAGTGTTGCTTGTTTTGCTTGGTATAACAGGTCATTTAGATGGGAACATTAAACTGGGGTTCAGCAGACCTAGATTCTTGTTCAGCATCAATAGTGTGTGTGTTTATGTTTATGTATACACATATGTATATATTTCAATTTAATAGTATACATTTTCCAAGATTTTTCAAAGGAGATTGCATTCTATAATCAGTGGGTATTTATATAATCAGGGTATTTTACCATTGGCAGTGCTTTCTTCATGGTATATTAGTGATGTCATAACATTTATGGTAGTTGAGAGTCAGTGAATTAGTAATTTTCTCAGTGGTATTAGATAAACAACTAGCCTTTAGATTTTTAGTGCTGAACTAAATGTAGATTAATAATCTACGTGTTAATTATAATGTATACCTGAAACTTCAATTAAAAAAGAAATCACCTCTTTATGCCTCAGGATGTAGTAATACATGACAGATACTTCCAATGTGAATAATGGAAAAGTTGCAGAAAATGCTAATTTTCTTCAGTGCAACAGTAAAAGCTGTAGATTATTTTTTAAGAACCCAGTGTTTTGTGTAAGTTCTCCAATGTATGTTAATGTAAAAGGACAATGTTCCATATTTACATGCTAAAAAGATCATAAACTTCTTCTGTTTCAAATTCCATTACTACCTCTAAAGTTGTAAGAAATTACTGTCTTTGAATTGTTTTTGAACATACTTAAAGTAATGATAAAGAGGATTACAAAAGATAGGATTTGCTTGAGTGGAGCCCCTCTCAGCCTTTCTAATAAGAGCATTATTTCTGATGTCCCAAGGCATCTACTGTTTGTGATGAATGAACTTCTTTCTGATGCACCTAGAATGGTACTTGCTTTGTACCATTCTTTGTAGAATGGAGAAAAACTCTCATATAATTTTTTACAGGATTCAGTTTGCTAGTGCAACTCCAGTTGGGAAAGAGTATATACTGTATATATGTTAAAATATATTTTGCTATAAAGAGTATCACTTTTTATGGAAAAGTAACAATTGGGTCAGTGCTGGTTTTTACCCATTATTGTTGAAACAAAATTTCTGCCAAGTTGTATTTGATGACTTTCATTTTAGCTATAACCTCTGCTACTACTAACATTAATTAGTGTTAGTAATACATTAAATGCTTGGTACTTATGAAAAGTAAGTATAATAATGATGGTTGTGATAGAAATTATTACTTTGTTAAGCACCTCCTGTTAACTCACTAATTTTTACCACAACCTTTAAGATAGTTGTATTTTTCTCCAGCCTATAAAAAAGCAAACTTAGGCATGGCAAGAAGATAGAACTTGGAAGCAACTATTGTTTAAAAATAAACAATGATTGGGCCACTCCAGTGGCGCAGCGGTTGAGCACTGGGTTGCGAAGCTGCCTGCAGCCTCCGCAGCGCCGGTTTGATCCCCGGCTGCTGGGCAAGGGTCCCACATGGCGCGCAGACCTCTCCTGCCGCCCGCTGCTCCCCTCAGCGGTGTACTTCATCACTTTGCCCATTCTGTTCTCCACTCCAGCTCTGGTGAATTCTCTCACCCTCCCGTGCTTCTGACTATACCCAGTGCTTGTATAAATAAATAAATAAATCTTAAAAAAAAAAAAAAAGATGTAAAAAATAAAGTAGGAAAAAAAAAAAAGAATATAGAACTTGCCGAGATCAAAAAGATGGAAGTTATTGAGCTGTAATTTGAACCCTGGTAGTGTGACTTCAGAACCTATGCGGGTGAAAATGTCTCTCACGTATTATGAAACTGAAAGTGAAAGAATAGGCTTACTAGGAAATAGCATTTCCTAAAAAAGTTTTAGTTTAATAGGATTAATATTAAATTAATATTAAATTCTCATTTCTTTTTAGAAAGCAATCAAACTAAACCCTAAAGATGCTACTTCAATTCACCTTATGGGTATTTGGTAAGAAAATTTTTTCAAATGTTTCAGTGGTATGTAGTATGATCTGCCAAATACTTAAAAATATTTTACATCTCACTTCCATACACTGCAAAATATTTGGTGGAGGCAAGAGAATTTAATTCATTAAATTAACTAGCACTTTTGCATATATAGTTAGAAAATAGTATATTTGTAATCATACTAAATATTGTTATTTGATTATTTAGGAATATCTACCGATATAAAAAGGAAATAAAGCCTCTGAAATCAATTTGTTGAGAAACACTATTTTCATTTACCAGGCTGCATGTAGTTGGATTAATTTAATTACAGTAATATAATATGTAGGATGCTCTAAGAGGGTCTTTCCATCTTCAAAGTATGTTAAATACAGTCTGATTCATTTGAGAAACAATTTGACTTTTACTCTTTCCTATATATGCCAACATCATTCTGCTGGCATTAGTGCACATTAATATGTCAAATGCTGTATTATCATTATTAGTACTATTGTTTAATATATTTTAATCACAAAATACACCCTAATTGATGGATCAGTATTAATCAGTCTCTAGATAATTCAGTGAATATTAACCTACTAGATACTATTAAGTACAAATTATTTAAACGTGTAACAAAAAATTCCTTTTTCATTGGTATGTGTAGTTTTCTTTAGGGGAGAAAGGTACAATTTGAATGTTGTTTTATTTTCCTATAGGTGTTACACATTTGCAGAAATGCCTTGGTATCAAAGAAGAATTGCTAAAATGCTGTTTGCAACTCCTCCTAGTTCCACCTATGAGGAGGTATTGTGATGTCCTTTATTAAATTAGTACTGATTTCTTAACTGCAGTGCCATTCTACAGTGTCCACACATCTGGAGCTCTGATCAGTGAGAAACTCAAGCACTTTTCTAACCATCCAGTGCAACTATCTTATTACAAAGGTATAATACTTTCCTATAACTGGTGAGTGGTTTTTTCTTTAGGTTAGTAGCTGGCAATTCCATTATATTTGTTGGCTAAAATGGCACAAAAGTCTACCTTCATTTTCTGTTTGAAATTTATACCATATAATGGTCATTACAGCATTGTTACTCAGCATGTTTTGGATACATATTCTGAATAAGTCATTTATGTAGACAGTATAACATGTTTGTATTGATAGAGAAACAGTAATTTTCACTTTCTTTTAAAAGTGGGTTTGAAAAGCTCATTTCATTGATATTTTCAAGGCCTTTGGCTTTTGCAATTGCAAATAAAATCTGAAAAGGATTTCAAGGCAAATATTTTCTTTTTACACCATCACAAAATTTTCAGAGTAAGGAAACAAGTGACTGAAAAAGCTTTCTCAATACTTGCATTATAATGAGCTTTTTTTTTTTTTCTGGGAAGCAGTAGTGTAGAATTTAAAGTAAAAATATTTAGTTGTGTAATTCGAACAGATATGGGTGGAAATGTTATTAAAAAGAATGCATTCTAAGGAGAAAAGATACATAGTACTAACAAATAATGTTTCTGAGAAATCAATTGTCAGTTAATGCATTATAAAAAATCTACATGGGACCAAAAGGAATTAGCAGAGCTCAAACTCACAAAAATAGTTTATATGGGGATTTTAATAATAAAGGAATTTCAAAAATTCGTTGACACATTATTTACCATTCAGTTTTTGATTATATTTACTTTTTACTATATTTTACTTTTTACTGAGTTGCACATGATCATCTTTATTTCTTCTTTGCGCATGCTAATTTAATACAAGTCCTAAACAGCAACCAAGTTACTACCTAAAGTAATACACATACTGTAATCCTGTTCTCTGCAGATTTAATAATGCTGCATTCAATTTACCTATGGTAACTGTTATTGTTAAAAAATTCACTGGTTAAGGATGTTTTCATTTACTTCTTGACTTAATATAGGAATTGAGAAAATGCTTTTTTAATATCAGTTGTCTTAAACTTTTACATTTCGTGGGCTCTTTGTGTTTCTTAACAGGCCTTAGGCTACTTTCAGATGGCAGAAGAAGGTAACTTTTCTTTTTATATACTGAATGTATGTAATTTGTATGAGTGCTCTCTTTATATAACAGCAATTTTAAAGTAAAAATGTTAGTTACTCTCATATACTTCATTTTGCACTAGACAATGAAAATTTTTTAGAAGTATTCAGTAAGGGAAGAAAATGGGCCCTGCTGAATATAGATTTGTAGTTCTGGAATGGTCCTTCACTTGATGTAACTCAACTTCCTTTGGAGAGGAGACCTTGACAGACTAGCTGTTTTATGACACAGCTAATTAAAGGCATTAAATGAAAGCTCAGTTTTTAAACCAGGCCAGTTTTTGTTCTGTTGCAGGTAATGTCTCTTGTGAAGATGTTTCATTCATTCTTGCTTTGAAGAAACCACCTACAGATCAGTCACTACCTTATCCTGTTTATTAGTTTAATATTAACAGTACAAACTAGAAAAGAGACACAACCATGTTACCAAATATACAACCCAAAAAAGGACTGCAAGCATTTCTATAAAACTTAAGTTAGAAGAAAGTTAATGACAATGTTTATTACATTTGAAAACCTACTCACTATGGATTTATTCAAACATTTTCATGATAGCAAAGCATCTTTTAAAGACAGCTTTCTAAACTGTCTGAATATCACTATCTCTTTAAGACATTCATTCTGATTTAATGTCATTGCTTTTCATTGATACCCTCATATGATGGTAATTTTCGTATCATGAAAATATAGGAGTAAAAATTTCTCACATTGTGTAATTATACAGCCTTATCTCATGGTGTAATAATAAAGCCTTAGAGACTTAGGGTTAGAAGTGTTGAGAAAAACACGGTCATAGCTTTGTGGAGCTGAAATAATTCTGTGACTTCAGTTCTCCAGATGGTACCTTAAAGGTCACTTCCTCTAGGCAGTTTTTATGACCCATACTTGGTTTAGAAGCTCCTCCTAAGTATTTAGTGACTTTTACTTTTCCCACAGTATAAATATATCTGTTTCAAGGTCTAAGACTAAATTCAGATAAGATAGGAACTTGGTCTTTTTTGTATGGTTGCATCCTCATTGCTGGACATAATACTTGGTGAATACTCAGTGAATGACTATGAATGAGTGAATATACTTAACTCCAAGGAAACCTTAAACACATCAACATGGCATCTCACTAATTTGTTCAAATTAAAAAGGTAATTTGTGGTTAAGCAGCAAACAGATTGAATTATTCATAAACTGTGGCAGCATAAAAATATGCTTTGAATATACAGGGTCCCAGGTCAAAGGGAGGACATTATAGAGGTAATGAAGTTAGCGAGACAGTCCCATCTCATCCATTGGCTTTTTGTTCACATTTTCCCTTCAGCCAAGCTTGTTATCCACTTTTATATTATAATCCTTTTCAGCCTCCAAGTCAGCCCAAGCATAACCACTTTGATTTAGTTGCTTTTGACTTCTCATTGTGCTTTAAAGTTTGTTGTTCTTAGCATGCTGTTCTTCCATCTTATGTTACACTTAGCTGTGCTCATATTTGTTTCTTGTTATTATAAATTCCCAAAGGGCAGAGACTGTATTTCATTTATGCTTAAGTAGATCCCACATATCAGTAAGTATTGATCACATTTATATAGATATATGTATATTATTTCATTCAGTTATGCAGCAAATGTATATTGAGTGTTATGTTCTAGGCACTTTTAGATACAGTAGGGAACAGAAGAGAGTAAAAAAATCCCTGTCGATAAGGAGCTTATATTTTACCAGGAACCTCAGTTTCTCTTCTGTTAAATGAAGGTATAAAAATGAGAACTATAGTGCCTAGTGAATAAATGGTTATTTTAACTTTTTTGAGATATAGTGGAACAGAAGAGAATTCCAATTAGCCTAATCATTTATTAACTACAAAATTACTACTAGAATTTAGACTAAAAAAAATTAAGCCTTTAAAAATAAGAACAATACTAATTCATCTGATACATTTTTTTCTTACGTACAGTGGATCCAAACTTCTACAGCAAGAACTTGCTTCTTTTAGGAAAGACCTATTTGAAGCTACACAACAAAAAGCTCGCTGCTTTCTGGCTACTGAAGGCTAAGGACTATCCAGCTCACACAGAGGAAGATAAACAGGTATTGCAGCTCCAAAAAAGTTGGTTTTGGTGTTTTTTTTGTTTTGTTTTTTGTTTTTTTGCCTAGAACTGTGGTGTTGGTTAAGAGGTGCAGGGGTGGAGGGGAGGGATGAGAGGATTCACCAGAGACAGAGTGGGGAGCAGAGCAGGTGAATTTACTGACATGTACTGCTAAGGGGAGTAGAGGGTATGATAGGAGAGGTCTGCTGCACCATGTGTGGGTTAACTCTCTAGCTGGGGATTGAACTCGGGCCATAGTGATTTAACCCTTAAGCTACCAGGGATGCCCCTCCGAAAAAGTGTTTAAGGCAAGATAAGGTTTCTGTTGAGGTAGTTAAATAAAGGTGAATTAAGATCTTTTAAAACATAATAGTCTAAATGCATGTATTATTGAAAATAGTGTTCCTTTCTATCATAAACTCATTGACATTAACATTTAAATTTATGGCAAATGTTTAGTTACTATCAACAGTAGGTACTATAAGTCTCATCCACAGTCACTATTTAAAAATTTTATCTTGACAATGTGCTATTTTGGTTTTTGGAAGCCACAGTTCACTTTATGAATTTTAATTTTAGAGGTTGATGTCTGCACTATACTATTTATAATATGTATTTTTCTATTATAGATACAGACAGAAGCTGCTCAGTTGCTTACAAGTTTCGGTGACAAGAATTGAAAATTTTGCAAAGAAAGCACATGAAATATCTAATATTGCCTTTTCATCAGATTATAAAGGTAATACATTAAACTGTAACTGCTCTATGACTTTTTCCTTAGTTCTTTCACTATTGTGACCATTTAACAGATACATAGAATTCTAGATTTCTTCACAAATAAGGCAAGTAATTGCTATAAATATGGTTCAGAGCCAGAAATTACTGTGCTACTGGTTAAGCCAGTAACACAAAGTGGTGGGAGATTTCTAAGGATTTAATCACATCGGGATGGGAAGAGATCAAGAAATGAAAGCTTTGTGGAAGAGGTCGTCACATGTGGGGAAGTATATTTTCAAGTTGGTTACATTCAAAGTTGAGCCCTTGCAGAGAAGGTACAATAAAAGTAAGGAGGTTAGGATGTTGAGTTAAATGGTTAAATGACGTATCTTAGAACAGTCTGCATAAGCAAAGAACTAAAGTCAAGGAAAAACTGAAAATGAGGTGGTTTCCTTCTTTAAATGTGAGTTTCACAAATGAATTGATCATTAAACAAAGCACAAATACTGTTCCCTAAGTGGAGGAAAGGAACACAGAATTCAAGAGTAAAATGGAAATGAATACAATTTTAAAACAGGCAATGCAATGTTTTGAGGCTGGTGTGCTTCCACTGTAAAATCTCAAATTTTCTAAAAAATATCTTGAAGGCCACTTAAATATATGTACATGTAGGTGTGCTATTAAGTTGTAATGTTAGTGAACTCTGGGTATGTGCTTTTTGTGTTTTATCAAGTATATTTTCAAAAAAGCTGTATTCATCTCTGATTCAATAACAGTTCATATTTTGCTATATTTTACTTACGTTCAGATATCTAAATATTTATATGTATTGTTATACCTTTGAAGTTAATTGCAGACAATGTATTTCATCACCCAAATACTTCAGGTTATATCATCTCAGAATAAGGATATCCTCAGCAAACCCAGTCTTTTATCACAACATTCATTCGCTAACATCATCTGGTAATATCCACCCATGTTCAGATTTCCTCAGATGTCCCAAAATGGTTTACATTTTTTAAAAAACAGGATCCAATCTGGTAATCACACATTTCATTTTCTGCCATTCTTATTACCTCTTAAATTCTCCCATCTTTTTTTCCCTCATAGTATTGACTTTTTGAAGAGGCTAGTTGTCTCACAGATTGCCCCTCATTCCAAATTGATTACATTTTGAGAACCACTGGTCCACCTTATTTTCAGGAATTCCAGCTAATTATATGTTTATTAGATTTGCTTTGCCTAACTTTGACCATTTTCTGAATACTTACCTCTTTCGGTTTCATTTCTTGCCTCTTCATTTCTGTCTTCTTTGTCCTTTATTTTTGATTGTTTTCTTAGATAATTGTGGTCATTTCTGAGGTTAGTTTTTCATTTCCCCCCTAATTTCAGGAAATGAAATGCATGTTGGATTTTACATCTTCATGTTATTTGTCCAGTTGTGAGCTTTTGAATTTATTTGGGCACTTTCACATTTGCATTTATTTATGTCTCATGTTACCATGTTACAGAATTTTACTGTTTTCTTTACTTTGAGCATTTCACCTTAGTTCCCCCCACCCCCTATTTTTCTCTTTAAATTGATTTTCTTTTCTGATCTTTGGGTGAGTTTTGAGTTACCAGCAATACCAGGAATCAAATGAGCGGTGAGATAGCTGTATTAGTTTAAGACTATCCAATGCTAAGTTGTTTTGTGAAAGTTGGCATTTTCCAGTAATAAATCCTTTGCTAAAAGGATCTATCTTGATAGTTTATATAGAATTAAAAAAAATTCTGTTGAAATAATTATAAATTCACAGGAAGTTACAAAAAAATAGATCCTTTGTTATACTACAGTTTCAAAACCAGGAAATTGGTATAATTTACATTTTACCACTTTTAAATACTCATGTGTGTGTGTTGGGAGGAGGGGTTCTATGCAATTTTGTATGTGTAGATATTTTTAACTGCTACAATAGTCAAGAGAAGCATTTCTTCATCAGAAAACTCCCTTTATAGTCACATCCATCCACCTCCCCCAACTCTGACAACCACTATTCTAGTGTTTAGCATTTTGTCATTTAAAATGTTACATTAGTAGAATCATACAGTATGTGACCTTTTGAGATTGGCTTTTTTTTTCCCCCGTTCAGCAGACTTGCTTTGAGTTCCATCTAAATTCAATAGTGTGGTTTTATTTTTGTTCCTGTTGATTGTAATTCACTGTGTGGATGTGCCAGTTTATTTAAAGGGTATTTAGGCTCTTCCCCATTTTTGGCTGCTATGAACACTAAGTACAATTTTTATTCACATAAATTTTCATTTCTCTGGGATAAACAACTGAGAGTATAGTCATTGGATCCCTTGTAGAACTGTTAAATCAGCCTTCCACCTCCCCTTTACTTAAGGAATGGCTCCTGTCTCCTACATGTAATATCTCCCCAAGATTGACTCTATGTGTGAACAGATGTTGAGTATTTGTGTTGTATGTATATTACACATGTGGACTATGGGTGGCTGTACTCCCATATTTCTCTGTGACTAACCCACCACATAACAGGAATGTGAAGGGAGGAAAGGTTGGCCCAATTTCCAGATTTCTGCCATGGAGTATATAAATCAAGATATCAACCCTACCTATTAGGTCTGGATTTCTACAATTGGATCTGAAAGGTAAACAGCCCTGTTAAGTTTCGCAAATGATCCTTCTCCAGTTTGGTCTCTGGTGATTCTATATAACTTCACCTGCTGTTTGGCAGTTTCTTACTTACATTGAGAGAGGCACCCTGAAAGTTTATCTTAAGTCAACTTGTTAATTGGTAGGCTCACTTTCACTGAGTGATAGTGATATATAACACTTTATGGTAAAATTTAAGTATATCTATTAGAGATTTGTTATTTAATAGGCTTAAAAATAACCAGTGTTAAAACTAGGATTTGGGAAGGAATATATTCAACCAAGTAGATCACTGCTATTTAATCTTACTATGGATTTTAAATAAAAACTAATCAAAAACTAATGCTTAGGGAAGTTGTATACCAGTACTTTCTGCATGTACTAATAAGCAGTGAATACATTACACATAACCTTCTAAGTTATCAATTCCATAGCTATAAAAAAATTTAAGTTAATCAAATTTACAATTCATATTGAAGTAATGCAAATTTAACTTTTTTCTATTAGTAAGGAAGCCCAGTATGCTAAAGATCATTAATGTTGCATCAGATTTTAATTTGTTGCATACATCTTTGTAGTTCAGCAAATGCGCTTGATAATTAAAAATAAAATATTAGGACAAAAATGACTATATAAAGAGGGGGAAGGGACCAAAAGATTTTTATATGCTTATTTAATTCAGATACATAGAATTTCTATGAATTTTAGACTAATGAAAATATTTGAAAATCAGACTCAGTTGAGTATTCAAACAACTCTTCATGGGATTTCATAATACTGAAACTTTGAACACAAAAGCAGAAAAGTTCACATTACCTTTTGTTCCTAAGTATCAAATTGTATCAATTTATTATGAATTAATTTTAAACATCAGATTTAAAAACAGAAGTACCTGATTCTTTTCAATTCCACAAATACCTAGCATCCCAAAGTAACATGTAAACAAACCTCTATGCTGTTCAATGAATTCTTTCCAATCTCTAGAACAAATTAAATAGACCTAGTAATGGACTTTCACGTAAGGTATGGTTTCATTCTTTCGTTTGACTGTATTAGTGGTGTAGCAGAGAGGGAAAAATTTCAACTATTTATTTAAAACAAATTGACAGGTTCATGAAAGCACCTGTTATCAGAAAAGCCAGCAGCATTTTTTAAACATACTAAAAGTGAGATCTGGCCTAAGCCCTTAATACCTTCCTGAATAGCCATGCAACTAAACACCCTCAGATGTTACAAAGGGAGGAGAACATAGAGCATTTGCACTTTTCTCCTCGGAAAACAGAAACAAGGTAAAGCAAATCCAGATATTTTTGAACGGCTGTCATGTTTAATACACTTGGAGCTCTATAAAACTAGAGCCTCTATCATATATGCTTATATAGATATATACTTATTTTAAAGTCTCTTGCTTACTTCAGAATTAAGGATGATCTTTTTCCTCTCAGTCACTTCAAGGGAACAATAAATAAAATAGAAAAAGATGAATGTTTTGCATATTTCTGTGGAAGAGCGGAAAACATTTATACTTCGAGAGGTTCAGAAAATTCACTGTACAGAATGAACAGCTTATATACACTATCTGTGCAATTTTTCTTTGCTGGGGTATTTAAATGCAAGAGCTCCTCATCCAAGACAAGAAGCCACATTCATTCTTGTCCAAATCCCTCTGTCTCTTCTATTGCAAAAAGAAGTTTTTCCTTCAGTTGTTCGTAACTCTTATAAGGTGGTAGATCCAAGCGATTAAAACTGAACAGAAACAAAAACACGTGTTTTCAATAAAACAAATTTTGGAAAGATTTCTAATACAGTATTTTTCAAATCACAGTTAAAAGTCAAGATGTAAAAATGTTGCCAGCAATATTCTAATGATCTACTAGATATTCTGGTATTACAAAGTAACAATATGGATAAAAGCCTTTAATTTTCTTTTAAAAAAACCATTCTCTCCTTTATGCTATTCCTGTTAAATTATGTCATTAGGCTCCCTAACTTCTCTTCAAAGAATACAATTCTGTCATTTGTCAGTTACTAACAATGTGTTAAATATTAGGAATCATGCCAGAAAGCTGGTGATAGAATGTTTCCTGTTCTCATAAACCTTGCATTCAGGTATGGAGAGTGAATAAATACATACTTATCTTTTAATTTTAAATAATCTCACCGTATATATAACCTTATGTAAAGTAAGTTTTCAGGCCTGCCAGGAATAACTGGTGATATATTGAAATTATTTAAATTGAAGTTATATGAAGTCACCTAGAGTATCAAGGTATTGTTATTCAGTTTATAAAGTTTGAATAGCACTGAGTAGCTACACTAGGACTGAGGATCTAGGGTTTTGATTACTTTTAGTGTCTAGTGAAACATCTCTGACAAGTCAAAATATTCCTGTACCTTTATTTTGTCATATGGAAGATTTATATAGATTAACTAGATTCCCATCTGCACTTGCCCTCCACTTTTCTGTATGTATGATAATCAAGAGTCTTTTGAAACAAAGCAGTCAACTAAAATGCTGTTCTTAGATCTCCTATTTGCATTCTATGAAGGGTTCAAGTGAGCAGATAATGGATCCCACAATCCACCTCTAGATAGTCCTTCAGGGTGCCATCTGTTGATGAGTTCCGAGGAAAGTTTTTCTAATACACTCCCCTTCCCCCATCATGGAATCCCTATCGAAGATACCACACCAGGCAGCAGAGGATACACTACTTGTCTGCTGCGCTATGCACTGGGTCTGGCTCCCTGGCTGGGGTTCGAACTCAAGCCGTTGACATTAATGGCACTGAGCCGCACTGAGCCTTGGCCCACTACGCCACAGGGGAGGCCCCCAACCTAGACTGTTTCAGAGTACCTATTAAGGATCTTGAAACTGATGCAATAGGATGGGGAAGCCCTGAAAACAAGGTCTTTAAGCCCACCTATACCTAATCAGCTAAATGGACCCATTAACGCATTTCACTCACGCATTTTGCTTCTATTTTCAGACTATTTCAGGATGGAAATCACAAAACCGGATGCATAACACCTGCTAAATACTTGATGTAGGCCTAGTTTGTGAAATACAATCACTACACCCCATAAAGTATTTTTAATGAATCTGAGACACCACTTTCAAATGCCCTAACTTGAAATAGGCAAACAAGAACTTGCCTTAGATGTAAACAATGAATAGGGTGTAGAGACCAAAGGGAGGAGAGGAGGGAGCCCCATGAAATATACTGAATCTATAACCCTACAATATACACTGTTGTAGTCCAAGGATACCTCAATAAAAATTTAATATTAAAAAATAAAAAAACAACTTCCAATCAACAACTTCCAATTTCCACTCTTAAAATTAACATTTACTGTACTCTGTATCATGACTGATTCCTAACATCTAATCTGTATTCTCTCATCGCACTGATCTATTCCACGTAAGAGGAGACATTTAGTAAATGTTGACTAACTACAGAAGTCATTACTTGAAACATTGAAACATGGATCTGTTTTAAGGTATTAGTCATTATGTTATATGAGGGTTTACAAAAGGACAGAGACATTAAAATCAATTCCTTTTTTTTACTGGGTACTTATGTGAATATAAGAATACTATTTCAAGTTATAGGTTAGCCTGCCGTGATTTTTCAGTTCCAGTTTTCAGTCAAATTTGCTATTTCTACTTTCTTTATAAAAAGGGAAGACGACACTGCCCAGTACATTTCCCACACTCTGAGGGAACAGCACTCTGCTGGCTTCCTGTACCATTATATAGAGCCTGAAAGCTATCGCCTCGCTAAGCAAAGTACTGGAGATGGTAACAGTGGGGCTCAATCTGAGAATTATCACAATCGCTTAGTCATTTTTAGTCTTTCTGGATCTAGTTTCATCTAAATTCTCATCCCCTATATTGATCTGAATTAAATCTCACCCAGTCTTCTATATCTCAGATCCTTCCACTCTATTCTTCTGAATTTCTATGATTTGAATAAGATATGTAGTCTTAATAATTCCTCTCTTGCCTTAAATGAGATCCATCCAGTATGAAACATACCATTTCTCCTGTAATCAAAAGAACATTACTACTGTGACACACACACATCTAGCTTTGCAACCTTGCTCTTAAACTTACTGCTCTTGCTCTCTCAGTCACGCTCCTTCATTCACTGAGACTTTGCCACCAATTCAAAGTCCTCTCATTCCTGTGGATACATGCATTGCCTCCCAGTTATTCCCCTTATCTTGTTCCTCTACTTCAGTGACTGACTTAGGTTCTCTCTTCAACCCTCGTCATCACCAGTAAAGGAAATTTCTAATTAAAAAACTACATTCTTTGATCTTCTGTCTTTCAATTAAAATACAACCTATTAACTCATTATTTTTTCACCATCCTCTCATATCTTCTTGATCTCCCTGTTCTCACTTTCAACATAATACACAACCCATTATTATAACTATTCTAGAGACTGTTCAACATTATAATCACTACACTGCAAATATTTTTAAATCTCACTCTCCTCCTTTAGAAATTGCTAATGAATTAAATTCTCTTTCTCGTTTCTTGTACCTTAGCAGCTGGTAACTAATTGCTGGAGGGGGAATCATAACTAGGTGTGTTGGTGGCAGTCCAATATTTCTCAGATTCTTAGCCCTATTTCTCTATTAAATACCTGCCTACTTTCTGACAACTCTCATATCCTCCTGCAGTTTTTCTTTACTTTTAAACACCTCACTGTTGGTCCTCACCTTATACTTTATGAGAAAATAAACACCAACAGGTAATAATCTTTTCCTTTCCCAAAAACCTAAAATCAATAGCTATTTTGTAACAAAGAATATATTTTTAGCAAAGGCAATTCCTTAACTTATACTCAGAATCCCTGTTCTTTTCACCTTTCTTAAAAAGAATTAGCTCATTTGGATATAAATTCTTCAGTTACAACCATTTCTCCAATCAGATTCACCAATATAAGCAGTGTTAAATTTTTTTGGTCATAGGCCCCTTTTCAGTTAAAAATAGAGAATTTCTTCAAAGAACTTTTGTTATGTGAACTTCACTGAACTTTACTAAATTTTTAAACGGAGAGATCTATAACTAATTCATTATGAAGGGACCTTGTTTCTATATTTGCAAATCTTTTTAATGTCTGGTTAAATAGAAGGCATCTGGATTCTGATGTCTATGTGCATTCATCTTGCACCATACTGTTTTTGCTTAAGTATATAAAAAATATATCCCCACACTGATATGCAATTTAAAAAGAGGTAATCAAATCATTTCATATAACAGCAAATATTTTTCTCTCAAACTAAATTCAACAAAGTTACATATAATAAATTTTTTGGATCTTTTACTCATGCATGATTTTTAACATTGCGCATTGGTCATTTGGACATACTGGCTCATCAAGTGATAAAGAATTTCCAAGTGTTGACATTTAATAATAGGGGAAAAAAATTACATTTGCTAATAATACTACTAATCTCATCAGAAAAGGCTTGGGAAGCTGTCAAGCTCACAGTGGTATATACAAGTCTTACAAAATTCTAATTTTTGCTTGAAACCAAATTTCATCACTGCCAATGGATGCTGTCAGTTTTTTCTTTGAAGTGACAAGCTTCACTTCTTTTCAAGAAAATGTCTGTCAAATGTTCAAGTCTGAATAAACACTGTCATTCTTCCAAGTAAAAATAATCTTCTACAAAACATAGTTCAGCTTTCAACTCAAGTGCTGAAGAGCTCCTCAAGACAACCACCACTCCCTAGTGTGCAGAAGTGTTTTATGCAGACTTCCTATTTTGTCCTATTTTTACTGCTACATAAAGAACAATGTTCAAGAATCTAGCTTTCTTGCTTTAAACAAAAAAGATGGTAGTTTAGTGCCCCGATTTGTACCAAGGCACCAGCAGTCTTACCACCATTGTTTCTGCACCATAAGTGCAAATGTCAAAACAAAAAGGCACACAGTAGCTTGGTATGAAAATCATTTTCACTTTCTGGGAAAAAAAAAAAAAAAAAAAAACCTCCAAAACCAGTGTCACTGCTTGAAACAGTTGTATAATCTCCCTACATCCACTCTTGTATCCAAGCCTTTCACTTTTGCCAGTGATTTTTTTTCTGTGTTTAACTGTTATTTAACTCTTCAAAGCTTCTAATTGCCATTAGAGTAAAATCCAAATTCCTTGTAATAGCCAGTAATGCTGTACATAATTTAGCCACTGCTTATATTTGTAAATTCTTTTTAAACACCTCTCTCCCCCAGTTCACTCATCCAGCCATCTCTCATTTCTCGAAAAATGATATGTGACTTCAGTTTTGCAAACAACTCTATATAAAGAATGCCCTTCCTTGCTTTTCCCACAGCAGGCTATTTATTAAAGGCAACTTCCAAAGTCTCCCTGGGCACCCAATCTACAACACTTTTCCAATATAGGACTGCTTTATTTCCTTGGGAAGATTTCCTAGAATTTATACTAGGAAATTGTTTATCTTATTTGTCATTTGTGCTCCCTTCCCTAACATGACACACAGATATAGAAGGCAAGGAGCACCTTCAATCTTTTATACACAGTGGGTCTGCTACTTCTTGAATCAGTGGATACATTGCTCAGGTATTTAATATTAACCAATGAGATAATCTAAAGTATTTGTAGAATGCGGTATTAATAAGTCTGTTCTCAAAATTGAAATCTGGCTACCTTAATGAATAAGCAGCCACACAGGTTCTTACATTTATTTACTAAATGAAAGAGTCTCTGGCTTTTACCTTCCTACTTAGGATTCTTGAACTTACCATGTATGGCTTCTCGGTAACCAGGTGTCTTTGCCAACTTTTTCAATGCAGAATTTTTGAGGCCCGTTACTTCCTAAACCAGGAAAATAATATAAAATTTATACATTCCTTTAAATTTTATATTGACAATAAATAATGTCATAGTCCTACAAATGATACAGAACAAACAATAATGTAAGTTGCCTCTACTCAGAGAAACTTCTTATTGCTTCAAAGATTCATCAATAAGAATCTGTGCAAAGAGGAATAGGTACAGAATCCTGCTCCTGTCAGTCATACTAGGGATTAAAGCCATGGTCAACAGGCTATGTGAGCATACATTCATTTTTCTTTTACAAATTAGTATTGACCATTTATTTTTCTTTTGGTAGAAGCTTTATCTATATATAGCATAGGAGAATAATCCTTAGTTTCACAGTCTAGTGTATATCCAAAGGTCATTGCCACAGAATTATCTACAGTGAAATTGCATTTACCCATGAGCTCAGCAAATCCTCCTAGAGGTAAACGGCAGGTTCCAGTGACAAATTGCAATAACCGCATTCTTACTTCATTGTCTGTTTCTTTCACAAACTGTGTAACAAATCAGATTTTAATATTAAGTGTAAACTCATTTTCAATAATGAAATAGAAGACATATAAAGAAATTTAATAATTAACATTGAAGTCAGTTCTAAATGCACTGTGCACTATAATGCACAGTGCACTCTACGTACACTCTGGATCTTCATTTAATCCTCACAATTATACTATAAATTGGCCACGATTACTATACTTGCCTTACAAAGAGGAAATAAAAGCTTAGAAAGTGTACTACTTGTTCAAGGTCATACCTCTAAAAGGTAAAACCAGGACAGATGTTGGATGACAATGTAACAGCTATGCCAAGCATGTGTCATATCCTTTTCACATATCCTCACACCTGTTCTGAGATAGGGATTATAAGAAAATGGAGGCCTATGAAGGTGAAATAATTTGTCCTCCTCAAACAACTAATAAATAGCAGAACAAACATTTGAATTCAGGCAGGTCTGGGTGAGCTCTAAAACATGATGTTATCCTGACCTAAGCCCGCTACCCTTTTCCACATTAAGCTAAAAAAAAAGCAATGAACATGTTCTAGTTACCACTCTTACTGATTGACTGTATTTTCTCTCACTAGACATCATTTTCCTAACTCCGTGTTCTTTATGTTGAAAACTCAAAGTATACACTCTTCTAAAAACTTCTAGTTCACTAACTGGTCCACTTCAAAGAGGGACATAATAGGTGATACGCTGAAATACCGATTTGAATTGGTCTGAGTGTCTTATAGTAAATGGCAAGGAACAGGGAGCAGTCTGAGAGCAGAAATATAAAAAATAGGGACTAAAGTCTAGCTAAAGATAAGACAAAAATACTCTGCTAATCATGACCAAAAAGCATTTCCACGTAGAATTATGCTGAGGTACGTTTCATCAAGACACAAGAAATATTACCAGAGCTTATTACCAATTCTGGCATAAACCTCTCCCTAAAGCTGACTCAATTCAAGAAACACAACTCTTCACTGGATTTACATGATACTAAAGTAAAGCTTCACAGGTATATAGACAGAAACCCACATGGAAAATCTGGAACACAGAGGAGTAGTGAATCTAGTACAGAGAACAAAAGGGAAGATTTCAGACACCTGCATACATTCTACATGTGATGCAATTCAGCTATTTTAGGCTTAAAAGAAGATTTATCCCTACCTTTTTATTTACTAATATCTTTATAGTTTTTTTATTTGCATCTTTTATATCATTGTGTATTCCCTGTAAAATTCCCACCACCAGTTATCCCTACCTTTTTACTTACTGATTTCTGATAACAGGTAACATGTACCTCGTATAGAATTCAAAGGTAGTAAAAGGGTTCAGTGTAAAAGTTTTCCCACTTTTGCCTCCAACTGCTCAGCTCTCCTCTATAAATGCTACCAGAGGTCTAGCTTCTCAGAGATGATAGATTCATATATTCGCATGCACTGACTCTACAGCATGAGTTTTCCTTTTGACAAAACAGTATCATAATACATACACTTTCCGTTCCCCCTCAGTATTGTATTGAAACATTCCCATATTGTTGTTTATTTACTTTTTAAATAAAACAGACTATGAAGAATATAATTATAGAATGGTTACATTTACTAAGTCCCCTTCTGATGGATGATGTTTCAAGTGTCTATTATTATACCAGTAATGTCGCAACAAATAGGTTTCATGTAATTGAATGTTTGTGAAGAATATTCCTGGTCTAGAAATTTCAATTTCTCAAACAAAATGTACCTCGAGATTAGCATGGAACCCCAGAGATGCACAGATAGTACGCCTTATTACAATATAAGCCTAAGGAAGGAGATGGTGGGAGAAAGGGCAAGAGAAGATACTCAGTATTCACCACTGTTTACTAATATTCACTTTTGATTTAGAGGTGAAAGACTAAAGCATTCTCTAACAATGAATTGTTTTAAGGTCACTGTTTGATTAGAAAATATTTTCTGTGAATACTGTTTCAAAAAGGGAAAAGCAAATACCTGCCAAAACCAAATGATTTGCTTGCTGTTTCTTGTATAATGTCGATATACAGTATTTCTCTGCCAGTCTGTCAGGTCCACCTCCTGCATGCCACACAACATAACCTGGGAAAGAAACACAGCATCAAGTCACAGTAAAGATTTAGTGAAGAAAACAAAATCATATGGATGAAACTTGCCAATGCTAATGAACAGGCACAATTTATGTGAATGACTATGCAGTACAAGTAAGCAAATTCAAAGAAATTTGTGGCAATTTAGGATACAGGATTCTTAGGTACTTTATTTTATCCATGGTTATTGACCTCAAACATAATTAGAATTAACTGTGTTTCAATAAAATATTAGCTGTGTGAAAAATATTTGCCAATCTCAGAGATATTTAAAGTATCACCATTTAGTGTGATATCAAAGTTTATCATTTTTGTTGATACCCTTCTATTCCTAGTGTTGCCTTCTATTCCAAGTATAGTAGGAGTTTTTATAAAGAATGGCTATTATATCTTTTTAAAGTTTCAACAGATTTTGGGCCTCCCTGGTGGCGCAAGGGGTTAAGCACCACACTATGAAGCAAATGGCAGCCTCTGCAGCATGAGTTCGATCCCCGGCTGGCCAGAGAGCAACCCACATGGCTCAGCAGACCTCTCCTGATTCGCCCGCTGCTCCCCCAGCAATGTACTTAAGTCAATCTGTCTGTTCTGTTCCCCACTCTGTCTCTGGTGAATCCTCTCACCCCTCTGCATCTCTGGCCTATACCCCAGCTCTTGTATGCACCAATAATTTTTTTTTTTTTTTTTAAAAAGCTTCAACAGATTTTTAACCTGCAAAGAGAAGCACTGTTACAAGTAACCAATATCTTAAATGATAGGAATACTTATTATTGTGGTATTATTCATGGTTAAGAGAGACAATGAATGGGAGCAAAAGAACAACAGACTAGGGGTAAAAATCAAAACAAGGCAAAACAAAACAAAAGTCTATTTTCTCACAGCTCTGTACTCTGTGCTAAAGGGCAAATCAGGAGCAATTATGGTCTTTAGTTTCCTTATGGATAAAGGAAATTCTATAGTCAAACTATTTCATGGAGTTTTCTGTGAGAGCCCTATACACATTACCACAGCCTGAGAGTATGCACCTACCATAGCTTCCTCAATCTATTTGTTTCCTCTCTGCTTATTGTCCCTCTTTCATAGAGTAGGCCTTCTCTAATATGAGTCTTAATCATGGGTATGAAATAGTTGCATGCAATTTTGAAGATACAAAATTGTGTAAATTTTCTTTGGATTCTTAATAAAGTCTGTGATTTAAAAAATGACTAAGATTATCTTCCATTCTCTTCTAACGTGTTTCTGCTAATTTGTGTAAGGGAGCTGTTAAGAAAGATATGGTAACCAGGTTTATCAAGAGTCTACACATCAGTCAAGCTAAGAGTCCTGATTGTCATATAATTTGCATCTCAGTAAGAGTTGCAAGAGATGAATTTCTATATAGGACTATTGTATAAAATTTAAAATGTAAATTTCTCATGCACTTTTGATTACATAAATGAACCAAATATCTTAATGAAGGACCCTTAACAGAGCCCCCTTTAGATGACAAAAGTTATCCTACTGTGCTAAAAGTAGGTCAAGTGGCCATGCTAAGGACTATCCTAATGCCCGTGTATGTTCTAATCTACACGGAGAGGATGACTTCAGTAATAACAGTAACTTATAAATAGGGAAATAGCCATGAGAGCAGACACTATAAAGACAAAAAAACAGAAAATACCAAGTGTTGGTAAAGATGTAGAGAAACTGGAACCTTTGCATAGTACTGGTGGGAATATAAAATGGTGCAATGGTTATGGAAAACAATGTGGCAGTTCTTCAAACACTAAAAATAGAATTATATGATCCAACAGTGCCACTCCTAGGTAGCACATATGTATAACGCAATATTAATCTGCCTTTAAAAGGAAAGAAATTCTAACATGCTATAAGAGAAGTGAAATAAACCAGTCCCAATAAGACAAATGTATGATTCCACTTACATGAGATATCAAGAGTAGCTAAATTCATAGAAGCAGAAAATAGAATCATTGTTGCAAGGGACTCAGGGCAGGGGGAAATGGGAAGTTGTTTAATGAACAGAGTTTTTCAATTTTGCAAAATGAAAAAGTTCTGGAGAACTTGCACAATAATGAGAATATACTCAACACTGCTGAACTGTACACTTTAAAGTGGTTAAGATGATAAATTAATGTGTATTTTATCTCATAACAAATTTCTGATATAATTTAAGTCTAAATACAGTTAAGAGTATTAAAAACTCAAAAATCTGATTTGGGGGACAACTCACTACTAAGGCAAGATTTCACAAAGTTCCTAAAATAAATAAGGCTGCAATCACTCTTGTGGACCACTAACAGCTGGCTCTGCAGGATGATTCTGTGCCCAGGACAACATTATGATTCAAAGATCTTAATCTAAAACCCTTACCCAATACATCGAAATACCCCTAAACATTTGAAAGGATTAGAGGATGAATGAGAGGATTTAAAACTGTGCCACATGATTTAAAACTGTGTTCATCCCTCTGTAAAAGCATTAAAACAGGCCCTTCTCCCAGTACCATTCCTTATAATAAGAGCCTAACCTCCAATTCCTTTTCATCAAAGTACTGCAGCCACTGAAGAGGAACAACTTCATTAAAACCATCAAGGAAAGCTTTGGTCTGTTCTTGTACTCCTCGAGAAAAACGCCATTCTGTCATTAAACTGAAAAAAAAAAAAGATGGTATTTAAAAATAACTGATTTATATGAAGGTAGAAACTTAGAAACACCAAGTACTTCATCTAAATATACCAATAACACACAAACATATTTTTGTATCAGTTCTAGCACGTTAGTAGTTATGTAAAAGATGCTTTTCAAAATAAATAGGAGATTCTTGTGAGAGCCAAAACTCTAGCACAATTATTCCCTTTTCATTTCTAAAAATAACTTCAAATATTGTGTGCTGACACAGTGAGGAGATGGTTACAATAATTAAACAGGCTCTTCCACCAAAGCTTTGCCAAGACTGAGAACTCTGACTTGAAGCATTCCACAGCAGATTGTGTCAGTAACACAGTGACAGTCAATCTGTCTAGGGACCATATGTTTGTATGAGTTTACGGTCCCTCTGTTTGAGAAAACTTAAACCTGGAGAACTAGTTTCTTGTATGCTGATTTATTAGAAGTAATTAAGATTTCCTGACCAGAAAAGAAGAAATAACTATGATAACCAGACGTTCTGAGGAGATATATAAGGCAGCTGTAGTATAGCTAAAAGAGAAATAAGAAAATCTGTCAGTGACACAAAATCTCTACCAGGAGTTTCTGAAAAGATCTGAAGTCCCTTGTGGAAGGAAAGCATATGCTACACCTGATGAGAAGTTAACCAGTGTCAGTTGGTGAAAGAAAGTCAATGTATCCATGTTCCTCCCATTTTTAACTCCTTGTGTCCGAGTGGAAGTTTACCAGTAATTTTTTGAGGAAAACCTTTCATTCAAGCTGCCTCAAAAAATTTTCTTCATCAGTTACTAACCCTCTTTTGCTCTATGCCCTTATACTCTTCCCGATTCCTCTTCTATTTGTCCACAAGGTGCTCAGATTATTCTGTTCCAAAACCGCTTTCTTCAACCCAGTATCTCTTTTAAATTACTCTCCTCTTAACACACTGCTAGTGGGAATGCAAACTGATCCAATCACTATGGAAACTGTGTGGAGGACCCTCAAATTATTAAAAATGGATCTACCATATGACCCAGAAATTCCACTTCTAGGAATCTGCCCAAAGGACACAAAAAATATTAATTCAAAAGGAAACCTGCACCCCTATGTTCACTGCAGCACTATTTACAAGATAGGGAAACAACCTAAATGCCCAAAACCAGATGACTAACTCAAGAAGATGTGGTAAATATACACAAGGGAATACTACTCAGCCATCAAAAAAGAGAAATTCACGCCACTCGCAGCAACATGGATGGAGTTGCAAAGGATTATGCTCAGTGAAATAAGTCAGAAGGAAAAAGAAAAATATCAGATGGTTTCACTTATCATAGGACTATAGGGAAACTGAACAAGGGGCCAGGGTGGGGAAAAAAGATAAAATTAGCAGGCAAACTATAGAACTAAGACATACCACCGTGGATGGGGATGGACAGGGGTCAAGAAAGGGGAAGGAAGAGCACAAAAGACCATAATGATAGTTCATGAGTGAACTGGTTGTGGGAATTTTATGGGGATTATACCTGAGTGGAAAAATCAAACATGAACAATGAACAATGCAAAATAAATCCCTAAAATAAATAAAATGGAAAAAAGTAAATCACTCCTCTTTACCACTACTCATATCAAGAGTACCCTGTATCCATTTTTTTCACCTGTTTAAATCAATATTAATTTGGTTTCAGCAACCCCTCACCACCCCAGAAGAAAAAAACTCAATAAAGGTCAATAAAGAACTATGAATTGCCAAAGCCAGTGTTCATGTCTCAGAGCTCATGCTATACAAACTTCCCATAATACTAGACATTAACATTCCCAACTCTCACATGATTCTTCCCAGGTCTGACATTCCCGATTTGGCTTTGGTTACTTAAATTAGCCTTCCCAAAACAATTATGATCATCTCATCTTGGTATGTTTTTGAAGACTGTTTCTCACCATCTTATACCATTTCCCATAGCACTGTCATTGTCGATTTCCAGGATAAACTAATCCCTTTACTATCTCAATTCCTCTACTCCTGCTATTTCCCTACCTTTCAGAAAGCTCTCCCTCTATCAGGCAAACTCTCATTCATTCTTCAAGACCTAACTTATTTGCAATGTCCTATGAAAAACAGGCCTGAGTTCTCCCAGCAGATTCAACAGCTTCCTTCCTACACTGAATTCCAAAAACACTTCATACATCTTTTTACCATCCATTTACTCATGAACTCACTGAGGTTCTATTTTACTCCAAAAGCAAAGTATCACAACTGAAAAGGAAGAGTATTATCACAGAATTTCAAAGAGCTAGATTAAAAAAAAAAAAAAGATTAAAGTCTTATAATTGAACAATCATCTATAAAATGTTAGGATTAGCTGTCAACTCTTAACATAGTATGAACTATACAAGTAAGATTTAAAAAAAATCGGTTACCTTAATGCCTAATATGAAATTTAAAGTAGCAAACTATAAACTAAATGTTGAAATGTTAAACTGTTTTTGGTATCTTAAATCACCGATGATGATTTGTAAAAGCTTAAGTTAACACTAATAATGGTTGCTGGATTTTGTGGAAAGCTTAAGACTTTTTTTTTTTAAAAAAAGGAAGCCCAGACAGTGCCTTTTGTTATCTTTGTGAGCATCTTTTCTTCAAAATATAAATAACTTTACTTTTTCCACTAAGTGCACACTACATGACAAAGCTAAACAAAAATACCTAGAGAATACAAAAATGTATAATGAAGAAACTTAGTCATTCCTAATTCCGCCACTCAGAGAAAACTAGTTCAGCAGGAAAATAGGGAGAAAGATGCTTACACTGTCCTGGCAAGGTCACATTAACTTAGTAGGCATAGACATTAATACAGGTTAAAAAAGAAAGGATTGCTACTGACTTTTGAAAAAGCAACACAGCAATATCTATTAAATAGTCTCTGACTTGACTTTACTTTTTGGGAAACTTATCCTATAAAGACAAAAGCAGCAGGATATATGGATTCAAGCTAATGAAGGTTTCCTGCTGCCTTGTTTGTAAGTGCTACTGGTTCCTTCCCAGAGAAATTTGGATTTATCTGGCTGGCAAATGGAAATTATTTCTAAAGTTCAGATATTACTTCCAGAGAAAACTGAAGGCATAGTAACAGACTATTGAGAGAAGCAGACTAAATGAAGAACATTAGAAAATGAAGGCTTTAGAGAAAGTAAAGAAAATCAGTGCAGTGTGGGATCATGGAACTAAGAAAACAGCTTTAAAACAAACTGTGGTGAGCACTATTAAAAGAATAAGCTAAAAAGGGAGAAGTGAATTTGTATAGGAAATGAGCTTTCTTAGACTGCTTTAGCAAGTCTTGGTTACAGAGTCAGTTTTGCTACTACTCAGTGAAGCATTAGTCTCCTCTTCTAGAAAGGAAGAGGCTGCACAGTTTTTGCAAAGCCCTTTTTTAGTACCAATATTAAGATTTTTGATCAAAACAAAGGCAGAATGCATATAGCAAACGACAGTGGGAAAACAAATGTCATACACACTTATTTCAAGAACATTGATACTGCTGAAAGAACTTAAATACATGGGGGTGGAGAGCAGATATTGTTTAAAAATTAAAAAAAAATTAAAAAAAGAACTTTATGCATTAAAACAGGCGGGAGAGATTGTTTTAATACATTTGGATTTTTTAGTGTAACTGTTTGAGAGGAAGACTGAGTAGAGAGAAAATGACTGAAAAGGATAAAGAGAGAATGACTATGAAATATCTTCCCAGAGGTATAAGCGGGATGAAATTAAGAACAGAGGTAGAGGAATTAGCTCTAACATACTCAAGATGATCTAGAAATTAAGGTACATCACCTTACCCAATGTATTCATCTTTGTTCTCCTCGGTCACCAGGATATTTGAACCTCCCAGCTTCAAGTCATGTGAAGTAACCTTTCCCAAAATCTCCATGTCAACAGAAAAGTACATTTCTAAGCCACATTCTTCAATGTTGTTGTCTCTGGGTGATATAAATATATATGCACTAATTAACAAGATACATAAATTGGTTTTAAGAAAATGTCTTATTGAAAGATAAATCTTCAAACCTTATCCAGATAAGGGAGTTATAAAATTCAGTATCAATAGACTCCAAATCCTTAATAGTCAGTTTTTTACTTAACATACGCTTGTAGAATGGTAAAGAGAAACCAGTATCAATAAACTTTCCATGGAAAAGTGCCTGCCAAAAAAAACAAAAAATTTACCAAATTACAGTTTTCTTACTTTAATAACAGAAATCATGAGGCTTTATAGGCAAAAAGAACAAAACAGACCATTTAGTAATCCGCATAGATCACAGAAACTAAAATATTACATAAAATGCTAAGTATAGGGCCTCCCTGGTGGTGCAGGGGTTCAAAGTCTCATTGCTATCAAACTATTGCCAGCCACTGCAGCATGAGTTCAATCCCCAGCGAGGGAGTTGACCCACATGGCGCAGCCAACCTCTCTTATCTCACCCACTGCTCCCCTCACCAGTGTATTTCAGTAGATCCGCCATTTTTGCACCTCACTGTCTCTGGTGAATCCTCTCACCCCCTGCACCTCTGGCATGTACTCCAGTTATGGTATGCATAAATAAATAAATCTTAAAAATAATGCTAAGTATAATAAATTGAAGTGTTGAAACAAATTTATTTAACTGAGGCCAAACACATAGCTATATCATGTCCTATCAGTAAGTAGAAATAATAATAATGATATAGGAACTTTACCAAACCTCTATTGTTTCTAATTTTTATAAACTAACATAACCGGATGTGGGAAGGAAGGTGGTGTCTCAGGGCTTCCTATGCATGCATCTACAAAGATGACTCCTCCCTTGTTCCTTTCATATCTAATCTGCAAGTGATTTTCAGGAATAACCCCATCATGCCTTCACTCCTATTCACAACAGCCAATGGAAGTGGGCCCAGACCCCTTCAGTAGCCTGACTCTCACCACCAACTGCCTGATCTGGAAATCTGATCCCATTTGTCACACCTCTCCAAACCACTACTAGTCCTATGCCCTCTAAGACTCATGATTCATGAGTAGCAAAATCCCCCATATGCCCAACTCTCTACCCAAGCTTTTTAGTGCTTTCAGTGGTATTAGCCTTTAACTCAGCCAAACAATATCAACATCATGTGTAATATACTGTCATTAGCAGTAACTAATTCCTTCAAAGTCTTGATTTCAAACACTACCTAATTTTTCAGTTAACTGTTTTTAATAGTATTAATAGTAATACTAGTGATTTTTGACACTACTGGGATCTAAAAAACAATCCACTGATCCTATTACCTCATCACTGTCTCTTAGCCACCTCACGAAATTATTTCTTCCTTATTCAATTAGAATAGACAATTAGATTCCATCGTCAAGCATTTAAAGTTACTACCTGCATGTTTTCAAATCCTGCCTCCCCACAATCTATTTCTGGCAAAATCTCAAACCTAACTAAATCCAATTATCATGCCTGTGCCTGGACAGTCGAACATGCTAGAAATGTACATACAACCATGCCAGCTTGTTCATGACCAACAACCTTAAGTGGGAGCTTAGTGCTACCTAGTAATCCCCATTGCATTTATTAACCCTTCTCCCAAATGACTACATCATTTCCACTCCTCAAATTCCTCCTTTCACCACTCACTCTGAGGTAGGTTTTTTTTTTTTTTTAAAGATAGACTTATGCATACAACAGCTGGGGTGCAGGCCAGAGATGCAGGGGGTGAGAGGATTTACCAGAGACAGAGTGGGTAGCAGAACAGGCAGACTGAAATACACTGCTGAGGGGAGCAGCGGGCGAGTCAGGAGAGGTCTACTGAGCCATGTGGGTTGCTCCCTGGCCAGCCAGGGATCGAACTCGTGCTGCAGAGGTTGTGGATTGCTTCATAGTGTGGTGCTTAACCCCTTGCGACACCAGGGAGGCATTGAGGTAGTGTTCTTGCTTTCTGTTTCACTGAGTAAACAGAAGCCAGCAAAGAGGACTTATATTCCACCACATCTGCCTACTACTAAGGTCTTAATCCATATTGCTCCCATATTCCCTAACCACTGACGTCATCAAATTCTATCGTCCCTTATTTTATCATTGTCAGAAGTTTTATTCTCTCATTCTTGATTTCCTCTTTACTTCCAGTTACTGACCAATTTCTCTAACATCTTTACAGCAAATTTTTAAAATAATGTTTACTTCTGTTTCCTCCATTTCTTCCCCCCTTGTCTCTACTGCTGAATATCTCACCTATCCAAATGAAATGGACACGTCCCTTCTCAGCCTCACTTGCTCAGCCCTTCAACATTTGACAGTTGATCACATTGTCAAATGTGTGATCACATTTGAAACATACATCTTCCCTTTTGTGCTAGGAACCATTCTTCTTTGATTCACTTCAGCTCTTTTGCTTGTTTCTTCACATTTCCAAACTCATGTACCTAAACTTCTCTAGCAATACTCAATTCCTTAAACTACTTCTTTTTAAAAAAAGATTTATTTATTTATGCATACAAGAGCTGGGGTGTAGGCCAAGGTGTGGGGGGTGAGAGGATCACCAGAAACAGAGTGGGGAGCAGAACAGGTGGATTTACTGAAATACACTGCTGAGGGCAGCAGCGGGCAAGTCAGGAGAGGTCTGCTGGGCCATGTGGATTAGCTCCCTGGCCGGGGATCAAACTCATGCTGCAGTGGCTGCAGATAGCTTCATAGTGCTGAGACTTAACCCCTTGTGCCACCAGGGAGGCCCTTCCTCCTTTAAACTAGTTTTAATAGCCTTTGTGTTCTGAGAACTCCCAAATGCCTATCTCTAACTTACATATCCTCTCATTTCTGGACTTCTATATCCAACGACCTATCCCTACTTCTCCATTCAGGCTTCTCCTGGTATCTCAAACTTAACAAAAATTTGCTCTTGCCACAACCCTTAAGAAATGGAAACTATAGTCAGATACAGGCCATGAATTTTGGTGTCATATATGTGACTTTCACACCTTACATAAAAAAAGTTAAAAAAAAAAAACTCAGCTTTAACTTCAGAATGTATCCAGAATCAAACCACTCTCACAGTCTCCAGTGCTATGCCAATTAAGTCCAAGTCATTATTATCTCACCTGAATTACTGCAAATAGTTTTCCTGCTTCTACTCTTGCTTTCCTCTGTCCCAATTAGTCTCTTTTCTACATAGCAGGAGAGTGAGCGTAATAAAAATCAAAATCAGATCATGTTATTTAGATCATTTCACTGCCCTGGTTTTCAAAGTCCTTGAGTTTTCTAAAGGTCCCACATAGCACCTTTAAACCTCATCTCCTGCCACATTCTCTCTCACATTCTGTTAAGAGTCATGCTATTTTGCAATCAAAAATGTATTTTTTTTTTACCTTGGAGACATAGTCTCACTATTTCCTATGCGAGAATGTTGTTCTCCAAGATACCTGTGTGACTTAACCCCTAGCTTTCTTCATGCTTCTGTTCATGTGACATCCATCAGAGGGTTCTCCACTAATCCTACTATATGAAAAAGCAACTCTTTTCCATCAGCACATAGTTTTTATTATCTACCAGTCTCTAATAGAATTTAGACCCCTGTGAGCAAGGTTTCTGTCGTATCTTCATGGACTCAACACTTTCATATGGTGATGCCATTTAATGAACTCCTAAGTAAGTATGTCCTGAATAAACAAATAATAAAGTACAAATAAATGCAAACACTTGTCAGTAGACAAAAGACCCATAAGAGCATCTGAAAAATTCCTAAAAAATCAATTAAGGACCTCCCTGGTGGCACAGGCGGTTGGGCGCAGTGCTATGAAGCTGTCCGCTGCCTCTACAGTGCCAGTTCGATCCCCGCTGGCCACGGAGCTACCCACATGGCACGGCAGACCTCTCCTGTCTCATCCGCTGTTCCCCTCAGCAGTGTATTTCAGTCATTCTGCCTGTTCTATTCCCTGCTGTCTCTGGTGAATCCTCTCACCCTCCCGCACATCTGGCCTGTACCTGGTTCTTGTATAAATCTTTAAAAAAAATCAATTAAGTGCAATTATTAGCCAACTAAGGATTTTCTTTTATATAAATGTAGTCAAACTAAAAGCTTTCAATTACACAATTAAATTACAAGGCTTTTAAAGATTAAACAGATGCCAATAATCCTATTCATAATCTTGATTTCATATAAGTACTCAAAAATTAACTGTATTTTGATAATCTTTTGAAACAAACTTCCTTGATATAAACAAGGATAATGCATACAGTTGTTTCTAAATTACTTTTAAAATAAGGAAAGTTTAAATAAATGAATAAAGAAATAACAGAAAGTCAGGACTCACCATAGCAATAAAACGACCAATGAAACAGAAATATGAAAGATGGTCTGGATTAATAGTTGATGCTGGATTTATCTGCAGACAATAGTTGTTCTTGCCAGCATACTCAAATAAGCAATACATAGGGTTCAAAACTTCATGTGAAAGTAAGAAAAACCATTCCCTAAAAGAAAATAAGGTTATCTTTTAGCATTTTCTATAAATGAACTTAAAAACATATCTTAAATACGTATATCACATCTCTATGACATCATAGTATGTAGGTCATACCTCTCCGCTCAAATAGCCTTAAACAGCTCTGCTAATTCCTTAGCTTTCCATTTAAGATACGCATAATCTGGCCTCTATTCAAAGTTACCTGCAATATTCTGCCTTGCCAAACTATACATTCAGTGTTCCTTATACATAAACACTTATTTCTGTGCAATACCTTTGTTTGGGTATATCTCCCCAATTTCAATTTAGCATATATAAATCCCATTTTTTCTTTCAAATCTAGTTTAGATACCACTTTAGCAATTATTTGAAGCAGTTTTCAGCATAGTATCTGTATCAATCACCGAATATTTAGTGGTAACAACTTCACAAATTTATTCACTTTCTGTACATGACCTGCTTCTTATCAAAAGTCAGAACTTTATATTATTTTTTTTTTTTGCATTTTGTACTCGAAATAGGCATTCCAGATCCCTATCCACAACAGGGTAGGGATTAATAAATATTTGCTGGTGCCACTGAGCTAGAGCACTGTTACCATGGAACAGATTTAATTTTATTGCCAATGCTTAACAAAAAGTTTAAAAGGTGAAAACTTTAAATGTAATGAGCATTCTCTAACTTATTGCTACCTTTCTGCCTCATTAAAAAAATCCAACATATGAAACCTAGCTAGTTTAAAAAAAAATACATAGTATGAAATAATAAAGATACTCCAAGAGCAATTTCTTCTAAAGCAGGGCTCTAGTGGTCAGTGACTACAAGGGTGTTCTTTCTTTACAATGACCTCATATTCTCTACTAAGTCCCAATTCCCCAATGTTCATTGTAACCCTGATAAAAATCTCATCAGTTTTAAGCAAAAATTATTGGGTATCACAGTTCTTAAGAAGACTGGGCAGTGGTGGAAACGGTAGTGAAAACAGTGTATAGTACCCTACAAGAAGAAGCAGCTAATTTGATTCAGCCAATTAATGCCATGTGAGAATGTAGAAATGTGGACCTAAGTGTTTTTAAAGAGAAATTTAATGTTACCAAGTAATTAAAAAAATTAAAATCACAATGGGAGGGCCTCCCCAGTGGCGCAGCGGTTGAGGTTGAGCTGTTGAGGTTGAGCGCTGGGTTGCGAAGCTGCCCACAGCCTCTGTAGCGCCGATTCGATCCCCGGCCACTGGGCTAGGGTCCCACATGGCACGCAGACCTCTTCTGCCGCTCGCTGCTCCCCTCAGCAGTGTACTTGGGTCCTTCTGCCTGTTCTGCTCCCTGCTCTGGCTCTGGTGAATTCTCTCACCCTCCCATGCTTCTGACTGTACCCAGTGCTGTATAAATAAATAAGTAAATCTTTAAAAAAAAAAATCACAATGGGAGCCACTATCATGTGGCTAGATCTCATCTTACAGTCTATTTACACTTGCTTTTCTAAGGTTTTAAAATACAATCTTGGAAACTGCCTGAAGCTACAGCAGCAGGAAGACCCTAAAACAAAGTCAACTAAGAAATGATAAAAACACCACTTTATAAAATTTTACACAGTCCCAATTACTTAAACCAAGTCTATGTCCAAACTGTAAAGAGGCCTAATATACATGCTCTGAGTGAAGACAACTCAATATCAATAGATCACATGAAAATGGGTTTAGACACAAAAACCAAGATATAAAATTTCTATTTACTGAAGATTACTTTAGTAAACAGTGGCCCAGAGAACGCTGAATAAATTCAAGAGTGACTATAATACAACATAACCAATACCCTGATACTAGCAGAAGAGAAAATTCTAACTAGCAAGAGGCAGAAAGAGTTCGCTTTCAACGTACCCTTCTTTATACTCTCAATAAACGAGATTAAAAATAAGGCAACTGATGAGTTAGCAAAGCCTAGAGACGAAAATGAAGAAAACAGTAAAACCACTAATGAAGAAAAGAATCACATTAGAAGCAGCAAAATGTCAGGGGAGTACAGCAAACAGTGACATTGGCTAGGTTTGAGGAAACTCAAAACAAAATGAAAAAGCACAAAGACAAAAATGATAGAGAAAAGAATACAGACACAACAGACTGACAAAGGAGAGTCCACATACCCATGACTGATGTTCCTGAAGAAAAATTGAACAAATGGAACAGAAAAAATATTCAAAGACATATAGCAGAAAAATTCCCTTAAATTAAGAAAGATCTTAATATGTTCCTATAAAAAGATACAAAACAATCAATGAAGTTAATTAATTTCAAGGGAAAGGGCACGGTGGCTACCCAGAGAGAAGAAAATTTCCTACAAGGGGGTAGCTTATCACTTCAGTGTCACATTCAGTGCTAGAAAACAGTGAAGCAATGTCTACGGACTTTTGGAAAAAAAATAGTGTTCAAGAAATTTGTATCTAGTGAAGCTGTTGTTTATATACAAAAAGCAATAGAAAAACATTTCAAACTTGCAAGATGACAGGAATGAATCACCCATGTAAACTCTTGAATAAACCAAAACTAATATATGAATCAAAATAAGAAATTTGGACTAAGAGAATCATGATATAGACTGTCTGTATTAAAACCATTAAAATATAAAACTAAACCCAAACAGTTGAGGTAAATAAGGGTTCAGACAAGAATGTGAATGTTATTAAATCAGATACTTTAAAAATAGTACCATGTTTTATTTTTTTATTTTTATTTTTTATATCATTGTTCATTTTAAAACAATATTTGCTTCCCCCCACCCCATTTTGTTTCACTGTCTGAACATTTCTGAAATTAAGACAGATGTGATATGAACATTTATAGTACATTGTTTCTCTTCTGAAAAAGCTTTTTTAATAATGGTGTGGTTGAGAAAATATGCTTATATAACCTAAACTCTGACAATCCCATATATATTTAACTGCTGCCACCAGCTGAGTCTGGTCCCCCATTTCTTTTTGCCAGTGGTACTAGAACTGTGATTTTGTAATTCTGTACAACTATGAAATGTGAGTTCAAAAAAAAGATAGTTGGAAAAACAAATGGGGCTTGTTTTTCTATGAAAAGCAAGTTTAGCTCTTTGGAAAAATTTAATTGACATATTTTGCTAAACATATAAATTGTTGTCAAATTAGGTTTGGGAAAGCAATTGAGGGAAATATTTGAAAACTAAAAGAATTTTCCACAAATATTATTTCACAAGTGTCTACTATTACATACTTCTTAAAAAGACTCAGACTAAAAATACAAATATAAAATCAACAGACACTGTTATAATAGCAAACAATAGGAAGCAATCTTATACATGCTGACCCATTAATTGTGATGAAAACTCTGAAATGTTGTGAAGTCATTAAATAGAGTATTAGATTTACACATACTGATATGGAAAGATATCCATGATACATAAAATACCAAGTTGTGGGGCCTCCCTGGTGGCGCAAGGGGTTGAGCACCACAATATGAAGCAATCCACAGCCTCTGCAGCGTGAGTTCGATCCCCGTCCAGCCCAGGAGCTGCCCACATAGCGCAGCAGACTTCTCTTGTCTCGCCTACTGCTCCCCTCAGAAGTGTATTTCAGTCAGTCTGCTGTTCTGTTCCCCACTCTATCTCCGGTGAATCCTCTCATCCCCCACATCTCTGGCCTGTACCCAGTTCTTATATGCATAAATAAATAAATCTTAAAAAAAAATACCAAGTTGTTATATCACATGATTAAATCTGTTTTAAAAACAGCAAATATGTACTATATCACACACACACTAATATAATATATATACAGAGACAATGTATAGAATAGCCAAGATAGCAATGATAAATACCTCCGGAATTGTGCAAATAAATTTTGTTTAAAAAGGAATTCCAGATTGCTATTGAAAAAAACACATGCTTTCATGAATACATCCATTGCATACAATAGAGACACACTTATTTCAAAGCAGATTATCTTTAATTTTTACCTTGCTAGACCACCATAATCAAGTCCTTCTTCTCCTCTAAATATTACGTATAATCGTCTCCTCAAGTCATAGGGCTTTAATGCCATAATCTAATTGAAAACAAAAGATATGTAAACACTCATACACAGCACAAGTTTATTCCAAAATAATTCCATTTAAATTTAATGTTATTTTCAGGGCCTCCCCCGTGGTGCAGCGGGTTGAGTGCCACGCTGTGAAGTTGTCCACAGCCTCTGCAGCACCGGTTCGATTCCTTGTTGGCTAGAGAGAAACCCACATGGCATGGCAGACCTCTGCTGCCTCGCCTGCTGCTCCCCTCAGCAGCGTCTTCATTCTGTCTGCCTGTTCTGCTCCCCGCTCCGTCTCTGGTGAATTCTCTCACCCATACCTCTGACCTATACCCCAGTTCTTGTATAAATAAAATCTTTTAAAAAAAAGTAAATTTAATATTATTTTCAAAATTACACATTTCCTTATCTCCTACAACAATGCTTTTAACCCAAGAGATCAGTTGATCTGTTCCATAAACTAGTGAAGATGTATCTTAGTCTATTAAGTATTCTCTGGTTCACTTCCAATAATTTCTCTCTTCCCACTTACAGTGTTAGATAGCAGTTCTACTTTGGGTTAGTGAAGAGTTGGAAACAGAAAGGTTTTCAAGGTTAGGAAATACCCCTTTCCCCACTACCTGCCAAACTATACTAAAATACTTTAAAAGGTGACTTGTATATTTTTGATATTGAGGTACATTTAATGAGAGGTTAAAAAATCCCACTTTGGGTCCTGCTTATATCACACACACTTCATTTTTCAAGGAGCTCAGCTAGAGCAAATAACTTTATGATGAATTTATACATAAAGTATAATATCTCAAAACAATACCTATGCCACATTTTCATAATCCTTATAGTTTAAATCAAGTCGCTAGTAAATGGGATTTGTTTTTGTATAAAAATTAGTTATTTCCACTCCACATGTCAGAACCATAGCCAAGACTGGCAAGTCTTGGTCAGGACAGAGCTCACCAGTAGGTCTCTACTCCAAAGGCAGTCCCAGGCTCAGCCTTGCACATCAAAGAGACCATGATCCCAAGTCAGAGCAAAAGGCAAACCAAAGTCTACCACAAATTTAAATGTAGTCTTACTGAAAGAGCTTGCAACAAGTTGATCTGTTTGAACACTTAGAAACTTTGTTAACTCAAAAAAAAAACTGGTAACAGCTTTATAATGTATCTATCTTGATCAAACTCCAACAACTAGATAGATTAAGCTAAGATTTGAAAAGCTGATTCAGAGTAGTATTATTCAATTTTGTTTTGTGCAAAGTATATATAAAAGTCTCTGAGTTTCGATTCATATTGTAATACTTTAGAGGAGACTAAGGAGAATTTTATTAAAAATTCTCCACTTCATAATGACAATAAAACAAAAATGACAATATTTCAATTTCCATATTACATTCATTTATTCATTCACCAAACAGTTATTAATAGCTGCTACAATCAAGGTCTATTCAGGGCACTCTGTATAACAGCAGTAAACTAAGTTAGTTCCTGCTCTCATGGGGCTTACTTTTAGTAAGGAATACAAATTGTCAGGTGGTAGTATAAAACAAAGTACAATAAATGATTATAATGTGACTATGAGAGAGCTGGAACGAGAATGCAATCTAAAATAGTGTTCAAATGAAGACTGAACTCCTAACAAACACAAAGCTAAAGAATATGAAAATTAACATTAAAGTTAAGGGAAAATTTAAATGGGATACAGTATATAAATTCAACTTTAATTTGGTGGTGTTACCAAGATTTTTTTTGTATTAATAAAGTCTTAGCAAATAAGGATCTAAATGGATCAACTTGTTCCAAAAGCTGTTTATTTAAGCTTTATTTTAGTAATCTAATAGATGGTAGAATGATTTTGTCTCTCACCCTTACCATCTTTACCTATAAAATGGATATAATGATAGGAGCTATCTCAAAGGGGTATTGTGAGGATGAATTAAATTAAATGATAAATATAAATGCCAGTGCCAAGTATGTAGTAATCACTTACTACATGTGGGATTTATGGTTATTATTATAATGGGTACAGTGGTGATTACTGTTACAGTTGTGTTCTGAAATGGCTTAATATTTTTAAAACCATAACTCCCTTTAAAACTACAAAATACAGCGAGACAAGTTGTTCTGTTTTTTTCTGATAAAACCTTCCTTACCTGCTGGAAAGAATCCTCAAACAATGTCTGCCGGGACACATTGATCTTTACATGACTGGGTAGTGCATTAGACTAAAAAATGAAAATAACAACATAGTATCATGTAAGCTATGTATATGTATCTCATAAAGGTAAGACGAAATGATTATGAACAGAAGATCTATTTACCACTGTAGTACCTGGCACAAATAACGGAAGTGAGCGAGTTTCCACCTAAAGCTGCGTTCATAAGCAATTTGTGGACCACCTTTAGTTCTAGAGAAAAACAAAAGCAAATTACCTATTAATTCACATTGAAGTTACATATTTAACAAATGAGCATATCCAATTTTTACACATGACCACAGGAAGCATACCTGTTGGTAGAGAAATAAAGATATACATATATTGGGTCACCAAGGCCTAGTGCAGTGAGAACACACAACATAAACATAGGAGGATGGTTACTGCATGTATGTATGGGTCTTTTGTAAAAAAAAGTGAAATGATATTTTATGAAATCTACCACTATTTCAAAGAAAAGCTTTGATAACCCTTGGATCTAAGGAAGACAGAGGTTACAGAAAGGAGACATGGAAGGAAACTACCATATCTTAAACTTAACCTGAGACTGAAACAAATACTGCTGGAGATAGTAAGCAAAGCAAAACCAAACTCCTAAAACCAAGTGACATCAGGTCACATGGCTTGACTGGTCAGTGAGGGTAGAGAAAAAATGAGCCACATGCAAGGATAGGTTTTATAACACTGTTCATTTCATACTAAGAGGGTCTGGGCCCCATGCCTATTGAGTGAGACAGGCAAAAGAACTTTCACAATCTTAGGGAACATTTTTAAATGAATGGAAAATGTCCTCTTATATTGTTGTCAGGTTCAAATGAATTCATTCAATGCATGCACAAAATACAGAGCATGTACCTGGCACTATTTGTTAGTAAAACATGAAAATGTCTGTTTCTGTGAAGCTTTTATATTATTGAATGAGAGATAAGAAACAGAATGAGTAAATAACCTATACATGTAGGTGTTAGAGCGGGACAATGTCTTACCACTCCCGCTCCTCAAAAAAGGCAGTGTAAAAAGTGTGAGGAATAGTACAGAGAGAGTTTTTCAAAGTCGGTCATAAAGCAATATTTGAACAAATACATGAAGGGCATTAAGTTATATAGGTATTTAGGGGAAGAGCATACCAAGCTGAGAGAGTACAAGCTAAGACTCAGAGGTGAAAAGAAGCCTCAGGTGTTCAAGGTACAGCTATGTGGCCAGTGAAGCTGGAGTAGAGTGAATGAGAACACAAAATAAAGATGAGGATGAAAACATAATAGGGGTCGGATGTTGTATGGTCTTGGAGGATATTCTAAGGACTTTGCTTTTCACTGTTACTGAGGGAGAGCACTAAAAGGTTCTTTGCAAAGAAATGATTTAAATTTTTCTTCAAAATCAGTCTCTATATGGAAAGTAACATTATATGAGGTACAGGTAGAAAGCAGAGTGACACAGTTACCATTCGAGGTGAGAGCCCAAAGTGGCAGGAGTGGAAGTGTTGAGACATAGCTGCATATATTCTGAAGTCGCTGGTAACTAGAATTCTTGATGGACTATGTGTGACATAAGAGAGAAAGTGGAGTCAAGGACAATTTCAAGATTTTTGCCCCAAGCACATTATGCGTGGAGTTATATCAATTTAGATGGGAAATATCCCAGGTAGATCATGTTTTATGTGAGTCATCAGGAAGGAGTTGCAAGTAGATGTATCAAGTACGCAGGTGAATATATGAAGCAAAATTTCAAGTGAGAAATGTAAGCAAGGGATAAATACTTGAGTCATCAGAATATAGATGTTTTTTTAAAAAGCATGACACTGGATAAAAGTCACCAGAATGAGGTTAGACAGAATGAGGTTAGACAGAAAAGAGAACTACGGACAAAGAAAGCTCTGGGTACTTCAATGTAAAGAGGTTGTAGAAAAAAGGAGCACCTAATAAAATAGAGGGAGAAGAAAGACCAGAATGACAGAGGAAAATTCAAGTCCCCTGCATTCCTTCTGCAAGGTCAGAGAAATGCATTGTGTCAAATGCGCCTGGTAAGTCAAATAAGATAAGAATGCAAACCAACTCCTGGATTAATACTATGAAATGACTGGTGCTCGTAACAAATTCACATCAGAGTTGTTTAGAGGTGATTTTAGGATTAGAAACAGCAATACAGAGACAAGTCCTTCAGATTATTTTCCGGGAAAGGGCAGTAACAAAAATGAACTTTCACTGACTGGATTTTTAATTTTTTAAAGATTTATTTATTTATGCATACAAGAGCTGGGATGTGTGTGTGGGAGGGGAGGGGATATGGGGGTGAGAGGATTCACCAGAGACAGAATGGGGAGCAGAACAGATGGACCTACTGAAATACACTGCTGAGGGGAGCAACGGGAGAGGCAGATTAGGTCTGCCGTGCCTGACTGGATTTATAAGGTGAAAATTGGCGGGGGGGGGGGGGTGTCTCTCTATTTTTAATCTAGAAGGAGTAACAGCTAATGAAAATATCCAGAAGAAAAACTGATGATGTAGAAAAGAAAGATAAATGCTGAAACAATTATGCAGGAAAGAAGCGGAAATGATCTAGTACACCAGCAAAGGGAACAGATGTTAAGAACAATGATAGTGCACTACAGGGTCAGGAGGAAGGCAGACAATGGTAGGTGGGTAGATGTGACAGTAGGGTTTACAAAAGAACTTTTATAATTGCATCTATTTCCTTAGTGATGCAAATACATCACACCTAGGAAGGATGGAGAAATCTATCACATGTTTATTTTTCTGAAAAATTCAATTTTGTTGAAAAGCTCATGCCCTGAAATTGCAGTGGTATGATGTGGTGGTGAAAAGCACAGATTCTATAGACAGACTGCTCTGATCTGAAACCAGCTCTACTATTAGCTGCATGACTTTGCACAAATGAATTAGTTATGTCCCTAAGCCTCACTTTTTGCATTTGAAAAAGGAAAAAATACAGTATCTCTTTCAAGGGATTGTTGGCTAATAAAATGAACTAACATATATAAAATGCTTAGAACAACTCTTGGCATGTATGTAATCACTGTGAAAATACTTGCTATTATTAAGGAATTGTGTGGCACAAATCCATTCTCTAATAAGGTAGAGCAAAAACACAAATACTAGGATACTACTTATCTAGTTTACTTGAGCCAAAAAGTAAAATTTATTGCTGAACTTGAGGCTAAACAAGAAGCTAAACTTTATGTCCTCCTTAAACAGAACAGTTTCTAAAACTTCAGATTTTCACTTACACAGATGACTTCCCATTGCGAGGATCTTTGAATGTTGTTGTTCTGGTATTATGATCAACAAAGTACCTAACACCTTCCCGAGTATACCTAATTTCCCAACCTTCTGGCAAGGGCTCTTCATTCTGTAAGCTGAAAGATAAAGTACGGTCACAGGTGAATATTTTCCAGGCCCGTTCATCTGAATCAGGGTCTACCTGATTCTATCTACAGAAATGTGCAAGATGACTTAAGCGAGGCAGTACTAGATAGGTACCCTTGAGTTCTTGGATCTTCCCACTGGGTTGTTTTTGTGTTGTGATTCACGAAGTAAACTCTGTCTGTGGAATCCACTCTTTTTTCTATAAAATAGTGTAAGAACAGCATTTAATAACTACTTACTATATATAGCTTTCAGATATTTTTACCAACAAAATATTAACTTACCCCAGCCAGGTGGCAAAGGCCCATATGGGTCATTTTCTGCAGCTAACATTGAAGCCTAATAGAGAAAGTATTGGAGGAAAAAAACAATATTTAATATGAAAACAGAGAAAGATAAATAAGCAATTAGCAGAATCATATTTTATATTAACTCTCTTTAAAATACGATAAAGGAATATGAATACAGTGATTTTAAGACACAAAGTCCTAAAAATGCTATCAGTTAAGAGGAGTCAGCCTATTGATTAAAGTATCATTTTTATAAAATGATTTATCAATAATATGTTGACATCAATTCTACAGAAGCAAGATGAGAGTAAAGAGCAAAGAGAAAATTATGGTTAATGAAACCATATTATTTAAAGATAGAGTAATTGTCATAGTCTCTTTAAAATGCCTATTAAAAAGACCATTATTAAATTCCAAATTCATCTTTATACAAATAAACTTTTTTCTCACATTAGTACCTTTTATATATCCATACATATGTAACAACACACATTTATGCTTGCACTGTCACAATCCTGGAAATACATTCCCTCCAAAATGTAAAATTCAGCCAACAATTTTAAAAGAATGACAAATATAAACTAATAACCAGAAAACATAATTTCTTAACGATAATGTATAAATACATCTTGATGATGTAACCTATAACCTTATAACAAATATAACCTTATAACAAATATAACCTTCTATAACCTTATAACAAATATTAATTTAACTCAATAACTATTTCCCATTTCCTATCACTATTTTGCTTGAGACAGCAAATGTGTCCATCTAAAAATATTCCATGCCCAACTTCCCTTGCAGCTAGGCTGGTAGAATGACCTATTCTGGCCAGTGAGGTAGAAGCAGAAGTTCAAGTAAAAAGATAATGGTTAGTAGAAAAAAAATCATTTCCCTCTTCAAATCCACTTTTCCTTTCTTTTTGCTTACACTGTGGAAGTGAGGCCCAGAGACCAGCACTACAGATGATAGAGGTAAGAAGCATGAAGCATGATATGGATGGATGAATAAAAGGGCAGAAAAAAATGGGTACTTGATGTCACTGCTAAGTCAATGCAGTATTAGCCCAGACTTGGTGTTACATTTAGTTAATGAATTTCAATCTATTTAAAGAAAGATACTCTGCTGTGTGCAGAATACACTTCTGATACATATCAATTACCTAATTCTGCTGTTTTGCTAAGGTTTTCATGTATACAACTACATGCAACCAAAAACAAATGCACACATACATAATTTCTTGCTTGCTACATAGAACTAAATGATGGAACTGCACCACAGATTTCTGTACAAGTTACCAAAGAACCAGGAACTGGTGGCAGGAGATGTCATGCAAGGTTAGCTGACAACACGTTATCTGCAGGCTATAGCTAACCAAGAAACTAGGTCAACCTACAAATGAAAATTTCCTGTTTAATCTCCAAAGAAAACAGAGGTGAAAGAGCCAGCTCAGCTCAGACAGGATTCTGAAGAAAGAGTTAACTTTTGTGTCTTTCCTTCCTTTTAATCTGCCAGCTTCCACATTCTGGATTTCCTTAAGTTTCTTCAAAGCATACCCAGAGATGCCCAGTACTTAAAATTTATATTATCCATTTCCTAAAATCAAATCCATTTAATAGAAGTAGTTTTTTCCCCTCACTCTTCTTGTGAATGTTTGCTATGGCAATAAATAAATTTCTCATCGATCAAGTGTTCACATAACATTAGATTTCTGGGAAAAAAACTATATACAATCCTAGGGATATCTCTGGAACAAAATAGATAAAAACACTGTTTTTGAGAATGTGGGATGAAGTTCAGAGTGGTTCAATTATGGCAAAACTGGCCTTAAATAAAACCAGGAGATAAATGGCCTCATTTAAAAGAAAAAAGAAGTTTAAATTTAAGGTGGAGGGCTGGAAATGGTAAAGACATACTATTTTATTAAGAAATCACATGTATGAAATTACCAGTTAATAGGGACCAAAAAAAGTATGTAGTTATGTTAGACTAGAATTTTTTAAAAAACTAAAAAAAAACCCCAAGCACTTATGTGTATCTATTAATGATCAACCAAAATTTACTTTGTAAAAGTGTGTGTGTATATAACGTCTCCAAAAAAATCACCAATTAAAAAAGGGTAAAATGCTTGGAGGAAAAAGTTGGATTAACATCTTATAATTTACTAAATAAATACCGAGTAGAGGTATCGTTGGTTGAACTGTTGCATAGCTCCCTGCAGTTGGTTCCGCTGAGACTGCCACTGTTCAAAATTTCGGACAGATTCCATGGTAGGCCGCTGCCAAGTGGTAGTTCTGGTGTTATGATCCACATAATAAACTCTTCCACGATCATCAACTCTTCTTTCCCAACTACAACACATATAAATAATAAAATTAAAATAATTTCTAAATATAAAAACTTGAAGGTATTTAGCTAATACTCCAAATAATTAAAAAATCAAGTCTAAAACATAACTTTAAAAATGTAAATATTAGGGGCCTCCCTGGTGGTGCAGGTGGTTGAGCGCAGCGCTATAAAGCTGTCCGTAGCCTCTGCAGTGCCAGTTCAATCCCTGCTGGCTGCAGAGCAACCCACATGGCACGACAGACCTATCCTGTCTCACCCGCTGCTCCCCTCAGCAGTGTATTTCAGTCAGTCTGCCTGTTCTGTTCCCCACTCTGTCTCTGGTGAATCCTCTCACCCTCCCCCACATCTGGCCTGTACCCTGGTTCTTGTATAAATAAATCTAAAAAAATGTAAATATTCTTCAGGATAACTATGAACATGTAATTTTTTTTTTAGCTCAACTACCTTCCCATTTACCCATTAAAGATTGTCTAAAGAAGAGGCCACAGATTGAACAGTTTCAGTACTTAGCGCACTGCCCTTTTGATAAGCATTTACAGTATATCTAGCAATCTGTCCCTATGGCCACTGCCCATGTTCAGGATTTTACAAATTTAATATACAAATTTTTACAAAATTTTAATATACCTTCCTGCTGTTACACTACTGCCAACTTGAAATAAAGATCATATCTTGTCATTCCACCTATGACAGCTTTCTGGCCTGGCATAGAACTGAACCTATCTACCACTTTTCCTTCATCTCCCCCAAAGATCCTCAAGGGATGCATATGAGAGTCAAATCAACTACTTGCTGGCCCCAAACATCTCCTGTATTTTATTCTGTCATAACTTTATGTTTAATATTCCTTGAGAACAGAATGTATTTCCCTATTTCTCCATTGTCCAAAATTCTCCCCATCTTCCATGGTTCAGGTAACTTGCAGCCAATTTTTGTCATTAAGTTACACATTAGTTTAAGAATCCTTTTAGGAACCAATTTCACAAAAATAACATATTTCTTGCCTTATATTTTCTGTTCTCTGAATGTGTTTTATAATGGTAGATCTTAAGTTTCACCTAAAAGTTTAGATATTCTGAGTGACAAAGACAATAAAGAGAATATTCCAGGTACAGGCAGAGTGTACTGTACCTGGGAGAACATAAATAGTGTCATTCAATTAGATGTCAGTGCACTATGAATAGAGAGTTAGGAAAAATAAGAATGAAAAGGAAAAGGAAGATCAGTTTGTAAATGGCCTTAAATGAAGGCCTAATAGCATGAAATTTATTTAGCAACAGAAATATTTTTATTTATTTAAAACGCTCTATATAATTTTAATCATTGTGTAACACAGTTTTATTTGTAGCGAAATTTATAAGTCATATATTTGAACCACTCTAATATATCTTATCTTATTATATCTCAATAAGTTACACAGCTTAGGATCTCTATCTTTATCTAAGTATACCTTTCACTTCTTAAAAAATAACAAGGACTGAAACTATCAAAAGTCTGCAACTACTCTCAGTAATTCATGCCAACATTTGACAATTTTTTTTTTTAAGATTTATTTATTTATTTATAGAAGCACTGGGTACAGTCAGAAGTGCGGGAGGGTGAGAGAATTCACCAGAGCCAGAGCGGGGAACAGAACAGGCAGACTGATGAAATACACTGCTGAGGGGAGCAGCAGGCGCAGCAGGAGAGGTCTGAGCACCCTGTGGGACGCTCGCCAGTGGCTGGGGATCGAACTGGCGCTGCAGAGGCTGCGGGCAGCTTCGCAGCCCAGCGCTCAACCACTGCACCACCAGGAGAGGCCCATTTTTTTTTTTTATAATAAATTTTATTTTTATATTCCCCATACAATTGCAACCCCCCCATTCTGACCCCAATCCCTCCCCTCCCGCCCCCACCCCCAAAGAGTGTCTCTGGTTCATAGTTTTTTGTTGATTTTGATTTTCACTTTCTTATAGTTATTCATTTTCCTGGTCCCTTATTTAAGTTTTCTAGATTCCTGCTACGAGTGAGACCATCCGGTATTTTTCTTTTTCTTTTTGGCTTATTTCACTGAGCATGATCCCTTCCAGTGCCATCCATGTTGCTGCAAATTGCATGTGTTTATCTTTTTTGAATGCTGAGTAATATTCCATGGTATATATGTACCACATCTTCTTGATCCAGTCATCTATTTTTGGGCATTTGGGCTGTTTCCAAAGCTTAGCTATTATAAACAGTGCTGCTATAAACATAGGTGTGCAGGTGCTCTTTGGAATTGATGTTTCTGTGTCCTTTGGGTAAATACCTAGGAGTGGAATTGCTGGATCATATGGAAGCTCTATGTTTAGTAGATCAAGAAATCTCCACACAGCTCTCCATAGTGGTTGGACCAGTTTGCACTCCCACCAACAGTGCAGGAGAGTTCCTTTTTCTCCACACCCTCGCCAACATTTGTTGTTGTTAGTTTTTTTAATATGTGCCATTCTCACTGGTGTAAGATGGTATCTCATGGTAGTTTTGATTTGCATTTCCCTGATTACAAGTGGTGATGAACATTTTTTCATATGCCTGTTGGCCATTTGCATTTCCTCTTCAGTGAAGTTTCTTTTTAGCTCTTCTGCCCATTTTTTGACTGGGTTATTTTCTTTGTTGTTGTTGAGTATCATCAGCTCTTTGCAGATTTTTGTGATCAGTCCTTTATCATTAGTGTTGGGTGCAAAAATGTTCTCCCAGTCAGTGGGGTTTCTCTTTGTTTTTGTTATTGTCTCTTTTGCTGTGCAGAAGCTCTTTAATTTGATGTAGTCCCAGCTGTTTATCTTTGCCTTCACTATCACTGCTTTGGGTGATGTGTCTGTAAAGATGTCTTTGATGTGCAAATCCCGTAGTGTTTCGCCTATATTTCCTCTATATATTTTATGGTTTCAGGTCTTATGTCTAGTTCTTTAATCCATTTTGAGTTGATTTTTGTGTATGGTGTGAGGTAGTGGTCAAGCTTCCTTCTTTTGCATGTAGCAACCCAGTTTTCCCAGCACCATTTATTGAACAAACTTTCTTTGCTCCAATGCATAGTCTTTGCTCCTTTGTCAAAGATTAGTTGACCATAAATCTGTGGGTTTATTTCTGGATTTTCTATTCGATTCCATTGGTCTGTATGTCTGTTCTTGTTCCAATACCATGCAGTTTTGATGATTATGGCTTTGTAGTATAGTTTGAAGTCTGGGAGTGTGATGGGGAGACCCATTTTTTGAGGAAGTCCTTCAGACTAAAAGAGATATAATCTAACAAATACTGTTCATTGAACATTCGTTATTCACAAAAGCAAATCAAATATAAGAAAACAATATGCAGAATGAATCATTTTACATTATATTAATAAGTAAACTTTAAAATCATGTATATGATGAAATACAACTGAAGACAAATAAAGATGCTACATTACCCTGGAGGTAAAGGTTGTGGTCTCTCCCACGTGGTTGTTCGAGTGTTATGATCGACATAATAGGTTCTACCATGAGGATCTTTTCTCTGTTCCCACCTTCAATAAAAATGCAGAAATAAAAGAACCAAGACAATGTGAAAAATGACGCCTTATAGTCATGAAAATTAAAGGTAAATTTTACTTTAAAAGGATTTCTGCGTGTACTGTTTCTTTTCTCAATTGTGCTTTTCAAGTTCTTCTTTTTCATTAATTATTCCTTTTTCATTAACTTAGTAACTATAGTTATTATAAGATAGACTAGTATCTTAATTTCTTAAAAGTTACAAATTTTCAGAATTCCAAACCAGGAAACAGAAATTTAGTCAAGGACAGAGGAATTTTCAGCCTAACATTAAAGTTCAAAGCACAATTGTCAGTAATATTCATTTTTTACTGCAATTTCAAAATTAATACCTTAGAGATTTTAGTAGAAATCACCTTAAGTATGTGCTAATACTGCTCTACAAATATTCTTCCATATGTGGGTAATACTTTATTTTTGTGCACATCTATTTATCTTTGATTTTGGTAAGCCCCCAAGTTTATGGACATCTCAATTTTATTTTTTTCTGTTCTATCTTTAAGACTCTTTATCCTTATCCTCCCCACTCTTGGTTTCTCCTCTGTGACCCCTATTTCATTTTCTCCGGTCTTTATTCAATATAGTGTTGAAAGAAAATTTTATACATTGAAAATTAAAATCTTCATATATATGAGTTTAACTCATATATATATATTTTTTTCACTTTCAAAGTAGACTAAATGTAAAATATTTTCCCTTCAATTTAAACACTGGAATCCAATTAAATTTAAGTTTTTATTAGAGTTCTTTAATCTTTAAATGTTTTTCCTTAAATGATTTCCCTATAGAATGACCATATATATCAAAGCTATTCCCCAAACAAGATGCACACATGCATGCATATTTAACATGGCCTACAAAAAAAAAAATTAATAGTTTTCTTTTTTTTTTAATTAATTTATTTATTTATACAAGCACTGGGTACAGTCAGAAGCGCAGGAGGGTGAGAGAATTCACCAGAGCCAGAGCGGGGAGCAGAGCAGGCAGAAGGACCGAAGTACACTGCTGAGGGGAGCAGCGGGAGGCAGGGGAGGTCTGCGCGCCATGTGGGACCCTCCTCTGGTGGCTGGGGAGCAGCCGGGGATCGAACAGGCGCTGCAGAGGCTGCGGGCAGCTTCGCAACCCAGCGCTCAACCGCTGTGCCACCGGGGAGGCCCCAAAACATAACAGTTTTCTACATCTAACAAACTTAAGTCATAAAATGCTTAAGTAGTAACCATGATCAATAAAGATGCCCAATTGACTCAGGAACATAAAGATTGCTAATTATTACTTATTAAAATCACTGCGGTATAAATTCTATACCAGAACACACAAGCTATCCTGTTCTACAAAAATTTAGACATTCCTTAATTTCACTAAGGCATTTCACTAAGAAAAATAACTAGAAATTTCAGATTTATATCACTTGTTTCTAGATAATATTATAAGTTCAAAGAGCAGAATTTAAAAATGGAATTTCACTTTAAAGACATTTCAGCAATACTTGTAATACATACAAAGAGGTTACTGAGCTATAGGAAAGCTTAACTGCCAAAAATAAGCAAAAAGCTAAAAATTTATTGGTTAAAAGCTTCCTAATAATGGGACTTTTGTTATTTTGGGGCACTAATTCCTATAATCCATATTTGAATTTTTATTGCTATTTTCTAGCAAAGTTTCCTGGTTTTCAACCTTTCTTCACAATTGTTCTTTATTACTTTTAATTCACCTTGCATCTTTTTCAAAATTACATATATTTCATATAGCTAATACATATCTTCACAGTTATACAATTATAATGCAGCTTCACAAATGTTTAAAGTCATTGTCTACACAGCTCATTATTAAAAAAGTGCCTATTGTCCTTTAATTTCGTTTTCCATTCCCCAAGGGCAATTAATTTAAACTGTTTTAGCCGATTCTTTTAATATTTACCTTTTTTAAAAAAGCTTAATTTATTTACTACTTATTTCAAACATAATGTACTGATTTCTCAGTATGAGAAGATGAAGCTGTCTCTTTTCGGCATACATATATATACTGTTACACTTACTTCCTTCCAAATATATACACATGCTGTGTCTTTCCCGTATAGTTATTATCCTGACTATGTAAACCCTCTGGACAGTTGAACCATGGTACATAAAATTTCTTTGAAAATTGTCTCTTTTTCTCACTTCCTGATATCCTTGAACTTATTATTTGGTTAACTCCAAATACTTTTCTAGTTGCATAAAATCTCCTCAAAATATTCAGGCTCATTAGGTATTTAACTATCACACTAGACTTTTGAGTACAAGTGCAGTCACCAATCTCTAGACTGGCTGACTAACGTGCCATCATGGATTTTCCTTTCATCATTGTACTTAAGTTGCTTTTACTCCTTTTCCACCAGACTCCCAGTTCTTGGATACAGAATACTAGGTCGGATACAATTTCCCTCAATATTAAGGCACTACTGGCTCATTGTATTCTAGCTCATGTTGATTCTTAAGATTCTGATTGTCATTGTAATTAGTATGAAATCTGCTTTTTGCCTTTTTAAAAAAAGATTTATTTATTTATGCATGTAAGAGCTGGGGTGTAGACCAGAGGTGTGGGAAGTAAGAGGATTCACCAGAAACAGAGTGGGGAGCAGGACAGACCTCTCCTGACTCGCCCGCTGCTCCCCTCGGCAGTGTATTTCAGTCAATCTGCCTGTTCTAGTTCCCCCTCTGTCTCTGGTGAATCCTCTCACTCTCCACACCTCTGGCCTGTACCCCAGTTCTATGGGGACTACACGGGGGCAGGGGAACAAATCTTGTTTAAAAATGAGCAATGATGTAAAAAATAATTTAGAAAAAAAACAACATCCACCACAAAACACCCGAATATACATTCTGCTCCAGTGCTCACCAAACATTCTCAAGGACAGACCATGTGTTGGGACATAAAATGAGTCTCAATAATCTTACGAACACTGAAATCAGATCAGCATTGTTGGGGGATTGTAATGGTATGTATGAAACTAGAAATCAACCAAAAGAAGAAAGAGGGGGAAACTACAAATTTGTTAAGAATAAGCAATATGATAATGAACAACAGTTGAGTCAATGAGGAAATAAAAAATGAAATTTTTAAAATATATATAAAGATGAATGAAAATGAAGATGACTTATCAGAACCTATGGGGTATAGTGAAAGTAAAACTAAGATGGAAGGTTATACCAGTACAGCCTTCCTCAGAAAAAGAGAATAATCACACATCGGAAGTCTTAGCTTATACCTACGGGAACTAGGAAAAAAAAAAAGGTGAAAAATTAGTACCAGGAAGAAAATAATAAATACTTCATCAATAATAAAGCAGAGATTGAAAAACAGTCCATAAGATTGGTGAAACCTTTGAAGAGATTAACGAAATGGAGTTATCTTTAGCCATACTCACAAAATAAGTGAAAGGAAACACAAATAAATAAAATCAGAAATGAAAGAAAAGTTGTAACCAATACCACAGGAAAAAAAAGATCGTAAGACAGTATTAGGGACAATTATATATAAGCAAATTGAAAAACCCAGATCATGCTTAGTGATACAGATCATGTTTAGTGGTGACCTTAATGTAGTATATACACAGGATGACTCTCAGCGATGCACACCTGAAATTTGTAAATTGTACAATGCAATGCTACCTAAATTTACAAAAATAGTGCAGGTTAGATTCTAATTTTGATATCAAATTACTGACCAATGGAAAAATTCTTACACAAATATTCAATAGTTGCTACTAAAATGCTAAGTCTACTATCTTAAAAAATAAAATCTCACATACCCTGACGGCAAAGTTTCCATGTTGGTATTTCCAGACTGCTGTCGCACAGGTTCCACACACCCATCTGGCTGTCTTAATTTGGCCGCTTCAAAAGCAGAACTATTTCCATAACTAGAGGTGGCAGAGTCTAATATACTTCTAGTTTCAGAACCAAATGCTGCTCTGTTAGAAAGAATACATTCATTGTTTTCTGAGGAAGTTGGTATTTCTTGAACTGGAGGATCTCCAACAGTAGTGCTAGTGCAATTTGATGACAAAGTGATTTCTTCAGATACTACTGCAGTACCTGTGGCAGAAGTATTATCAATTGGTACAGATGAGGATGATTCTCCATTAACTGAAAAGAGAAAATTAGTAAGACAATCAAGGAATAAGAAACCAATAAACTCACCAATTATACTTATTCAGAGACCAGTTCACACTAAAATGTACCAGTTGCTGATGTAAGTTTATAGTTTTTGTTGCTCACATTTTAAAGATAAATACGTGAATAAAAATTTAACATATAACTATGTATACACACACACAGGCATACAAATAACCTTAGCAGAAATCATTAGAACAATAAATGTTTTTCCTCCAAATAATCAATTGAGTGAAAGTACGTATGGATCACATAAAAACTTTTTAATGATCTCTTTCAATCACCCTTTTCATATGCAAATGATAACTAATATAAGCACAATTTTTCAACAGTAGGAAATACACAGTGGCATTAACTCATAAGATAGTATTACAGGGGGCTGCAATAAAGTCCAGGAATTCATTTTACATTTTCTGTAGAAATAATACTGGAATAGAACGATACTTATCTTAATTTTCATTTTATATGACGGATTCATTTCAACTCTATCACTATAAAATTCAAATTAAAACTGGAAATAGATTATTGAACAAACCTGTTAGAAGACTACACAGAAGCACATTCATCCACATACAGCATGTGTAAGTGGTGAAATGTGAGCAAGTTCTGTGTGTGAAATATGGACTGTGTCTATGCCAGTTTTCTGCTTTTCATATTGTACTATAGCTATACCAGATGATAAAGTGTGTGTGGGGAGAAGGGCTGGTAAAGAGTATATGGGATGACTGTACATTTCTTTGCAACTTTCCATGAATCTATAGTTCTTTTTTTATTATTAAAGATTTATTTTTATTTATTTATGCATACAATAACTGGTATAGGCCAGAGGTACAGGAGGTGAGAGAATTCACCAGAGACAGAGTGGGGAGCCGAACAGGTGGAGCCACTGAAATACACTGCTGAGGAGAGCAGTGGGCGAGACAAGAGAGGTCTGCTGCACCACGTGGGTTTGTTCCCTGGCTGAGGATCCAATTCATACCACAGTGGCTGCCAACAGCTTGACAGCACTGAGACTTTAAACCCTACACCACCAGGTAGGCCCAAATCTTATTTCAAAATAAGCTAAAAAACAATTCTATTAAACTTGTGAAATCAGTTCTGTCTGATGTTTACTATATTGAACTCAGACCTATTTTTTTAATATAGCAGTAATCATATATTTTAAAAAGTCATCTCATACTAGAAGTTAGGGGGAAAGGAAAGAAAATGCTTTTTTTTTTTTTTTAAGAGGCATGTATTTTCATTCATTCATTTATTTGTTTGTTTGTTTATATATGCACTGGGTACAGGCAGAAGCGTGGGAGGGTGAGAGAATTCACCAGAGCCAGAGCGGGAAGCACAGCAGGCAGAAGGACCTAAGTACACTGCTGAGGGGAGCAGTGGGCGGCAGGAGAGGTCTGCGCGCCATGTGGGACCCTCCTCCGGTGGCTGGGATTGAACCGGTGCTGCAGAGGCTGCGGGCAGCTTCACAACCCAGCGCTCAACCGCTGCGCCACCGGGGAGGCCCTTTTTTTTTTTTTTTTTTTTAAAAATGTGTTCACCACTGTCCAAGGACTACAGTAGATATCATAGATTTATTTTTCCATTTAACTTGTGAAATAGTCCTGTAAGGTAGTCAATTATAAGTATTAAGCATTGTTCTTTTTATAAACAAATGAGCTAAATTTTGATATTAAATTTGTCCATGATTCACTTAGCAGTTAATACATTGAGAGGGAGAGCTGAAGTTTGAATCTAGCTTTATTAAAAGTCAAATCTAACTTCTCATTATATCATGACTTTCTCCCATTTTAGCTTAAAATAACTACCCATAACTACCACAGCAACTAAATTTATCAAATGGATCAAGACTCAAAAGTACAGGAAGCTGGGGAATAAATACTGTACAATACTGTCTCTGGGGAAAAGAAATCATTTGTGTTAAAATCCTTAGCAATTCCTTATCTGAAAATCTTGAGGAAAAGTGTGTTCCAGAATTCTTAACTTTCAAGTTAGTAAAGTAATATGGAACATATATTCTATATCACACTAATACCCTACAGCATGTTCTGGAGGCTACTTATTGTAATTAAACATAAAAGTATTTCTGCAGCAAAATATAGGCATAGTAAGTCTGTTAACCAATAATTACCTTCAAGTAATTTTCCCATCAAATGCATTTACCAAACAAAAATCTTGGTTTTATAAATTTCAGGATTTTGAAATTGCAGGTAAGGAATTAAACACATGTGACATATTACACACAGAATATGCACAATCCCACCTCCCATTACAATGAAAACTGATTTTTAAAATTATTTAGAAAAAGTAATACCATTTTCACACTGACACCTTAAAGGAAATTATTCTATCCCTTGAAAAGATACCTGAATTCATCCTCCTAAGGGATGTTAGATCACACAAAAGACATTGGTTAAGTGGTTGCTATCAACAGAGCAGGTTCCAGAAGTCTTTGTAAGCTGACCAATGGAATGTTGACAGTTGGATGTTTTATTAGATGTCACAAACAATAATCAGAGGAGGCGAAAACACTTAGCTAGCTGGGGGAATAATGAAGTCTATCACAGTATGAAAGATGAACAGCCCAATTCTGAGATACTATAAAAATCACACAGAGCAAAGCAGAGTGCAAAGAGTTGACAGTCAATGAGCTGTGACAGCTCTTCTTTCTAGCTGTCCCTGCTCTCTGCCTCTGCTCCTTCATGAGAAAAGGAAAGAATGATAGTATCTGTTTAGAAAAGATATTATGAAGTGAAATCAGTAAATTGGATATATAGTGTTTACAACACAACAACACAAATGTTAACAGTTATTATTATGACTGTCTTTGGCTACCTTGCACTTACTGTGAATGTCAAGGAAATTATTTATAATAGCACCTACATTTCAGTTATTCACGGTTTTTTTTATTTTCAACTTAAAATTTCAGACATGGGATAAGTAGAAGAATGTGGGAATTGATATTATCCACAATGGAAAGAACCTATGAAGCATTTGACAAGCTGTAGCGCGTAACTAAGAGATTCTACAGTGAGGAAAGGCTCAGCAAATCCATCTCACCTCTTTATCAACACCTGAATATGCCCAAATGCTAAAACATGCAAAGAGCTGATAGTCAATGGACACTTTCACCAATTTATTCAAACAAGTAAATACTTTAGGAAGAAGAGCTAAATTTTTAAATTCCATATCCTTTTTTTAAATTTTTTTTTAAGATTTATTTATTTATACAAGAACTGGGGTACAGGTTAGAGGCATGGGAGGGTGAGAGAATTCAACAAATCAACAAGCAACTATAAACCAGAGACACATTGCAGGAGGAGGCGGGGAGGAGAGGAGGGATGAGGGTCAAAATAAGGGGGGGGCGGAACCATGTGGGGAATATAACCAAAATGAAAATGCATACATTGTGCAAAAATGAAAAATGATGTAAGAATTATATAAAATATATTAATAAAAAAGAAATATTTTTTAAAAATTCCATATACTTTAGATGAAGAGCATTCAACATACACTTTTCATGAATCAAAAGTAGACTTAATAACTGTCCTGCTATCAAACAACTTTCAGAAAGAATAAAATTAGATCTACCATTCTTCATCTACTGATAATTGCATTTAGCAAATAAACTCATTCATTTCGGCACATCAGGAAGTTCTGTAAAAAATGTAATTTTTTTAATGAGTATATAACTAGGGTTTTTTTTTTCCTTCACATTTTTTGGCAGGGGCAAGTATTTGATAATTTAAAAACTCTTCTGGCCAAAAAGCACTAGATTCATGCTTTATTGTGAACAACTTTGATACTCAGATAAGCCATTTTTCTGTTTTGATATTTTTTGAAAATAAATATTGGTAACCCTCAGACTATTTCTTAAAAAGGAATTTTAAGTTAATTTAGAACAGATAATACAAGGCAGAGTTCCATGAAACTCACTCCTGAATTTACCCTTGGAATTTTTGAGGATGTTTTTGAATATTATGGCGTCTTCTGTTACTGAGCCATCAAAGATGGGGTATCAATAATAGTAGCTATTTTAACTGGTCTATTCTTAGAGATAATTCTGAATAATCTAAGATGTTTCCTTTTCTGTTTTGATAACAGATACCAGAGATGAATATTCTTATAAAAAAGTAAACTATAGGGCCTCCCCGGTGGTGCAGTGGGTTGAGCGCAGCACTGTGAAGCTGCCTGCAGCTTCTGCAGCGCGGGTTTGAGTCCTGGCTGGCCAGGGAGATACCCACATGGCATGGCAGACCTCTCCTGTCTTGCCCGCTGCTCCCCTCAGCAGTGTTTTCCATCAGTCTGCCTGTTCTGCTCCCTGCTCTGTCTCTGGTGAATTCTCTCACCCTCCCATGCCTCTGGCCTGTACCCCAGTTCTTGTATAAATTAAATCTTTAAGGAAAAAAAAAAGTAAACTATGGTGGAATCAAAATTAATGCAGTTTTGCTCACTAATTACACCCTGGATATATGTCTTTATCTTCTTTTCATTTCCATTCAGCTTAAATGACAAAGTTTTACTTATTATGGGCACTTAGGATTTTTAAGTCCTTCCCTTTTTTTTTTTTTAAAGTTTTATTTATTTATGCATACAAGAGTTTAGGTGTAAGCCAGGGGAAGGGAGCGGTGGGGTGTGTGTGAAAGAATTCACCAGAGAGAGTGGGGAGCAGAACAGGCAGATCCATTGACATACACTGCTGAGGGGAGCAGCAGGCGAGACAGGAGAGGTCTGCTGTGCCATGTGGGTTACCTCCCTGGCTGGGAATTGAATTCATACTGCAATGGCTCCTGATAGCTTGATAGTGCTGAAACTTAACCCCCTGCACGACTAGGGAGGCCCCTCCTTCCTTTTTTTTTTAATTAAAGGGCAGCATTAATAAATTTTTAAAAATTTATATGTAATTCCCAAGTTCACAACAACTCTCAGGGGTACAGCATGGAAATATTACCCCAATCGTGGGTAATAAATACACAATTATATTAGTATTTTCACCTAATTACATCAGTTACTTCTTTCCATATTTCCATTTTATAATACTTTCCCATAAACAGAAAAACATAGAAGACAACACAGTTTTTGGAATCAAAATATCAGGATTCTAACTCTGACCCCCAACACACATTAGTAATCTTAAGTCCTAAGATGTCTGAATTTCAATAGATTCATCTGAAAGAGCTCTTTCACCAAAAAGCAGTTAATGAAATTGATAGCTAAGTCCATTAAAAATCAGGACTATAAAGGAAATCTTCTATAGGCATTCTATACTAGAATAATGCTTATTCTTGGAAAATATAAAGCTTTCTGAGAGCTGCATCACCTCAAAGTACATGGTTCTCCTAACTTACACACCAAGAAAAAAAAATTTGTACAGTGACAGGTTAGAAAAACCTCATTACTGGGCCTCCCTGGTGGCGCAGGGGATTAAGACACAACCTATGAAGCAATCCGCAGCCACTGCAGCATGAGTTTGATCCCCCGGCCGGCCAGGGAGAAACCCACATGGCGCAGCAGACCTCTCCTGACTCGCCCCCTGCTCCCCTCTGCAGTGTATTTCAATCACTCTGCCTGTTCTGCTCCCTGCTCTGTCTTTGGTGAATCCACTCACCACCCCCACCTCTCGCCTGTACCCCTGGTTCTTGTATGCATAAATAAATCTTAAAAAAAAAAAAAAAAAAGAAAAAACTTCATTACTGATAAATCAATAAACTCATTGAAATTCTTTCAGAAATAATTCTATATTATTAACTGAATAGTATTATTTATGGCATAAAGTCTAAGAATCTAGTTAGTGAAATGTATTGTGATCTCTAATATATTTTTAGATGTGCCTAAATAATCTAGAAAAATTCAAATTAAGAAAAATTTCAGGCATTATAATTTTTAAATTTCTTATCATAGAAGTAAAGATTAAAGAGAGGGTATACTAAGTATAGGACTGTTACACAAAACTTAACTTATTTTTCATTTAAATAATATGTCACAAATACTCATGCTTACCGGTGTCATTGGTAGGCTCAGATGTGAGTGGTTTTGGAGCTGGTGTATTTTTGGGTCTGGTAGAAACCTGAGGCGGAGGTGACGGTATGTTGTCTCCATTAACAACATATGAACAGCTTGAGTTTTGGATTAAAGAGCTTGGAGGTACATGATTATCTATTCCATTAGTGCCTTCAACAGTCAACCTTTTAAAAAAAGATGCCTTACTTCAATGAGCTAAATACAATTAAACAGCTTTTTATCAGAAAGTTAAGAAAGGTTTACCAAGTTCTTAACATCAAAGCAAAGTGACAGTTACAGAAAGTAATGAACAAGAATATGGTATTTATTACATTAAAGTTAAAAATACTCTCAGTTCTAAGAGTATCCATACCGGCTGGTAGATGTGTACTAAGACATACAAATATACCAAATCAAAATCAAATTCAATTCCTCAAAATAACAAGCAAAATGTATATTTTAAGTGTAAGAATTTTAGTCATTTTAAAATGCTCTGAAATTGTTAAAAAAAAACCTCAGGAAACTTACAGAAATCAATTCCTAACTACTGTAATTGTATTGAGTACTAGAAAACAAGCAGAAAGTCCTAATTATTGATTATAAAATATTACTTGAAAGCATTAAAATTGTAAGTTCACAATGATACAGCTATGTTATCAAACAATTTAACTCTTATTGGCAGTGGCTAGGGAGTTGGATGATAGTTAAGTGACTAGGAAAAACTTATCCAAATCTGCCACCCTCTATTTGTTCTCCAGAGAGCAGTAATGATTTTTTAAAACTATAAATCAATCTATGTCCCTTCTCTGCTTAAGATCTACTACACTTGGCAGTTTTCTTATCATCATCAACAAAGCTTTTAAAAATCAGTCTTCCCGCCCTATTTCTGATCTATTTTTCTCCAACATCCACCTTGTTCAGCTTGAAGTAGATAAAATTTATCAATTGTACTGAATATGAAAAACATGCTTAGTCTTCAACTGTTTATTATAAATTATTATACATGAGGCACTAAAATTTTAATGACTAAAAAATTATCAAAAAAGTTAAATAGTACATTCTAGACTTAGAAGAATTTGAGAAGCAAAAATTAACTGGAAATAAACTCAGGTTCTTTGCATTTGCTATTTTCTCTACCTAGAAAGCTCTTCCCTCAGAATTCTTCATGCATTGTTGACTTGATATTTTAATTTTAGCTCAAATGGCATTTCCTCAGAGATGATTTCCTGACATCTCTCTTTAAAATGTGCTTCTTTTCATTCCTGTGATCTTATCCTGTTTGACTGATTTCATATAGTTGTTAAGAGTGTTATCTCTGACAAGCAAATTCATTTCTTGATTACTATCTACCTTTATCCCAATCAGAACAAAAATTTCATGGGAACGTAGCTGGTATTATTAAGTGCTTGAACTAATATCTGGCTCCAGTCACTCAATAATATCTGATGAATAAATGAGTGAATGATTGAATGCCACGTGCCTTTCCCTTATTATGTAGGTACTTGGAAGGAACTATGATTAGGAAGTTAGAACAGGTAAAGTTTGAAAAAAGCTCCTAAATATTTCTGATCTGTATACCCCACCCCAGTGAGCCAGCAAGAATCAGTGATCCAGGAGTTCAAGTAAAAGAACCCATCTGAAGTTCTCCTGGTGATTTCCAACTAATTTTTGATTCAACTGTGTTACTATGTAATAAATAATAGGTTTCAGACTGGTGGTGCTTCAAGCTGTTTTAACCATCTAAAATTGTATTTCAGGGCCTCCCTGGTGGCGCAGCGGTTGAGCGCTGGCTTGCGAAGCTGCTCACAGCCTCTGCAGCGCTGGTTCGATCCCTGGCCGCAGGGTGAGGGTGCCACATGGCGCGCAGACCTCTCCTGCCGCCCACTGCTCTCCTTAGCAGTGTACTTCGTCAGTCTGCCTGTTCTGCTCCACACTCTGGTGAATTCTCTCACCCTCCCACGCTTCTGACTGTACCCAGTGCTTGTATAAATAATCTTTAAAAATAAATAAATAAAATTGTATTTCAAACATAACAGATTCTCTCACATTTTAATAAACCTGTAACACCCTTTCAGTCCCATCTTCCCAATGTAAACTATAATATGGACACTAAATATATTTAAATCAAATATAATCAAAATATATACTTATTTGTTCAACCTGCTCAAATGTGGATCATTTAATAGTCACTTAGGAGTTTTGATATTAGTTACTCTGTAGTTAATAAAGATCAATTTCATATACAAGCATGCTTTCTTAAATGCAACAAAGACAATTTTATAGCAATATATATTTTTTTATTTTCAGATATTGATCCTATTATATTTGATCTATTAAATTCTTTTATTTTAAGTTATTTTACTTCAAACAGAAAACCTCTATTAATTGTCATCAAACATGAATGCAAAGATGTTTTCTGAATTGCCAGGATGATTTCTTTCCCTTTTTTTTTTTTTAAATGTTTATTTTTATTTATACAAGAGCTGGGATACAGGCCAGAGTCATGGGAGGGTAAGAGGATTCACCAGAGACAGAACGGGGAGCAGAACAGGAAGACGGTCAGAAAGCACTGCTGAGGGGAGCAGCCGGCAAGGCAGGAGAGGTCTGCCTCGCCATGTGGGATTCTCCCTGGCTGGCCAGGAATTGAACCGGCATTGCAGAGGCTGCGGGCAGCTTCACAGCGCTGCACTCAACCCGCTGCACCACTGGGGAGGCCCTGCCAGGATGATTTCTGAGGAAAAGTCACATCTATGAAGCCTTAATCTTCTAGTGACCTATAGGAAGCTGCCAATTCAGAGAGCAGTAAGATACCCATTTTACCAAACAATCCAACTCTATTCATGAAAAATGCTTAAATACAGATTTTGAACAGCTAGTTCCATAAAAATGAATGAAGCACTGATATATGTTACAACATGGATGAACTTTATGCTAAGTAAAAGAGATCAGTAACAAAAGGTCACATAGTGTATGATAATATTTAAATGATATGTTCAGTGTAGGCAAATCTATTGATAAAGAAAGCAGATCAGTGGTTGCCAATGGTAAGGTATTAGAATGGAGGAAAGACTACTCATAGGTATAGTTTCTTTTTGAGGGTGATGAGAATGTTCTGAAATTAAATTGTGGTAATGGTTATACAACTATGTGATTACACTGAAATGAGTATTTTAAAAGGGTGAATTTTATGATATGTGCAGTAAACTTAATAAAGCTGTAATTTTTTAAAGCTACTTTGACAAGAATCCAACCAAATGATATATCTAGAAATATGCTTTTAAGTTCTATGGCAAAATTTAAATTATGGTTGAAAATTAAAAACTTGGGGAAATATTCCATTACTTTGCCACAAATACTAAAATAAAATATTCTACCTGGTAGTTGTCCTTGCTGAAGGCTCTCCATTTTCATGTAAGGCATCACCATTTTGCTGTATTTCTACTGAACAACAAAAAAGAAAGAAACTAGGTTTTTATAATACTTTGTTACTTTTTTTCCTTCAAATTTTAAAAACATATAAAGTTAGCTTACTAGCTGGAGATGAGCTGCAGTTTGTTAGATTTTCTTGCTCAATCACCAATCCATCAAGCACAACTGTCAATTCACCCGTTTGCACTATGCCATTCTTATTTTCCATGGAGAGCTTTAATTGCTCTTTCACTCTTTCCACTAGGAAAAAAAAACAACGAAACAAACCTAATTTAAAAGTTTTGTCAAAAAAAAAGTTTTGTCACATATAAAAATGTTTTAGTAGTCAAAACTATGTATTAAGAATTATTCTAATTTAGTACTTGATGGCTATATGTGGAGGGAATTATTTGCATTGCCAATTCAAATCTGCCTGTACCACCTTAACTAGTTAATAACTTTATTCCTGACAATGAGATATTTTTCCCTGGCAATTTAAGAAATAGTAGAATTGGGAGGGACAGTATCTCTTACATATCAGTAGCTAATGCTGGTGACATTAAGGTAAGAAAGTTAAAAATACCACACCTCAGCAGACACAGTAAATAACATCCATAATTTAGAATGGAGTTCTAAAGTGATCTGAACACATACATTAGATAAATTAAGGTGCAAATGAGGGTTTAAGCCCACAGAAGTTCCAGAAAATGTATCAGAATCCTGGACACCATCCTACTAGGCTTATTACATAAAATAAGTCAAGCCTAAGAACTACAGGCCCACTAGGATTAAAATGTAAGTAAAGAATTCCCCTGTAAGTTACAGTTGAAATTTTTACTGGGAAAACACAGATGATTTATGTTGGGTTAATTATGGATTTTATTTAAATCTGTGGATGAATACAGCAACTTCCTGTTTTCCCCTAAGTTGCATATTTCCTTTAATATACTCTGATAACAAATACCTCAACACCTCCCAAATTGAACTAGACCTCCTTCAATCAACTTAAAGAGTCCAAATGCTAAGCCAAGAGGGTGAATGAAAAGCAACCAGAATTTTATCAGTTATAACCGTATGTCTAAATCCTACAAAGCTGTCTAAAGTCACATTAATTTTCTATTACTTTTAATTAAATTAAGCAATTAGGAATCAGAAAATCTGTGTTCAAGCCATAACTCTGCAAGTACTTATGCTCTTGAGCAAGTAATTTTTTTGTTTGTTTTTTATTTACATTTTAAAAGGACAGGTTAATTCGGAAAAGGAGAAAGGAGAACAGAGACACCTGCATAGACACTGGCAGACAGAGAGCTTCCACTGTCACTTTGTAAAAGGAAAAAGGTTTGTGAGAAGAAAACACCTGCATAGTTACAGGCGGGTGGGAGAGCTGCCGAGCAAGTCGCTTATTAAGTTATTTTATTAATAAAATGAGTGACTGGGATACATGCCAGCAGATTTCTTCTTTTTTGGTAGTACTATGATTATCACAAGATTTAATTTTTGAAATTAATTACTTTCCTTTTGTTATGGACCCTTACCCAACCACCCCAAATTCATTTATTGCAGTCTTATCACTCAGAAGGTGACTGTAGGTGGGAACAGGATCTTTAAAGAGGTAATTAAATTAAAATGACTTAATTAAGGTGGTCCTAATCCAACATGACTGGTGTTTTTATAAAAAGAAATCTGGATATAGACACATACAGAGGTAAGACCATGCAAAGATACAAAGAGAAGATGGATACAAAGAGATTGTATACAAAGGCCTCAGAAGACATCAACCCTTCCAACACCTTGATCTTGGACTTCAGGCTCCTAGAACTGTGAGAAAAAACATTCCTGCTGTTTGAGTCACCCAGAGTGTGGTAATTTTAGAATGACAGTCTTGGCAAGCTAATACAACTTTTAATTACCCCCACAAAAATTTACTTACTAAGGATATTTAGGAAACTACTACTACTATAATTTCTGAAGCCATCACATTTACAAATGTATGAAAGTTTATAAAATTTCTTTTTTTCTCAGAGCATATTCTGCCCAATTAAATCATAAGAGGTAACTACGGTTGTACAATATATAAGAGATTCATTTCAAAATATATTGACATTATAATCCTCCTACAGAATCATTTTGATGGATATGCATTACAATCTTTGTGTGGTAGATAATTATAATCTTCATAAAGAGGTTCAATATAGTCTAATAACAGAAATTAGGAACAACCTAAATGGCAACAATTGAGTATGGTTTGAAAAATTACAGTATGTGATAAAATAGTCTAAAAAGTACTAGAATCAGATTTCAAAGAATAACACTGAATTTTACAGGGGAATGCAACGATTTAACATTAAGAGAATAAGAATATGAATCTAAATATGCTCCCAATTATTATATTACACACAGAGGAAATTCACTAAGTTAACAGTAATAACATCTAGGTTATGAGAGTATGAGGAAAAAATTATGTGTATTAAAAAGATTTTGTGTAAATGCTCAATCTAATGCAGAGATAGCATACAAACAGATGAAACAAAATGTTCACTTCTGAAATTCTGAAATTTTTAGGTTAACTGAGGTATTACATATTTACATCAATAATGCCATATAACCAGAAAAAGAATTCAAAGCCAGCTATGATCAGACCACACAAGATATCATATGCTTACAAGAACAACTACTTATTTCTGTTATCAATATGAAATTCATGAATTTCAGCTCCTACAAAAAAATCACCAAGTCATAGCAGAGAATCCAACTTTCAAAGCCTCAAGAGAATTTTGTTTTTAAGTTAGAACACATAAAAATTAGCATAACATTTATATTTTCTTGATCCATAAGTCCTATGTCCAAAAATTACATCAAAATCAGATTTTAAAATTATATGTAGATTTTCTTTTTTGTTAAAAACAGGAAAAAAAAAACCTCTTAAAATAATCAACCCATTATCTTAAATATTAGCATTTTAACCCCTAACCCAGCAAGTCTACTTTTAGGAATGAGAAAACCTTTTAGGAAATAAGATGAATACAATAATTTACATATCTGAACAACACATTTGTTTGAGTGACTATCAGAAACTGCCTAAATGTCAAACAATAGATTAATTAAATAAAGTATGGCGTGAGATGGCATGTGGTCCTTAAAATTCATACACCAGAAATTTAGTTTTTAAATTTTCTTTAGATTACATAGATTTTGACAATTTGATAAAAGCAATAAACTTCCCCAATTCAGAAACATATCAATAAATCCCAGAATTTTTTCTGATAGATTCACAAAATTGAAAAAGATTAGTCTACCATAAAACTCCCAGGCTAGGGAAATTAAGTATCATGGGAAAATGGTTACTGTATTGTTAAAAACAAAACAAAAAACTAGGGATAAACCATTAGATGCAAAAAAGAAAAATGTGTTTGTGTCTATCAACAAGAAAAAGACAAACCCCAAATTATTAGGATTGGTTATCCTTGTATAGTAGAACTACAGATAATTTCTATACTCCTCTGATATTTTCCATGTTCTTCATATTTTTTTACAAGGAACTAGCTATATAATATAAAAGAAAGGTTTAAGAGTTAGAATCTATTTTGTACAAACAAAACTGTTACTAGCCAACTAATAAAGTACAGTAGGTTCAGGTATTGATCTTTTTCAAGGTTTAAAGTGTAATAATAATAAGTCACTAAGGGTATTAGGGGTATGACAGACCATGCCATGTGAATCTGTAAAATGGAGAAAGGCAATGCAAATATTTTCTATTTCATATAACATCACATATTTAAAGGTAATCACATGTAAACTAAAGTTCATCTTTATAATATAAAACTGATTTTTGGTTTCATTGCTTTTGGACTTCAGGATACTTTCAAAGTGTCTAATAAACTTTCAAAGAAAGCAAAAGCTAAAACAAAAAACTTACATTTTCTATTGTGCAGTAACAGAGCTTGTTTCAAATCTATTGTTGCTTTTCCCAATAATGCATCCGCTTTTAGAGTGTGATGGCTCCAAACTTGAAATTCCAATGTAGTCTGTGGGGTCACATTTCTGTAAGGGTAAAATTAAAACAGGAGTACACACCATTATTCTAAATAATAATTCCCATTAAATGTTTTACTTTAATTATCTTTAAAAGCCTTTACTATAGTTTGAGGGAAAAAAAATTCAGACAGTAAGTTAACTGATTTATAAGTAAAAACAATATTTACTTTCAAGTACAGTATAATCTTTAATAACCAGATAAGAATTTTTCTAATCAGCAAACCAAAACACTAGCAAAACCTTGAGTCAGATTTCACAATAAAACTTTCTATTTGAACAAATTTCTGAAGATTTAAGACAAATGATGGCATGTTAAAATACACTAATTTATGGGCCTCCCTGGTGGCGCAGAGGTTGAGCGCTGGGTTGTGAAGCTGCCCGCAGCCCATGCAGCGCCGGTTCGATCCCCGGCTGCTCCCCGGCCACCAGAGGAGGGTCCCACATGGCACGCAGACCTCTCCTGCCACCCGCTGCTCCCCTCAGCAGTGTGCTTTGGTCCTTCTGCCTGCTCTGCTCCCTGCTCTGGCTCTGGTGAATTCTCTCACCCTCCGTGCTTCTGACTATACCAATGCTTGTATAAATAAATAAAAAATAAGTCTTTAAAAAAATAAATAAAATACACAAATTTATAACATTATATCAAAAAATGCTAAAATTAGGGATGATGATATTTTGACATTTTTACATGAAAATAAAAGGAGAAAATAAAGCTATACGAAAAATGCAATCTGTAAAGCAAAAAAGCAAGATCATACTTCCACTCTAAAGAAAATGAAACTAACGAATTTTTTTATAGTCTCTAGTCATACTGGAAAATAGCATTTATGACTTTGAAATCCTACAAAATAATTTTTAAAAATTCTAAAAGCACTCTTCCTTTGAAGATTTTGCATTCGTAACGTAAGGTACTTACACAGTTAGCTGTTCATCCCATTTTGGATTAGAAGAACTATTGGATTTTGCTGTTTTTTTAATTTCTCCATCTACAACTACTTCTGTATATATTGCTGTTCCAAACCAGTTCTTTTTTCTTTTTAGTTTGGCACTTGAAACTAACAAAAAAATGATAATCACTAGTGAATACATGTAATCAAAGAGTAACATTTTGTACTAATCTCTAAAATGGAACTATTTTTTGTGCAATTCAAATTCTTTTCACTTACAGATTGAAAAAACCACCCACAAAAACTAATGACAATGTCTGAGAACCATCCAAATTCTGCAAAAGTTTTAGTGAAATATAATTCTTATCATATAATTTACTCATTTAAGCTTTATAATTCAAGGTTTGAATATATTCACAAAGATGCATAACCATTACCACACTTGATTTTAAACCTATTCATCACACCAAAAAGAAAATCCTTAAGTATCCTCTCTCCTCTTTCTTCCCAGTCCCTCTCAAACCTCTCCCCTCCAGCCCTAGGTAACCATTAATCTGCTGCATGTCTCTACAGGTTTGTCTGTTCTGGATATTTAAATGAATTCACATGATTTTTTTGTGACTTTACATGTTTTCAAGTTTCATCTATGTAGTAACATGTGTTAGTACTTCAATCCTTTTGACAACATTCCAATGTATGGATACACCATGTTATATTTATTCATCAGCTGATAGACATTTGGGTTATTACCACAGTTTGGCATAATACTGTTATAAACATTAGAGCACAAACTTTGTGAGGACATATATTTTCATGTCTCTTGGGCATGAACCTGGAGTGGAATTGCTCGGTCATATTGTAATCATATTGAGTAATTTCCCAAAGTGGCTATAACATTTTACATTCCCACAAGTAGTGCATTCCAATTCTTCCACATCAACAACCATTTTTCAAGTTAAAGCTGAACTGCCTCAAGCATCAGAAGTGTCTTTAGATTCAACATGCCATTAACCTCTCTGCCATGTAGGACTCATGCCTTGCCTTATCTGAAATTATATATCTTTGGCATTATTTTTTAAACACATGTCCTGGAAAGTTAATTTAGTTTTACTGTTTGTTTTAGACTCCATATCTAAGTGAAATCATACATTATTTGTTTTTCTCTGTCAGACTTACTTCATTTAGCACATAGCCTTCAACATCTGCCCATGTTGCTGGAAATGGTAGGACTTCCCTATTTTTAATTATCTCCAATTTAATACATTATTTTTAAATGATCTAAATGAAAACACTAACATTGGTTTTGAGGGAGGGTTTTTTTTGTTGTTGTTGTTTTTTTTGGCCTGGGGTGGGAGGACACAACCTCTCCTACCCCCAAGCATATAAGGAATACGGTTTCAAAGTAATTCTCCTTTTGCTTTTGTCAGCTGTATATTCAGTTAGACTCAGTGTCTTTAGTTATTTTTAAAAAATTTTATATCCACATGTATTCCAATTAACAAGTATGAATTATCGAAAGACCCTTAGCCAAGGCTCTTTCATGCTTTTGCAAATGAGAATCCCTCTCCCTTCAATGTTCTCTGCTACCAATCTAATATGAGATGAACTGATTACTCCTCAAAGAGTTAAAGTGAATCCTTCTCTTACTCTGTTTTCCTATGTCTATAGGTTATCTCCAACCCCAAACAGACCTAAGACAACTTCTCTAAGTTCTCATTGGATACAGTTAATAGCAATTTCACTATTATACAGTAAATTCCTGGAAAACTAAGATTTGTGTTCTCATACATGTAATTCTGCTTAATAAATACTTGCCTATTGTTGACTGCATAGCTAAATGGATGAAGGAAGGCCTTCATTATCCTTCTCCAGCCTAATAATAACTTCAGGATCAACTCAATGCTGCTTATTCCAATACCCCAAACCTTCCACCACCAAAGAGGATATATTTAATATATAAATAATTCCTAAATAATTTTAGAGGATATCTAACTTTGAGATCTGTTTCAGCCTGTATGAACCTAAAAGATACTTATGGAATACATCAGCTGAATTATGATATTAGTAAAGTTTCATCAGGGAATCATTATTTTAAATTATTATGAAAATAACTTACCAGTTACCTGTAACTGTAACCTTCCACTGTGGTTATTACTAGTATCAGACCTTGGTGAAGCAGTGGCCATGTCCCAAAATTCAGCTTAAACCTATAAAAATGTTAATTTATTTATGCATTAGATAAGAGACTATAATTTTCAATATGATTAAACTGTTTGTTTGAATCACAAAGAAACCACATGTAATACTGGAGAAAAATACTAAGGATAAAATGAGACATGATAAATATTACTACTCATAGTCCCAGAAAATGAAGAAAAGGAAATGATACCAGAAGAGAATATGACTGAATGAAAGCTACCTAATCACAATACTAAGAAACACAATGTATAAAAAGAGACAGGATAAACATAAAGAAATTGCCATTTGGACATAGAATACTGAAACTGCAGAGCACTAAAACAAAGAGACCGTGTTAAGAGCAGCCAGGGAAAAAAGACATTACATCCAAAGAAAGAAAGTAAAATGACAGCAGAAATCTCAACAGCAATTGAAGCATGAACATCTACAAATGACTGAAACAAAAATTATTCAACTACCAAAACTCTCTTTGGGGTAGGATGGACAGCAAAAAGACATTGCCATATAAACCAAAAGAGTTTGCTAAGAGACCTTTACTATAAGAAAATCTAAAGAATATGTTTCATAAGAGAGTAAAATTACCACAGGAGGATCATCTGAGATCCAAGAAGGGAACATAAATGAAGAAACCGGTAAGCATACAACTTCAACAAACACCATCTTGAGTCCAATAATAATAACTTATTATGGTATTTAAGTGAAAACAGCATAAAGCACTAAAATATATAACAAAAACAAGAAAAAGCAGGCACATAGTGGAGGGACAGGGCAGGGAGAGAGAGGACAGGAATTAACATTCTAATTTTCCTTGGATTGTTCAGAAGAGGAATTATAATCCAATTTAACTTTAGACTGTATTGTAGTGCCAGCAGTATTTCAAGGGTAATCAAAGAATAGAAATAAGAGGATATCATTTTAAACTAGTAGAGTAAAACAAAATACATTAAGAAAGCAGAATAATCCCTCCCCTAAAAAAGGTTAGAAAAGGCAAAAATAAGCAGGACTATCAGAAAGCACAAAGAACTAAAGTACAAAAATAATCCCAATAAATGTGTATGGGCAAACTCAAAAGTAAAACACAAGATATCTACAAAATAAAGATTTTGATAGGAAGATAAGATAGATATTCATAAGTTCTCAACAAATATAAATAAAAAGGAAGCTGGGATAAGTTTTTTTTTTAAGATTTATTTTTTATTTCTGTAAGAGCTGGGGTACAGGCCAGATGCGAGGGAGGGTGAGAGGATTCACCAGACATAGAGCAGGGAACAGAACAGGCAGACTGACAAAATACACTGCTGAGGGGAGCAGTGGGCGAGACAGGAGAGGTCTGCTAGCCATGTGGGGTGCTCTGAGGCCAGCGGGGATCAAACCAGCACTGCAGAGGCTGCAGACAGCTTCACAGCACTGCGCTCTACCACCTGTGCCACCAGGGAGGCCCTGGGATAAGTTATAATAGCAGAACTTCCCCCTCCCCAAAAAAGAGAACTTTGTTCAATTTTCTAATTAGACAACAAAACTCTAAATTTGCATACTTAAAAAGTTTCCTAAGTTTTTAACCCCCTTCCCAGTATCAACAAAGAATAGGACAGTATCTTCCTAATAGACTTCCTGGCTGAGAATGGCAACACTGGTGGAAGAAGCATTTATGTCCCCAAACCATTCAGTTGGGGACAGAACAGATAATCTGGAAGACCTTTCAACCACCTGGCATAGTAATGGTGACAACACATAGAAGGCACCTCCAGTTGAGAACTGCATCCTGCCCACTGCTCCACAGGCTGCTTGGGATCCCAATTTCTACCACAGTTATCTTCCCAAATTGCCACCCTAGACTGTTTTCCTAAGGAACCCAACTTGTGATGTGACACAAGTCTCCATTAAGTAACAATTCCGTGCATTTACCATGTGAACCCAGCAATCCAAAGAGGTCAAAAAGTTGATTATACTGAGTTTGAAATTCTGGATTCAATGACTCAGTGCCCTGAACCTCAAATAAGAGTCTCTGGGTTTCAGAATTCAGTGGATAGTGTTGATCAAGCACAGGTTAAGCAGGGATGATTATTCCTTTGGCTGAAACAGAAATCAGGACTCTCAGAAAACAGATACAAAGTGAAGGAATCATCCCGCCACAGACAGTTTTGATGACTATCTGCCTAAAAGAGGTGATAATAGCTTCGAAGGCAAACACTGTAATCACATGGAGGCCAGGACTACCATGATGACTAAGCACAGACTATGACGGAGGCTATGACTGCATAAACAGTGACAGAAATGTATGTGATAGTGGATATGACTGGGATGAAGATTACAAAGGAAGTGGGACTATATGAAGACCAATATGACAGACAAGACATTTGGTCAAGGAGCTACAAAACGATTACTCCTGGGATGATTACAGGTGTGATGACAGAGGTTCCTCCCAAAGATCCAAATTTAATCGTAAACCTCACAATATTCCTAAGGAAGATGACTCCTCCTTCTGGCATCTTCCAGTCTAACCCTGAAGTTTCTATTTTGGCAGTGGCAAAGTCTAATGACCCAGCTATGAGAGAGTAAGAAGTAGAAGAGGAGCTACAGAAGGAACAGGAGAAAGTGCAGTCATCAGTTGGATGAACAGAACCTAGAATGACAGTCTCAGGAGAAACACACAAGATGGCAGAGTTAAGAAACTCAGAAACAGGAATGGTCAAAGACAGGGAGAGTCATCTCAGACAGGAACCCCAGCTACATATGTCATAAGCCCAGATCAGGACGCACGAAGGAAAGAGAGCAAGAAGTCTGGAAAACGAAAGGACCTGGTAAGGCAGACGACTGTCACTCTCCAAATTTTAAGTCTCTCAAACTGATCAGCTGCTATAGGTAATACTGGTCCCTCCATCAAAACAGGATGATTGGGTGAAGTGAAGTGCTAATCCTTCTGGTTGGTCTCAGACCTCAAACACAGCAGTAATCCCCGACTAACCATCTCAGGAGACTGATTAGTCTCCTGATTATGAATGAGGACAATAAAGTAGATGGGGTGAGTGTCTTAAAATGTCCAAGTGGGAACAACAGCAGGATCCAAGATAGAAGGAACAAAAGACCAATGGAAGGAATCTGAAATTAAATATGACATAAATAATCACAACTTTAATCTACACCTTAGCCAAAGAAACCTGAAGAATTCAGCCTTTGAATTCAGTGCTATGTAAATATGCTGCTCTCCTAATGAACTGTATTTTGATTATTAAAATGAGGAGGAAGACTACATGGAATATATTTCTACATCCCATGCTTTCTGTACTCGTTCTCTATTCCAAACATTCCCGAGCAAATCAAATCTCTATCCAGACAACACCTGGGGAAGTGGGGTGGAGGGACAAAACCAGAAGGGGAGTAACAAAGGATTGTTAAAACTACAAAAAGAAACTAACAAACTGGACATTATTGTGGGTGATTTTAACACATTCCATTCACAGGTTAAGGACCAAAAAAAAAAAAAAAAAACCAAAATAGGATTTAGTGAACATAAAAAGAATCTTATATCCAAGTATTAGAAAATAAACATTCTTCTCAAGCATATATAGGATGTACAAAAAAATAATAAACATACTTGGAGGTAATGAAAATCTTATCAAACTTCAAAGACTATCACATAGTTCTCATGCTCTGACAAAAATGCAATTAAGTTAAAAATCATTAATAGAAAAAATACAAAGAGAAAAATACTTCTAAGTATTTCAAAGGTCAGAAGAAATCAATAAAAAGTTTTTAAACACTAAGAATGGAATGATAATGAAATCACCACAGAAAAAAATTTGTGAGATAAGGTAAAAGCTATACTTTGAGGCAAATCTATAGCCATAACAACCTATACTAGGAAAAAGGCTGAAAATTAATTAGCTAATAATAGGCCAATCTATTAAGTTACAGAGTCACAGAATAAATCCAAAGAAAATAGGCTATTATAAGGAAGAAAAACTAATGAAGTAGAAAATAGATAACAGAAAGGATAAACAAAGAGCCCATTTATTAGAAAACAAATAAATGCCTGGAGAGACTGAGGAAGGGTAAATAAAGTAGGGAGTCGTAAAACAGACCAATGCATGGGAGGACAGACAACTACAGTTGTAGCAAAGATATTGATGGGAAAAGAGGGACAATTAAATGGTTCTGAAATTATCTATATGGAAAGAATGAAATTGGATGCCTACATCACATCACACACCAAACCAATTTGACTAGTGATACAATTATGAAAGGCAAACTTCAAAGCTTTTAGATAAAATTACAGCAGAAAACTATTGTTTTGTGTCCTCCTAGATTGGAATTTCTTAAACAAGCATATTCACCAAAGAAAAGCATGAATATTTTGACTATGTGGAACCATGAACTTGTTTAACATAAGACATAATAAAGAAAACTAAATAACAAGCCACAAACTAGGAGATATCCACAGAATATAAACGTGATCAAAGATTAGTATTTAAACTACATGAGAATTTCTGTACAAAGTTTAAAAAGACAACAGTAGGCAGCTAGGCAAAAGATCCAAGCTGGTGTTTTGTAGAAACTTATATGGTCATAGAACCATAGAAACTTATATGGAACATAGAAACTATATGGTCAATAAAGATAAGAAAACATGCATAAGCTCATTAGTCAACAGAAAAATAAAATACTATTTTAAGAAGATGTAAAAAATAAGTATAAGAAATTTTGACAAAACCAAATAATGGTAAAAAAAAAAAGTGAAACAGTGGTGGTTTTTATAAAATACTGCTAATAGGTATTTAGATTGGTAAAATCCTATTAATAGGTCATAAAATTGACAGAACTGTTGGAAAACAATTGGCATTATCATATGAAGTTGAACAACTGTGTGTCCTTCAAAGAGCAATTCTAGAAGTACACTATAAAAACTGCACTTGTGTGCCAAGTAGAAGCATTCTTTATGGTAACAGTAACAATAAATAATCGAATATCCACTAATAGAAAATGGTTAAATGAATTAGGCCAACTCACATAATGGAGCATTTATATGGTAGTAAGAATGAATGAACTATAGCTATAGCAACATGAATGGGTCTTAGAAACTAGAACGGTGAATGGGGGTAAAAAGACAAACAAGAGTTCTGGGCATTAATGTCTTCCTTTCACTCAACCTACCTCCAAGATTTAATATTATAAGTGAGGTCATTAAAAAATGCTTTTAATTCTTACTGGCAAAGAAGAAAGTGATGAATTATTTTGCTGATTATCATGACCTCATTTTTGCTATGCATTTCCTTTGAAAATGCCATGATTCCATTATTGAAAAAGTAATCCAGAACATGGAGACATTGTGGATGGAGTCTCAAAAGCTTACATAATCAACACACAATTAATGTCCACTGAAGAACTGCTGAAGTTCAAAGGGCAAATGACAAGCTGCCCCTCTTCAGAGGAGTAAGCTACAAATCTAGCTTAAACATTTCTGCACAAACTGTTTCTGTTACATTATGATGCTCTGAATAAGGAGCTTTATTTTTTATATGGTACAGCGTAATTAACACAAAAAAGTCAATCTCCCAATTATTTTGTCACAAATTTATTTTTTAAAAAGATTTATTTTTATTTATTTATGTACAAGAAGAACTGGGATGAGGACAGAGGCACAGGGGATAAAGGGGGATGAGAGGACCCACAAGAGACTAAGTGGGGAATAGGACAGGCAGATCCACTGAAATACACTGCTATGGCAAGCAGCAGGCAAGATAGGAGATGTCTGCTATGCCACATGTGGGCTAGCTCCCCGGCTAGGAATTAGCACTGAGACTTAACCCCTATACCACCAGGGAGGCCCTAGTTTGTTACAAATTTAAATATGCATACTGAGATTTTTCTATGTATTATTTTATAATGTCTGAATGTTCCCGTTGAAATGATATCAATTTGTGAATTAGATTTCTTCTATAATAAAATATCATTTTTAAAATGTGGATTTTTTTTTAAAGTCTACAAATGGAGCAATTATGAAACTCAAATACATTTGTAGTAAAACCATTAAAAGTGAGATAAAAAAACTAATTCAGAATAGCAGTTAATTCAGGGGATAAGAAAAAATAGGAATATGAGTTTGTAGAGGTACTCACAGATAGCTCTTTAACTGTTGATATTGACCTATTTTTCTTTTAATTGAAGACTGCATTATAACATAAATTTCTGGTGTTCATCACTGAGAATCAGTATGTGTACATACCATTTTAGGTACTGACCTGTTCTTATTAACTTTCTTATGTTACATATAATCTGGGGCATTCAAATTACACAATTTTTAAAAACTTAAGAAATAAATGGAAGGGAATAAAATAGATATATGAAAAGTGTAGACCACTAATTTGTCAAGAGTGATGGTAAGGGAGAATGTCTGCAGGCTGTGAAGGAAAACAAGGCAAGGGCACAGCTTTCACACAGATGGCATGTTATTAATCCTCCAAGAAAAAGACACTTCTTCCTATGAAAAGAAAATGAAGGACCCAAGACAGGTGAAATATTAATTCATTTGTAGGTTGATTAAAAGAAACCCGAGGTACTTTATTAGTGAATTAGAATGGAAATCCATGAGAAAAAAAGCGACAAACAAGCAAGCATAGAATTAGTGATTTGAGAAAAATATTGAAAGTTTAGAACACTATGCAGACTGGGAACAGTGCCAAGTAGGTAAAAGATTATTCACTCTATTACCTAAAGCTCCTTCTGTACCTTTTCTACCTCTAAGCTATTCCTCCCTAATCTTCAGACTCAGTGTAAGCAGCTGGTAACTAGTAACTACAACTTAAACTGGAAAACATAAGAGATGGTTCAAAAATGATTACACTGGGTCTCCCTGGAGGCACAAGGGGTAAAGTCTCAGCACTATCAAGCTAGTGCCAGCCACTGCAGCATGAGTTGAATCCCCGGCCAGGTAGCTAGCCCACACAGCAGATCTCTCATTTCTCACCTGCTGCTCCGCTCAGCAGTGTATTTCAGTAGATCTGCCTGTTCTGCTCCCCATTCTGACTCTGTTGAATACACACACACACACCCCTCCACACCCCAGGCCTACACCCCAGCTCTTGTACGCATATCTTTTATGAAAAAAAAAAAAAAAAAAAAAAAAAAAAACAAACAAACCATGATTACACCTACCTTAAAGAGGAAAATAAATAGCAAGTCAGTTATCTATTCCAGTATATATGTAGTTTCCACACTTCATTTAAAAGTAATTATGTGGCACTTAAAGTTTAATGTGTTGTTATATATACTCTTTAGTCTGAGCATTACAATAACACTGAATAAGTAGGGTGGTACTATTCCCCTTTTATAGATGAAGATATTCAGCCTCAAAAGTGTTTAAAGTCTATAGCCATATTTTTGGCTATAGCCTCTTGTATGAATAGTCTATAGCCACATATTAATACACAGGTATAATTGACTACCAACATGTAGGGAGTTTTAAAAAAAGTATTAATCACTTACTATGTACCAGGAACTGTGCTAGATACTGGAAATATAAAGGTGAGTGAGACACGATTCCTTCTTTCAAGGAGCTCATAGTCTAGTGAGGCAACAACCTGTAAACAAATAAAAGCTTTCAGTATGACAGTTAGAAAAATAGATGCAACATGTAAAACAGTACATCGCAGGAACACAAGAGAAGGTGAATAATCCAACCTCAGAGAAAAGACCCTTTGAATGACCTGATTTTTTTTTTTAAATCTTTTTTTTTTTTTTTTTTAAAGATTGACTTATTTATTCATACAAGCACTGGGTACAGTCAGAAGCGTGGGAGGGCGAGAGAATTCACCAGAGCCAGAGCAGGGAGCAGAGCAGGCAGAAGGACCGAGTACACTGCTGAGGGGAGCAGCGGGCGGCAGGAGAGGTCTGCACGCCATGCGGGACCCTCCTCCGGTGGCCTGGGAGCAGCCAGGGATCGAACCAGCGCCACAGAGGCTGCGGGCAGCCTCACAACCCAGCGCTTAACCACTGCGCCACCAGGGAGGCCCTGAATGACCTGATTCTAGAAGTGCAATTCTCCAAGAGAGTTTTTGGGAAAGTGTGGAACATTGAGAGAACTGGTGGCATGGCTGGGAAGTGACATATAAAGACAGTGTAAAGTGATGACACTAGTTGTACAGGATCTTATGGAACAGTTATATGGTATCCTGAATATATGAACCACAGTAGTTTAGAGTTTATCCCAAAGGTAACAGATAAACACTGGAGGCTTTCAACAGTGACAACCACCATTTCAGAATAACTTTGACAGCAGGGGATTAGATTTTAAAAAATGAGTTTATCTGAACCAGAGCACTGGCAGTGTGAAAGATAAAACTCAGGATATGTATAAGAACTTGACCAGATGGCGACAGGTAAGTAGAGAGTTATAAAGGATTGTGAACCACTTATGTTTCCTACTTCCCTATCAGGGTAGATGGTGCCATAACCAGGATAAGAAGTAGAAGTGGAACACATTATGGAGACAATAGAGTACAAAGTTTTCAAGAGTCAACTTGGCAGAGTATTTGGCTTTCTTTTCCAGTTCTGCTACTTACTGTGCATACAAGGGGGTTGGGGTGGGGGAGGGTAACACAGCCTGACTTTTAACAAACTTTCAAGCAACTGCTATTCATACAAGAGGCTATAGCCAGCTATATGTAAGGTGATTATGTTCTGTTCAACTCTGAAAATGCCACCCAGATAGTGATGAGCTGTTCATAAATATGGGTTCATAATTACTTAACTACAAAGCAAAAGAGTTTTGAAAATGAGTGAGAATACTGAATGGGGACAACAAACAATCCATTCTTCTAAGGTGTTAAACCTAAGAAATTCTCACTTAGAAGATATATCTTAATTACCTACTTACTTCAAGATGTCATCTTAACTCAGAAACAAAATTAAAAACAACAAATCTGATCCATTTTGCATACTATTCACAGCATTAAGGCTTAGAAAAGCCAAATACTGTCACATGAAATAGTGTCACATATCCATCTGTCTGGAATAATTAATAAACATATTGCTTGAAATATCTGTAAAGTGGGTATGGCAAAGACAAAAAAAATGGTAGATGACAAAGCCCAAGTCTCAATACTGAGTCTGATTTTGAAGTTTATATTTAACAAAAAGGAAACAACTCAATAGCAAGATTATCTTATCAAGTGCTAGAGAAGTTACAGAAGTTATAATTATCAAGTGTTAGAGAAGTTTAGTCCACTTAACGTATAGCTTTAAAGATAGAAAAACTGTATTTAGACAAAGCTATAGTATCCACTTAGAACTCAATGAATGTGGCCAAGATAAAGACAGATGAACCAAGCAACCTTCCTCCCCCTAAAATAACAAAGATTCAGCAACTTTAAAGTAGAAAATAAGGGTGTTCCTGGTGGCCCATGGGTTAAGTCTCAGGGCTAATCACTTCTATGGCCTGAGTTCAATTCCTAGCCAGGGAGCTAACCCACATATGGTGCAGCAGACCTCTGCTGTCTTGCCTGCTGTTCCCCTTAGCATTTGCAGTAAATCTGCCTGTTCTGCTCCTCACTCTGTCTCTGGTTAATCCTCTTACCACCACCCCTTTGCCCCACTTATGTCCCAGTTCTTCTATGCAAAAAAAAAAAAAAAAGAGAGAAAATATTTCACAAAAATGTAAGCTACAAATAGGGACATTAACTTTAAACACAAGAATATTACTTCTATATAGTGAGATGATTTATAAAAAAGATATTACTGATCATTCCAAATGGTACAATAAGCAAGAGAAAGACCCAGTTCATTTTGAATTGCCCAGGACAATCTAGATTTTAGTACTGCTCTTTGGGAAATCTCAACCCGGACACACTGGGATATTTGGTAACCTTTATGTAAAACGTGAAGGCTCTAACTTCCTCTATGTATCACAGAGATTTTTCTTAGTGAAATCCTGAATAAAGCATAATTTTTTTAGATTTTTTTTTTGTATAACCTAAATATTCAGAAGGAAAAAGTCAATTTTATACAGACTATCAGTACTACCACTGGGACTACATGGTAGAAGAAAGGAAGATGGAGAAGCAAGAAGCTTTCTGGATACCCAGGGACTTTTGACCCTCAGAACCACTTTTACCAAACTCTCCAAATAATCACCACTGTATTTTCCTACAACCCAAAGACACTTCCAACCTCTTGATTAACTTCCTAACAGTCCCACTGTTCTCCCTTGCCACCATGCCCAGTCTGCAGTTTCTACATCTATGCCAACAACTCACTGGACTTTCAGCTTGCCTGCCTCTATTCCATACACATGAAGAGTTGTACTTCATCCATGATCAGTTATCTCTACCACTGCACTCTCCCTTTGGAATCTGTCCATATCTTACTCATTTGGGTGTTTGCCTTAACCTAAAAATACCTATCCAATCACAGGATCTAATAACCCCATCTTTCTTTCTTCCATGTGTGTATTTTCAGTCAATTCCAAAATCCCTTTTAGTGCACAACATATGTATGTTACAGGCGGATCATAACAAGTGCTTTTTTAAAATGAAAAATTGTATTTACTTCAAAATGCCAAATTTCCTAAGGATTAATATCCAATATCCATTTTCAACCGATTTCATATGTTCCAGCAAGTCATAAATACACTATTTTTTCTCAAGTTTTTTTGGGTCTATTTTCACATACATTTCACAACTCTCATTTCATAAATTTATTTCCCTTCCTATTTTTTACCTATTTCACTTTCTTTACACAATAAATTTACATTTAAAATTTTTATTTTTAAATATTACTCCTCTCAAACTGTACAAAAAATCTGATTTACAATGTACTTATCTCAAAACCTGCCTCACACACACACGTTTGTGTAACTATGTATGTATGTATGTAAATGTATATATACACATTTATACACATAAATTATGTATACAGAAAACATATCTACATCTACTGACACTTAAAGCTAGTAAATATAAGAAAATCTTATATTAAAATGCACCACACAAATCATATCTTTCAATTATCTAAGTGACAAATCTTGATCCATCTCTAGAATCCTTTTTCATTGCAAATTATAACCATTTCTAACCTATGTGAACTCCTTGTTCTCAAAACTACTGTGCCCACCACCCTGATCTCAAAATCACTGTGGCCAAACTACCTAAACTATCAGTTATATTATGAATACCAATCCTTTCCCTTCCTCAAATCAATAAACTTGCGTTGTTACTATATACTCTTATTGTGGTAGTCAAAAGCCTTACTGAATTTAACCTTATGCCTCCTCAAATTATTGCACCATGGCACACACCCTTACAGGCTGTCCATTCATTTTCTGCAATTTACTTCCTCATTGCTCTTCACATAAAATTCACTATTCACAGAAATCCAAATCCAATAGCTGGGCAAAATAACTCAATTCTCTTTCTCATTCCAGTTAACACTAATCAACTAAATCGATTAACTCTTGATTTTTAGATACATTTAAATTCCATCTACTTCCTTGTCTTCTAACTAGCCTAGCATTACCCCTGTCAAGCACAGAACATAATCAGAGCAACTTAATTTGCTTCTCTTATTAAAGTATCTGTACCAATTAATGAGAAACTTACTACTAACTACATAAAGCCAAACTAACCACCCACTTTCAAACACAGTGTGTTTTATATAAACTCTGAGCCAGCAAAATAAATAGCATCTTCTTGTTGAAACAGACTGAAATTTCTTCCCCCAAAAGTTAACACTTTGACATTTTAAGAAATTACCCCATCTACTTTATTTTATATAATTTCTGATGGAGATTTTTATTAAAATATACTGTATATAATTCTGTCCCCCACAAAAAGGAGTCACGATGAAGTATTATGTAGCCATAAATAACAGACTTTGGACAGAAGACTAGAGGCTAGTCTAAGCAGTAACCACCATATACCAAAGTACAGGCCAACCTAGATGATTAAAATATCAAAGATATATCTATTCTGAGCAAACAGAAGTGCCAATTGGAGCTCAGCAATCTTTCAAAATTACAGTTACTACAAGCTTAATATAAAACATAAGTAAACCAAGAACTTATAAGAAATTCAAGACAAACCCTGTTAACAACTAAACTTTTCACTTATAGGACACTTTTAGTCTGGTTAATAGTCCAATTATTTCTAGTGGGGGTAAGGAGAGACTAACAAACAATTGAAAATGGGAAACGTATTTGCCAGAGTCTAATTTGGATTTGAATTTCTGCTCCCACAGTAAGAGACAAAACAACATTGGTTAAGAGTAAATTCTACAGCCAGGCCTGCCTAGGCTGAAGTTCTGGCTCTACTTGACTATATTTTCTATGGATAGAGAAATACACACAAAGCTGTGTTTTTAATCAGGGTGGTGGTGTTTTTATTTTTTTTTGCAAACTTTATCTGTTAATTTTTCTAAAGAGGAATGAGGTGGTTAACTTTCTATAACTTAACACTTAGACCTTTAAGAAACTTACTCCATCTACTTTATTTTAAATAATTTCTGATGGAGATTTTTATAAAAATATACCATATTTAATTCTATCCCCCAAACAAAGGAGACACTGTGGAATGTTATGTAGCCATAA